GTTATTGAAAAATGTAACACGCTCTGCATTCTTTCATTTACTTAGTTGGTTTACATACGTTATATAAGAGAAACTATCACACAAACATTTTAATTCACTTAAGTGGATTGATTATGAATTTATATTCAGAAACCTTTTAAACTGCTGGTTGTCCAATTAATGATTATACGGGGTTTGGTTAGTGCTAAAGTGGTTTCATTATGGATTATTAGGAAGTAAAAGCCATATGAAACCTAAGAACACTAAAAAGCCGATTTTTCTTAGTTCCGAACTCTTTAGTAGTGCTTACACGGTATCCCAAGGGGGACGGAACCCAGGAGCACCAGGTTTTTTGGCTATGATGTTACGATTCAGCCAGTGGATTGAAATCCAATGGTCTTATTTTCTCAACCTCTGTGAATTCGTGATTTCGTCAGTTGCTGTTATCCTCAATGGTTCATCTATCAAACTTCACCATTACTACTCTAAATCAACCCCTAATTATTCAAATGGAATTCCCCCTCTATTAGCTGTCATATTTAGATTATAATGGTAATGCATATATTTGACATGACTATAAGTCAAGTAGTCATTTGTTTCCAGCACACTATTTCAAATATATGGATCATTAAAATCAGTCAATAAAAAAAAAGTGATCTGGAAACGATGCCCCAGACTTAAAGTTGCCACGTCACAAATCAGTACATCAAGGTAAAGGGAGTCTGATAGAGGCAGACATAAAATCAAGGATGGACATCTCACAGACTAGCATCAGTTCAGGTCGCCACACTACAGTTGCATGAAAGGAATGATTGGACATAGAAAGGCTGATAGAAAGTAGACAAAAGTTTATAGCGGGAGAAGTAATTTAAAAATCCAAGTTAGTGAAAAATGTTCAAACTTTAGAAGACGTCAAAGAGTGAGTACCTCTAGACCACTGTTACTGATTTTCAGCCGTGTCACGAAAGGTCTCCAACTACTGATCCCTGTTACTTTGTGAATCCCATGCAGGCAGTCTGCATCTGCCTACATGGCTCAGATCAATAGCCAGTGAATTTATGGACTAGTGTCGCGTCTTGGTACGGCCACCCTAAGCTCTCTAACGCATTCATACTTCGACAAACATTACGTACCGAGGTAGGGAATGGATCGGGATGCGCAACGCATTTCCCATCCGTCTGGGTCAATGAAGCTTCACAAAGTAACCAAATGACTTACCTCTTCTACCTAAAACTATGCACCTGACTTCTGGATTACTGACGTGGTGGCACAGAGTCATGACCTGTGCTGAGAAGACAACAGTGGTCGAATACCTGAAACCTCATATTCTCTGCTTTTTGTGACCACGTTTCATATATATATATATATATATATATATATATATATATATATATATATATATATATGTAATGGGACGGCATTCTGTAGCACAGTATGCTCGGGGCTCAGTAGATAATCAGATATCACGGCGGCAGTTCGGCTGGCTTACAGCGGTTAACGGTTAGCACTCTGAACTTTGAATCCAGCAACTGGAGTTAGAGTCTCGACGAGGCCTTGTCTACCGGGGAGTTTTGAGGTGCACTGCCCATCTGTGTCACTACCCATTGACACACCATCGACGAGAGGATGTCGTGGACATGCCCACTTCGACAGTGGACACGAGTGCACAGTCCGTAGTGTTGATCTGTCGACAGATACACCGGTGTTTCTCGTCAAATCATCCTACACCGACTGATTGGCGCTTACATTGGTTGTAAGTGAAATTTTGTTCATTTTGTTTTATGATGACGAATAAAGACTGTGCATACTGCATATAAAATCAGTGTTTACACTACCAGTCACTTATATCGAGTTGTCTCTCTTTTGGTTCTTCTCTTTTTAACAAAAGTGTGAAGAAACATAATTTCTAAAAAAAGTGAAAATAATGTTCAAGTATAATATTCTCAATAACCTATGATTACTTCACTTCCCATCCTTGTTTTTTTTTGAAACTTAGTATGATTGGTCACGTTTTTATATTATGCTGTATTTAGACAAAGTCTACTAGGTGTGATTTTTGTATTAATATTATCTTACATTGACAAAGTGCATTTTCTCATTGTATTCCATTGTTTCTTTATTTTACTTGTATTCATGTCTATAATTTAATGGAAAATTTTTTGAACTGCTGAATAACATTGATTTACGCGGGTATGCGTTAAGCCACTAGTAATAAACAACATTAGATATTTTTATTTCCCTCTAATAGGTTGAGAATTTCAAGGCATGTTTAGTTAGGTGGTTAGTCAAGATGTGTTGTAGGTTGATAAAAATTGAATTTTTAAAGTTGTATTTATCGTGGACCGACACCAGTTAAGGAAACCCTAAAGACCTTGAAGCAGTGGACAACCGTTTAGTCCTAGCATGAGATACCCCAGCAGTATGCACCCATAACTTCTCCAGGGGTCTAACTGAGGACTATGTTTCATGGAGTACGCATTAACCATTCACCTACTGGGTCGGAGTTCAATGGTCCACAGTTACCTATTTCTTTCAATTTGCGATATATCGCAACTATCCATCAAGCTTTTCAGTTGGCAACTGCTTCACTGCTGATTATGTTGCCGATTAGTGACATGCTTCGAGGTGAATATTCTGAAGTTCTAATGAGAAGCCAGGACTAGTGGCATTAACTAGTTTGAGGACTAATCACGATTATTTCGACATTCCGTTTATGTTGTTTTGTTTTGTTAAAAGCTATTGCATACAATTGTTACACAACTGGTGTGTAATAAATAGTCATTTTCTATGTTCTATTTCAATTCCAAAATACTTCGATCAAGCTGAGTAACATGATGTACCTCTTCCGTCTACTTAGTTTACTTCAATGAATTGAAAAACTTTCACAAATATACCTTGTTTCTGTTTACTTAATCATGCAGTAACATGCTTGTTGAAGAAAGTGCAGTCTATTACATTTGTCTGTGTTGAAGTTGACATACATCACAACAGTTCAGCGAAATCAATAAGATAGAAAACGAGAATGGCGGTAGCGATATCAGTAATAACAGCGAATTGAAAGAAGAAGGTGACCGAGAAAACAAATCAACACGCTAAATTAAACTTATTGAGTAATGAAAGTGGCCAGTGCCTGGAAGAAAGTAAGGTATAGTTTAGTCTGCTCCATTCCAGTGGAATTTAAACCACATAACTTAGTGATTCTAATCACTTACCTTATTTCGATTGTACGAATGAAATTTAATATCTACATGACTACGAACAGAAATTGGTGCTTTTATTGGTTCACAGTAGTATCTTATTCTAGCCAGTTAAGAGATTCATATCAACTAAGACAGATAAAAGCATAAGTCTATATTTCTTGGAGTTTATGAATCAATTATAGTGGTTGATATACCCTGATAAGATTATGATTTCATCATAATTATTACTGTTTAATTTCTGTATAGAAAGATTCCTCAATATTTTCAATGCCTATAAAAGATATCAGAAAGTCTTTTTTAGCTGATTACGTTAGTTTTTCATATGATATTTACCACACAAAAGTAGATGAAGTTTTCCACATCTTTAGTATTTTTTCTTGAATCAGTAATAGGCGAAAAACCTGCGGTTTTATTTCCTTTAGGCTACTTTTAATTTGTGAAAGTTCGCTAACCGGATTGGATTGGTTTAAACTGTTTGGTTCCTGTGCATTATGAATTTTTCTGAATAAATCGCTGATAATTTTAGTTCGATTCGGAGGTTTGTAGGGACTTATTTATTGATTTCAGGTTGGAACTCATCACGGACTGGCGTCACTTAGGAACTTGGGAGCACTAGACAATTATTTTGTCCCAATACGGGATACATCATGAGTTGCACCCATGACGCTGCTAGAAATCGAATCGAGGACCTGCAGCTTCCGTGGGCAGCGCGTTACTAATAAACCATTGGGTGGGAATCCAGTGGTCCATATTTCTTACTTCCGTCAGTTCACGATGAAGCGTAACCTCCACCCGATGCCGTCGTTGTGCAACTGTCCTCATGTTCGACTCGGTTTTTCCCACTGGTCATAACTTCTCATGGGGGTGCACACTGTTAAGGAGTCCCATACTAGAACGAAACACCTTTTCAGTGCTCTCAGGATTCTAGTGTTTCTTCAACTAATGTCATTCCATGATCAGCACCAATCTGAAATTTCAGTTCTGTTTGAGTGAAACTGCAGTCCGGTGATTTGGTAAATTTCATGTAGCAGCCAGTGAAATCTATGTGTCAAGTGATTGTTCGGCAGTATTTTTTATATTCTAAGTATGTTCTGTTAACTTTCAATGTAAAATAATAGTATTTTGATGTTTTTAAGAATGCTCATGGGTCTTCTGAAATAAGTTTGTTTAAAGACATTAATCTTGTATCCTGATAGTAAAATACAACCTTACTTCGTTTTTTTCTCTTAATTATCATAAACACGACTAAATTTTCAGCAGGGTTTTTAATTTTTCTAAAATCTTTAATAATTATTGTCCTATAGTCAACCGTGTTCCATCACCTTACTAACCCTTATTGATTGTTGTTTGAATACTTCATTTTAATAACTGACTGATATTCTGTTTTCTTTATTGAATTAAGATGTGTTAAATTTTCAGTGAAACAAAACGATATACTTTGTCATCTTAGGTTGTAAGCAGTTCAAACGATACCATCGAAATAAAATGAATCGGTGTTATTCATTTTCTTTTCTTTTTCTTACCCTTTTCAGATGGAAATTATCATCATTCATTACAGCTTTTACAATTTAATTTCACATAAGTGCTTATTTCAGTTACAGCAGAGCTCATACTAAGAGTTGTAACTCCTTACTATCTTTCATTTGACAAAGGTGTTAACTTTCATTTTCTTTTTAATGTTTCTTTGTATTAATGGTATTTCATACTGTATTCTCTTGATACACTGAGAAATAACTCCATCAATCAGGTAACATTTGATAGTCGATTGGATAACCTGTTAAATTCTTTCTGTTGCCTTATTTTTCTGTTCATCAATTGCAGATAAATTCAGGCTCTTCTGATGAGTTGAATGTAGACAGTTCTCCTGACATGATGCATAAGTCTACTAGTAACGATCATGTGCAATCTGGATGTGATGATGAAGATAATAGCGAAGTCAGTTTCCCAGTTTGGGTTGCATTTCGGCAAGGGTATGTTTCAGGAAAATTTCTTACCCCACTTCCCAATGGACGATGTCGTGTGCTTATTTTACCTGGGCAAGAAGTAATTGAAGTGAATACTGAAGTTGTTGAACGTGTAGGTTTCTTTTCTTTTTACTATTGAAATTATTTTTGCTTACAAATGCTGCTTATCTTTTTATAAGGTTCTAGTGTTGTTTTTAAGTGTAGACTAATTTCTTATCTATACCATTCATGTTTTGCTGTGAAATGGTTGACCTCATTACTGAAAATTAACATGAAATATTACTGTATTATTGCTATAATTGATTTAGTTGTGGCTAACAGTAGAGTCTAGGACGCGCGTTTTGTCCTATTTGGGACTCGTCAGCTGGATTTACTTGCACCCTACGGAGTGATTTTGTTCTCACTAGTTCTCAAACCTCGTACGCATCTCTTTAAACGCTAGCGCGTTATCTACTAGGCCACTAGGGCAAGACAGCTACTTTTTCCTCCGTTGTTATACTTAGTGGGGTTGATCGACCTCTGTTGGCATATGGGCTCCTCTGTGGATGCCTTGAGGATGCGAAACGCGCATCCTGAATTTCAGTGCTAGCTAAAACCAAGTCATTTACGTCAATAAATATTCGGGCAATATCGAGGCACTCACACAGAAACCCATGTACCAACAAAAGTTGATCAATTCCATCCAGTATAACAACAGAATTACAAGTATATCAACAAATAATACTTACTGTGTTATTGTTCAAAGTGTTTATCAATCGGGATTTGTTGGGATTCAGTGCAGCCTACGGGGTACCTGCAAAAACCAATTATCGATAGTTATCGATAAAAGGACAGAATGAACTATCATCAATCCCTTTATATTTTATAGAATAAAATATTTGGGTACAAACTATTTCACACGAAGTGAACATTATTTTAAGGCGTTTTAGTTGTAATCAAAGGTGAATTAAAAGGTGTAACTAATTTTATTCATTATTAAGTAGCTATTTAGTATAAACCTCATAATTGTTTACTTTTTAAATATAACATCAAGAACATATTGGATTTCAGTCTGGAGGTTTGTGTAGATTTTATTGATTTCAGGTGATAAATACTAGCTTGAAACCAGTAAAGTACGCATAAACCTCCAAACTAAATTACTGTCCAGTGCTCATTACTGATTTACTTAGAAATGAGGTTTCCCAAAGTCCTGACTGGTAGGGCAAACCACGTTGAACATGAGAACAGGTACTCGATGATTGTATTGGATGAAGGTCGCATTGTATCGTGATAGAAGTAATAAAATGTGAAGCATTGGGTTCCAGGCCATTGGCTCAATGGTAACATGTTGGCCACGGAACCTGAATGTCTTAGGTTTGGTTCCTGGTGGGATCATGGGTTCCTACTGTTGGGGAATTCCATACTAAGACGAAATAGCTGTCCAGTCTTCCCATGTGTTAAGTGGTTCTCTAATTGAAGTCAGTTCATGTGCAATACTTACTTGAAAAATCGGATTACCGACATAAATCACTTAAACGTTTAGTACTAACTAGTGGTTGTGTCATAATTGTCATTTATTTATTTCATCTACTTCATAATGATTACAGTTAGACGTCTGCTAGGAGTAATATTTGATCTTGTTTAAATTAATTGTAAATTTTAAGATACAGATAAATATTTTAAAGTAATTTTTTGCAGTTATTGAACTGTGTATTTCTTTGTGTAACAATATAACTCACTATTATCTTTCCGAATATTTTTTTAGTGAGTACAGTTTGGTGTTAATTAATACAGTCTGTTAGTATTATCTTATCATCCAAATTAAGTCTATATTTTTTAACCGGCCTTTATACTTCGGGAATCATGCAATGTACTTCCATCCTGTTTAAAAAGTTAGTAGGCCATTACGCCTTGTCTGCTCTGCTGACAGGAATAATAGCTACAACATTGGTTTGTGTCATTCTTAAATGTACGTATCTAAGTTATTGTTTTTAATCCTTGGTAGTTTCTTACTCTAACTTTTATGGGTGCATGCTGTTGGAGATACACGAAGTAGGTAGAAATAGTGGTGGGGGCCGATAGTGTTTTCATTGTTTTTTAACTGATGCCATTATTTATGGGAGAGATATCTGACTATTAATCAACTACGCTGCAGTTCGTTTTGTCCTGTTATGCGGCTGTGATACATGGCCGTTAAAGGTAGAAGATGTAAAGCGGTTACATCGTTTTAGTCATAGGTGTCTTCGCAGCATTGCTCACGTTTGGTGGAATCACCATATGAGCAATGTTGGGGTCAAGCGAAGCATACTAAGCAAGTTAGGTAAGTCAATGGATGAGGTTGTGAGATGACTTGAGCATGACGAGTGAGCCACTACATACCTTGATGTGCCTTGCTGGGGGAAGTTGGATTAGATTGGAAGAGGGTTCAGGGTGACCAAACTAAGACATAGCATCGGTCCAGGAAGTCCTTGAGTATTAGTCTGAGCCATGTAGGGAGATGTTTGAGTCCCTGAGGCGATCGGAATTAGTGGTTGAAGAATCTTGGTGACGGCTGAAAAATTTTCACAATGGCACAGTTGTATTAACTCCTTGACATCTTCTAAAGCTTGAATATTCTCACTAAGGTTTGTCTCCAAGTTATTTATTCTCTCATATAACTTTTTTTTCTTTGATATTACTTTTTTCTATCCATCTGTTTTTTGTCTACTAGTGTAAGGTGTGGCAACTCGAGTTAATGCACTTGTGTGCGAGGTTCTACGTTGACTTTTTCTGTCTATCTATAGGAACAATCTTCTAACCAATGATTACTGGGCACACTGTAAATTATTCATTTATTGTACAATATTTACTTACTCAGTCTTCAACTAAATCCTTTCTGTTTATTTTAATGTAGTTCCATTTTTCCTCATTTCATATTTGTGTAGTGTGATGAAGTGTGATATAACGTAAACTGATGCACTTCTATGTAAGCATATATATTCATTTGTAAATTTGCCTTTTCAATCCTTTCTCTGCCTAAACGTTCTGTTCAACTTAAACAATAAGATTTCAGTGATCTGAAAAATTTGATTGATTGCCTCTGGGTTAATTAATGATTATCTATTTTATCAGAAAAAACATTAACTACCCTCTGGTGTTTGATGTGGTTGATTATGTCTTTTGTTAATTATTGTAGGTGATAGTGTTTGTCGCATATTATTGAGTTTTGTATTTCAAATCTTGAAGGTTTTTGCCACTAAGTTAACTGTTTCTATTTCAATTCGTATAACATTTCTATGAAGGCAAATCCACCAAGCTTTGATCGTGTTGATGATCTAATTAAATTACGATATATTAATGAATCCAGTGTGACTCATTCATTTATACAACGATATGGATCAGGACTTATATTCACTTATGCATCTGGTGTAAATCTTATCAGCATTAATCCTATGATGTCACTAAATATCTATTCCGAAAAAGTGAGTTTTTTCCTTCTTTCTATAAAATTAAATTAAAAATAAAGTTATTGCTTTTAAAGACCACCCTAGAAAAGAAACCAACAGCAGCTGCTGCCTATATAATATCATCACATCAAGATTGACGCTATTTCAATAAGTGACTTTAAAGGCTACCATAGGAACTGTTGAATAGACCAATTTGGATTCGATATTTCGTCTAGGAAAGTACTTTACTATATAATAAAGAAATGCTATTGGCTGTCTCATCAGTTGCTAGGACGGCCTGTTAATTCATCCCTATTTCATATATTTTTGATAAGATAACCGGTGAAATGTAACTGTTTGTTTTAGAAAGTTCTTTTTCTACCTTGAAAGTTACCTGCTCATGTCGGTGGTTATTTTCGATGGCGTATTTTGTACCTCACTCACATTCTTCTCAATCATAGTAATGAAGGGATTTTTTTCAAATCTAGAAAATGGGATCAAATATGATGTCTAACACTTAGTATAGCCCTCATATTTTAATACCTTGACGTAGATGGTCGTCAGCCGTAAATTCATTTTAGGTATAGCATCACCATGGACTGTGATTATTTTTTAATAGCTATCCTAAGGCAATCTTGTAAAATCGGCTTAAGGTTATAAAGTTGGCAGAATAAGATGATTATATGGTATATTGACTACCTGGTTATAACTAGTAGTTGTTGAAATCATGCTAATAACCAAACCAAATTTAGTCACTGAGTGTATAGCATACGAGTGATACTTTTGCATACTGTGAAACGAATATCCCATTACTTTTTACTGTATGACTAGAAAGTTAGTTTTTCTAAAAAGTTCATTTATAAATCTGCATGGTTAGTTTAGATTGCCTTTACAAAAACTTATGATAATGAAGTCTCCCGTTTTTAATCGAAAATGTTTTGATCACTGCAAAAGATGTTTTAATTTTGAATATTGCTACGAATGAATTTCGAGGGGTGATCAAATTTGTTTTTTACATAAATGATAAAAGCTATGCATTATTATTATATCTCCTCTGATGGTATTAAAGCCTCTACTGTCTAGGTGGAATTTCTCATCTTATTATTCAAGGGTATTGCTAACAATTTGGAGCTGTGGCTCATTGGTTTAAGTAACTGACTTTCAAACAATGTGTCACGAGTTTGAATTCAGCTCCACCTAGCAAACCTTGGGCAACCAGATAATATTACTAGCTCTCACATAATAGGCATGACTCATCGCTTACTGTATGTATTTGCACAAGTTTGCTGAGTGCATTTCGAATTCATTTCGATTACTAACCATCTATTTTCAGACTTACGATTAAAATCACACGAACAGATCTTGTTTTTTTTGTCACTAACATTCGCTGCAGGATATTCTTCCTACTTCTAGCACAAAACCCTTTGATCATGTTCTCTAGGAACTTTCTTCACTGAATGATTTCTTACTATTATGGTTAAGTTGGTTCCAAGGCATTTATTGAACTACTCACCAGTCAAAACACGCGTCATCTATCATGGTTCCCACCTAGTTCTGTTATATTTATCATTCCTGGTATAGCCTTCTACCAAAGTTGAGAGGCTACGTATACAATTCAGTGAGGGTGCTGAGTATCATTTCTATTTATTGTGCAGAGAAATCATCGATCTTTGCTTCAGAGATAGTCTTGGTAATCACTAATCGTTTTCATTTCATTCGCGTATCAATTTTAGGCGTATACAAATTAATGATACTGTACAGTATTTTATTGGTTTCGTTAAGTATCACCATCCTTTGGTTGGAGCTGAAATTGTTTAGGCATTAGCTAAGATTACTGTAACAGTTGGGGTTGTCGACCAACGATCTTTGAAAACCTACATTTATTCTAATGTTAGGTGGTTCGACTCCAGATGGACAATTGTAGTTGTTCCATGAACTTAAATCTTCGTACTTAGCATTTTTTAGTTGGCTACTACTTACCTTGTATATGTCGATGAATTGCATAATGTTACTTAGATAACTTACGGTAAGTAACTGGAAGCAGTTCGTCATTTTTTATTTCCTTTAAAACACAAACTTGGTGCAGCTTCGGAATGGAAAAATGTACCACAGAATTATTATCATTATTGTTACTATTAGTATGGTCTAAAAGTGATTCAAGGCTGATAATGTAACATAAACAAAATATATGCGTTCTATTCAATTTTAGGAATGTATGAAGCAAGATGTGTAGGTTTATAGAAGTTTAATTGTGTATTTGAACGTCGTTATTGTGAACTGCGGATGATATTCTAGAAGTTGTAACCGTGAGTTAGCTTGAATATTCTTTGAGAGCCGTCGATACTAGTCTGCGTCTCACTTTGAGTGCTGTCGCTATTACTTACATGAAAAAATTCAGACAAATTTCCAATTTTAGTAAACTGCTTTAATCTTTCATATTACAAGACTATGGTAACCACTTAGATGCCTAAGGCAACGGGTATTTATATCATCGTTTCATCGTTGCTGATGTAATACAACTGGGATACTTCAGGTGTCTTCATTTATTTTTATTCGTTTGAGGCTTAGTAGTCAGTATTCTCCGAAAACTTCTTTTCAGCTCACACTCACACATGTACTCATCAGCTTTTGATGACTGATGCGTATCTGTTGTGGGCTTTTGAAGTATTAGATGATTCACTGTATCATCATAAGTGTATGTGGACTATACACATTACTTTACCATATGCCTTTTTTATCTTTAAAGGTTATGGATTTATTTACCGATTGTGAAATACGGTATGACATGCCACCACATGTATTTTCTGTTGCTCAACTAATTCTAGCTCGTTTAAAACGACGCTTATTCTATTCAATTGTTACAATGGAACAACAACAACATCTTAATTCGGATCCAGTATATAATTTGCCATTTTCTTTGAGTCAACAAGTACTTTGTTTATTAGGACGTTCAGGTTCTGGAAAAACTCGTATATCCAATGACGTGTTCACCTACATGATTTATCAATCTGAAAAATCTATGAACGGCTTCAATCACTCGAATCATAATAACATTAATCATAGTAATACTAACAATGCTGTTTCTAGTAGGATCAATGGTAAGTATTGTTTATCGTAAAAATATGCTTATTTTCTCAGTAATTTATTTTTAAAGGTAGCGATAATCGTTTCATTGGTTTGATGTTTTTGCACATATGATTCACGACCTAGGTTATATTCCTCTCGATCAAAAGTGTAGGGAGAAAATGGTTAGGTATATACATGCACATACACCATTTTGAAAAGGTAACTAAAATCTTTTCCGAACTCAATTAGTGAAGCCATTATCAATACTTTTGCTATATAAAAGTGGTAAATCTAGACAAAAGAGGGTAGATGGTCATGTTTTTTTGAAACAAGAAGTCTGTTTTTGACCATCTTATATGTTGTGACTAGCTTCTAGTTAAGATTATCTCTCTCTAATTTTTATTTCTGACTTCTTTTTCTGATTTCGTTCACAGTATTTGTAAATTACCTACTTAACTGTTTTACACTGAAGAGTAGTATCGTTTTGAAACAGCACCTTTCATTGTGCACCAGTTTGTAAATGGTTGGTGATAAAAGATGAAAATTTACTGCGCAACACTGTTTTTAAAGTTTCACTCTGGATAAAGTAGGTTGGAATATTATGAGCTTACGAAGAGCAAAATGGAAATGTGTAAGAGGTTACTGGATAGTACCACATCATATTGTTATTATCTGAGCGAAATGTGATAACTTATGGTTATTTGGCCTTTTACTCACACAAAAGACTATGTTCGAGCCCCCTGAATAACTGAGATTCAGGATATATCCATTGCTGATACAGCTACGTGTTTTTTTGGCAAATTACTGACAGTATTTTTAGTAAATGTAGCGAAATTCTCCTAGGAAGGATCCCTTTCCTTCTTTTGTAGCACTTATTACCGCTGGTACTGATGAATGAAATAAAATATGTAGGTGTAACTAGACAGCTCCTATTATCAAAGTCGGGTTTCTTGAACACGCAAATTGATAGTTGGATAAGTTAGTAAGGCTAGTCAGTAAAGTTCCCGATCAATGAATTTTCTTCACAAGCTCATATCACATCCATTCTAAAATGTTTGATGAAAATTTTGTTTTTCAAAAGTGTTTTTTAACTTCAATATAGTCTGGTCTTGTTGGAATAAATATCCTCAAAAGACTCCTTTCAAAAGGGTTTGAGCAAAAGAGGTACATACTGTCCTGTTCAGGTAGTATACTGTGTAATCATCTAAACTATCTCTACCGATTGTATGGAGTTCATCTTATGAAACAACTCATGTTGACATATGAATCTTGTCTTCAAATGAACTAAATTAATACGGGTGGTCAAGTTTGTACATATAGCTGTTAACAAAAAGTGCTATAGGATTATTATGAATATATAGTGCCTAAAACTAATTATTTTGTACCATCTCCTTTAGTTTATAGTCCTTAATTGTACTAGGAATGTGTTAGCAAATGATAGTCTGAAGCGGATTTCTATAACCGTAGCTTTATTAGCTAATAGTTTGCTTTGTTAAATTTGAGCTATACATTTTGTGTAAAAGATGGCAACAATAAGTTCGCTGGTCATATTGGTGGAGAATCTATCGTCTCAGCACGAATGCATATGGTCTGAATGATGTCCACAGTTGATAGATTTATAAGTAGAGATTTCACTTTTTCTAATGCTGACTTTGATTTTTAATATGTTCGTTGTTAATAATAGATGTTCATCATCCATACAAAATTGTATTTATACAACTTTCTAAATTTAGCCTGTCGTTTACGTGCATTATTCAATATGCTTGATTCATTCACGTGTTCACGTATTATTCTCAATACAAATGGAAGTCGTGCTTTACGCCTATTTTCATTGGAATTCGCTAAAATCCATGCATTGCCGATAGTGAATCAACCGGAAGATATTGGTCTAATTATTACAGGTTTAACAACACGCCTGTTATTATTCGAGCGTAGTCGTGTTACAGATCGACCTGAAAGAGAACCTAATTTTCATATATTTTATTATTTGTTAGCTGGTTTGGATGATGAATCAAGGTTAGTTTGTGCTATCTGTGTGTATGTTTGACTTTATAATCTTGGTTGTATTGTATTCTCTGAGCTCAGAGAACACAATACAACCATGACCATCCACCTGAACTACAAATATTCTCCACTATGACTTTATAATCACCTGTTGGTTAAATTTGAGTCTATGCATCTGAAATGGTAATTATCTATTCCGTAAGTACGTTATGAAAGATTTAAGGTTGTAGACTTACTTTGGAATGTTCATCACAACTGGTTAATATGTTTAAAGCTGATTGGCTCGTAGTTCTTTGAGATTATTTTACAAATATCAACTATTATTATTGTTATTATTATTATTATTAGTTAAAAGTACTCAATGCAATTAAAAATTAGTTCTCTATCAATCTACTACCCAGCTATTTAAAGTTCATAGAGGCATTGACTATCACATTTTGGTGATTGAAATACGTTGTTTCGATTCTCTGGAATATTTTCTTAACGACTAACAGTTATGTAACTTGATGGTGACAAGATCTCAGTTAATACTAAAATTTGAGGAAAATGAGTACCATATTAGATTTGTTTTATTTGATTTATAGCACACAGTGATCTAGTATGGTTTACTTGATGACGATTCGAGCATAAATTATTGCTCATAATCAAATCAATGTAATGACACTACTTTCGAAAGTATGATTATGAGCAATAATTAATGCTCGAAACGTCATCAAGTAAATAATACTATATCCCTGTGTGTTATAAATCAAATAAACAAATGTAATATAGAATTAATTTCTACCACAGTGCCTAAGTTTTACACCTATATTAAAGAAAATGAGTACTATTACAAAGTAATGATAATTGAGCTTTTCGATTTCATAGCTTCTAAAGTTTTATACAAAGTTTCACTAGACCTCATCTGAAAGTTTAGCAACGGAATTACCTGGTTTAACTGGGAACCGGCTAGCCATTTCTTTGAATTACTTGTTTACCATGGTTTGGTATACTTGCATTACTGATGTCAGTCAATTAGTTTGCACATGGAATGAAGCCTGATATTACTGTCCAGTGATGCATCTCTTTAGTTAACTTAGTTATGAAACTTGAGAGTTAAGCAAGCCGATATTTTATTTCGTTATTTAAGCGTCACTAATCTTCGTTGATACGACTTCTTGGGTTAAGCTTATGCATAAAAATAATTTTGTGTGAAATTTTACTGTCCACTGTCTTTCTTCTGTACTTAAAAATAGGAAAGTGTAGCTCAGTTAGCTTGTTTTCCTAAGCGGTAGAGCACAACTGTTAGTGATACAAACCAGTGATACTTGCAGATTGCTTAGTGCTGAATGGTTGATGTTGACTTGATACTTTCAAGTGGTTGGTTGGTGATCTAGTCTATAGAGCATATATATATATATATATATATATATAATGCATAAGGGATAAATTACGAACTCCATTCCAACTCACTGTTTGACTGAATGGTAACATGCCCACCAAAGGACTTCGTGACATTCAGTTCATTCCTGCATTGTATCATTCTTGCACACTACTAAGAAGTTAAACTACGTTGATGTATTCGTTTATTGATCTAGAGTTTTCACTGGTTCTCTGGCTAATATTTATCCATGATAAAAAACTACTTAAAAATGAAACATCTCTCTAAAAATGTCAAATAAAAATTTTATCTTCCCATTTTAGGCAAGAACTATTCTTGACAGATTTAGATGCCCCAAACCTGTTCATGACTCGTTTACATCGCGTAAGTTAACACTTTTTATTCTCTTCCAGATCATCGTATTTAAGTTAGTTAATGGAAACAGATGTTTTTTTGAGTGTTATCTTTGCGTGTGAATGTAAGTGCTGAGAAATCCATTGGTGTTCTTTCAGTAAGAAATTATCATTTCAAAATAATAAGAAAATGTAGAAAGGGAACATCGAAGCATAAATCCATAAAATATACGAAGTAGAAAAAGTAGATAATTTACTTTAAATGTACACATACTTGAGAATTGTTCAATCTTTCACTGTGTAGTTTTGATACATTTACAAGTGTAATGAAGAATACCACTGGAATAAAAATTCTTTGCAGTATTTATTCATGAAAGTTACTTACAACTGAATAAATATTTCATTTCTGTAATTCAGATAAAGTAAAAAAATATCATAAGTACGACTGCAGCAATATAATAAGAATGATAGTAATTTGATATCAGCCTTTTAATTTCTCTTTTTCGTTTATTTAGACTGAAATGGTTGTGCAGTACTGATGTCCAGTACTGTTGTGCGAATTTATTATTATTATTATTTGTCCCTTGGGTTTCTAATGGAACATAAGACTTCAGTAGCACGTCTTCATTCCACTCTGTTCTCTGCAAACGTTTGAACCTGGTTCCACGACAGCCCACAAACTCTCATTTCTTCCTCACACGATCTCCTCTATGTCACCCTCAGACGTTCAACTCATCGCTTCCCATGGGGGTTCCACTCGAGTGCCTGGCGCGTGATGTCCCCGAATGGTCTTCTCAGTGTAGGCCTAATCCATCTCCACTTCTTCTGCATATTTGTTGAGCGATAGGCTCTTGCTTTGTTGGTTGGTTTGTCGCTAGCCAGAGTTCCTTGTTGCTTATTATTTCTGGTCATATGAGCTTCAGTAACGAGCCAGTGTAGGCAGTTGTTGATGAATATCTGTAGTTTGTTGGAAATGCTTTTCTTAACGCGCCGAGTCTCTGGGCTATATAGGAGCACTGACTTGACGTTGGTGTTGAAAATCCGGATCTTATTTACGCTTTATACTGAGTGCAGATCTCCACACTGATTTCAGGTTGTTGAAGTCCTGTCTTGCTCTCCCGATCCTGGTTTTAACATCCTCGTCTGTGCCGCCTGTAGCTGAAACGGTGCTGCCTAGGTAGGTGAAAGAGGCTACTTCCTCTAAGTTTCTCCTGTTCATGGTGATTGGAGCTTGTTGTTGGTGGTGTTGGTTGGGTATCTTCATCATCTCTGTCTTGTCTACTTTCACTTGAAGGAAGTCCCGTTTTCGCTGCCTCTGTTGTCAACTTGTTAGTTTTCGCCTGTAGATCATCAAGTTTGTGTGACATTAGACACAAGTCATCGATGAAATCCAAATCTTCTGGGTTCTTTTCTCCGGTCCAGAGTATGCCCCTCTTCTCGCTCCTTACTGTTTGTTGCATGATCCAGTCTACTACAATCAGAAATATCATGGATGCGAATGCTATGATACTATCGGTGATTTCATTTGGGCACTTATTATAATGAACACTGGCTAGTAAGAGCTACCAAAACTCATTAATTCAGTGGATAACACTTTAGATTTTAAAGCTTTAGGTGCCGAATTCCAGCCTAAAGGGGTCCAACAATATGAACTGAAGTGATTTCCGTCAATCAATTATGAATGAAGTAAAATACACATTGTGAATTATGCTGCTAACCACTGTTCATTGCTATCACCAAAGATAATTGGTTAAAATGTACTGCTTAAAACCCGATAAAAAACTGTAGTTATAAAATTATGTCATATTTTACGTGTCATAAGTAAAGTAAGTGAACTTAACATTTTTCAAAGAGGTATCTAAGTGTAACAAAAACAGAAAGCCTAAAGTAAAAGGCTAGAAATTTGATGAATAGCTGAATATATATACCCGTTTTATTGACAAAATGACTTTTTCATTAGATGCGTGTAGATATAATCTTGGCTCACTTAAAAGATATTTACATCTCTCTCTCTGCAAACTGTTTTTGTTTTAAATGTAGTGTGAAGTCGATAGTTTGATTTTACTTTGCTTTTGAATGCATTAGGCATAGATCTCATGAACCATCTGTATATTATCGGCTACTGAGTCGCCAATGTTTTACTATTATATTAATGTGGACAGGAGTTTATAAAATTATTTTCTGTTTGTGTAAACTTTGCATTCAACAAAGTTTATAAAGGTTAGACATCATCGTTTTGTTGGTTGCTAGGAGAGTGGAATGTAGTACATACATTCCGCACTTTTTGGGACTCGTCAGCTGGAAGTCCCTGCACCCCAATAAGTGATATTGTTCTCACTGAGACTCGAACCTTGTACTCATTGCTTCAAATGCTAAAGCTTTATCCACGGGGCCACTAGGGCATGAGAACCACTTCTTGTAAAACAGGCACTAAGTGTTGTTTGATACTTGTAGTCCTTCGTTGCTACACTGGGTTGAATTACCTGACCTCTGTTGGGAGATGGGCTCCTATACGGATGCCTTGATACTGTCCGAATGCTGCTAAGTGACTAACAATGGAATCCAGGATGCGTATTTCATTCCTCTTGGGACTCATCGGCTGGATGTTCCTGATCTAGTGGGTAAAGTTTCAGCTTTTGAAGTGATGGGCACTGTGTTCAAGTCTTAACGGGAACAACACTCACTAGAACACAGGTACATCCAGCTGACGGATTCGAAGAGGGACGAAACACTCATCTTAGATTCTAATCTTAATCACTAAGCAGACTACAACATAATGAATATTCGGGCAGTATCAAGGTATCCGCACAGTAGCTCATCTATCAACAGAGGTCAACCTTGTATAGCAACGGGAGATTACAAGTATCAAAGAAAGTTAAATATTTATCACTGTTTAAAGGCATACTTTATGACGGAGATTAACCTTTTTTGGTAGTGTTTTCGACATTTCCATTTGATTCAATGCTAGTCATTTATTGTAATTAACTGTGCAGCTTAAAGAACCATCTCTTTGTTGTTGTTAGTTGATGAGGTTAGGTTATATGATAACTTTTGATGTCTACCGTGCTTGTTTCATCTTCTTTCATTAATATGTACTGAAGAGTAACAGTGAGATTAACTGAAAATGGTGATTAACATTATTCGTATTTGCTTTCATGTGATTAAATGAGTACTGCTGTTAATTTATTTTTTCTGATTATGATGATGACGATAAGGATGACAGTAATTTAATCTTATTTCAGTAATCATCATTAGTTTTATTAGGGATTGTTGCTACTGTTTGACATTTGATTATATAAGTGTCATTATGGTTTCTCTCAAGTTTACTGGAGATGACCTTGAAGAAGGCTGATGATTATGTGTAATTGAATTTCTGTTTTAATATGTTTCTTTGATTTTTACTTGTTTACTTTTTAATTTCGCCATCGAATCGACTGTCAAAGAATTACTTTTGATAAATGAGGGATTTGATGAAGAAGAATAAAAAAGAAAGAAAAAAACAATTAACAGATGAATCAGAGACACCCAGCTGTGTTTTTCTACTTTTTTTTTTTACGAAAAATGTGATTTTATGCGTTCAAAACAAACATTTTCTCAGTATATCAAATTGAAGGTGAAATAATGTGTGTGCAACTGTATCAACACTTAAGATTATTTTAGTATTCATTAGAAACTTTAGTGCATATTATCGTATCCTCAATTACTTTATGCGTCTAGTGATACTTTACGTTCTTTTCTGGATATCTTTTCACAGTCATCATCTGTTTTGGAGTTTTCTCAACTGATATTAATTAGTGATAAATAACTTAAATAATCGATTGTCTACAGATGGCATTTGTATAAAATGCGTTATCAAGTAGTCACACACAGAGAGCGACTATGGAGAAACATCTAAATGTGTGACTGACACCAATTGGAGAATCATTGCACACCTAGGGTCACTGAACATCTCTTTGGTTCTAGTTACAAATTCCTTAGTAACATACACGGAATAAAGCTTGAGACTATCAATTCTTGCAATTAGGACGTTATTACTCAGCCACTGCATTGGAATCCAACGTTCCTATTTTTCCTTCTTCCGTTAGCTTGCGATATGCTGTCACTGTCATTTAGTATCATCGATAGTCAACTTTTATCACTTCTGACTTAGTTGTTGACTTCAAATGTCATACCTTCTCACTAGAGCTTTGATAACTTTTTTCTCTAAACGAGTCTCTAATGAGTATTAGATTACTGTTTAGTTGCATTTCCCGAACTTCTAATATGAATTAGTGACCAGTTGGTCAAATCAAGTCGATAATGAAGACGGATTCCCGCAGAGGACACTAGATAATGGTCACGTTAAACCGCGAGGAGATAAACGGAAAATGTGGTCCTTGACTTAACTCTCTATGCAGTCGTGGATGCACACTGCTGAGGAGTCTCAAAATATGGCGAAAGAAATTAAACGTCCTCCACTGTCATTTTTTTTCAGGTATTAACATTAAGTATGCACTATGTTTTACCGATTGGCTTGTAGGCAAATCAATCTAACGGTTCTAGGAAGTTGTAAAGACAAGTAAATTTAATGTGTTTAGGAAGTTTGTTGTGTAGGATCAGTCCCTTTTTTGTTTCGATGAAGACTATTACTTAGAGTACAATCAGGACGGAGGACACCATAAAATATTCATGCTAAACCACCAAAAATATCACAAAACCCTCGATAGTTCTCAGTAAAATCAGAAAATTTGTACGTATGGCATTCTTAAGTAATATTTTTCCAAGTCAAACACAGAACTGCACAAATGATTCTATATGTTGCTATAAACCTTTTTGTCCCTGTGTTATTTACTTCCAATCTCTTTTTGATCCTTCAAATTTTTTTCTGCTATGTATACTCTTTTCTAAGTCATCTCACTATCTTGTTGTAATGGTTTACAAGTTATACTGATGCAGTTTAGTTCTGCATCTTTTTGTTACAATAATTTAATTCTCAGTTATACTGAAATACCATGTCTTTTTTGCATTTTGAATTAAATATATAAAAAGAATTTTATAATCATTATTTGTTCATTTTCTAGCCAGAAGATAAAGAGTCAGCTAAAATCTTATGGAAACAATTATGTCGTGATGCTGAAGTTTTACAATTCGATTTAAAACAAGAATGGTTAACTGGTGGATTAACACGTCTGTTAGCTGTTATTTATCATTTAGGCTGTGCTGGATATTGTAATGAATTAAAACAGGAAGATATGTTATATTTTGCAAATTATAAAGCTGCTCAACATGCTGCTTACCTATTGAATTGTTCATTGGATACATTGAATGAGTTAATTTTTGAACCGATTATTATACAAAAGTCAACTCATAATAATGTCAACACTGATCAAAATTCTATAAATTGGACTACAAAGGATTGTTTGCATGCATTTGTTCAAGATCTTTACCATTTAATTGTGAATATATTAATTTGTTTAATTAATCGGTAGGTTAAGTTATATTCGGAAAATTTTTATTTAAAAAAAATTTTGTGTTCATGTATTGTACTTCTGATCCATAATATTTCATTATTTATTGGTAATAATGATTTCTATGTTTTATTTTACAGAAATGCATTCTGTGATTTAGCTTATGTGTGATCTATGCGTGGCGATGTAGACTGGCTAATTGGGTCTCACCAAGATGAAAGGAATTAGTGATTGAGGACTCTTGATGATATGTCTGAAATTTGGTCATGATGGTGCAAATGTATTCACTCCTTGACATTTTCTAAAGCTTGAATATTCGCACTTACGTTTATCTTATTTGTTCTTTCAGACAACCTTTTCTACTTTGATACTACTCTTTTTCTATCCACATGTATTACTGTAGAGTACAGGAGCTTGAACCGATACACTTGTGTGAGCGGTTTTACTTTGATTTTTTCAGTGTATATGTCATTTAGTTTAGGAATTGCAAAGCACTAGCTGGCTTGACAGGATGAAATGTTGGTATAAATGTGGTGGAGTTTATTGATTCCATCTGATTTATCGCTCCTTCAATCATGAATCCTTTCATCGTTCATTCTTCTGGCGACCTGTTTGAACCTTGGGGTATCAGAATTTGCCACCGAACATATACATCAAATCCTTTGCTTTCAATTACTTCTAATCACTTAACTATATTTTCTAAAAAGGGCCATGTACTGTTACAGAGTTTTAAAAGTTCAATGGAAACGGACTTTTCGCTGTGCAAAAATTTATCATATTTCCACTCCTTGAACGCTTAGCTCGAATGGCAGATTCTTGTTTTGGCTGAATGAACAGTCATCATCAAGCTCACTTGCGTTTTTCTGTACAACCTCTATTCTAGATAGGAAGCTAATCCAGCACCAGCTAACTGTTCAACTTTATTGCCTTTAATAGTGCCATTATTAGCGTTACTCGGATACGGTAATCATTTCGTTTGAATATATTTTGTTACGTTAGTGAACCTGCTGAGAATTCCGTATTGTGTGAAACATATTATTTGGAATAAAGTGGTCATTATTATTATTATTATTATTATTATTGCATTATGTCTTGTGGTTCAATAGTTTGTAGCTCGTGAAACACAAATTGACTTTTCTCTACTAGTTATATGTGAATTCTTAACTTGACATTTCGTAGACAAGAAAGCAAAGGAATAATAATTAATTTTCAGCTAGTTTATCATTAATGACTTTATACCTGTGTATAACATCTCAAACAATATAACCAAATATTTCAAGTTAAGAATAGTGGTTTAAACTTTGATATATTTTAGTGAAGAAGCAAGTGTGTACATGTTCCCGGACTACCTATTATGTTAGCACTAATGATGCTATCTGACTGCCCAAACATGCTTATTTGAAGCGGGCCGAAACTCCTAACCTAATGGTCAATTGTCGACCACCTAGATCAGGAAACAAGATCTTTTGTTGAGAAATTTATGTGATGTTACCTCAGTTCATTCAGATGGATCAAGTTGTTAAATGGAAGTATTCAGAAGGAAATCATCCTTTTATCTTTTTTCTCATCTTTATTGATAAATAGTTTTATGTTCATTGTACATTTCCTTCAATAAGTGTAACCGTACTATTCTAGGTTGTCGAAGTATTGTTCATATTATGTATTCTGGATCAGTTATAGACTTTGAACAAGTTTTTCACTGATACTTTACCAATGAAACTTTACCCTAGTGATGAAATATTCACGATGTAAACATTGTTGTACAGAGAACAGTTATACATTTGAATATGGCTGTTTTTGTTCCATTACTGTGCTGTTTTCTTACTCTTTGTTTCACCATAACCTCTATTCGTGGGGTGACAAAATAGAATTGATCTTTCAGAAATTCGCAGTAATTTATGTTTCTATTTCTTTCGGAATAATAAATGATGGTGTTGCGTACAACACAGTAATTTAGTATAGGCTCATACAAAATGCAGTGAATCAAATCTAGTGTATGACGGCTATGATACTAGTCGACTGTCTGAACATCAGTGGATGAATCGGGTTTTAACTTGTTGAAGAACTAGTGAAACTTCTAGCGTCTGATTTGCTTAGTATAAAAGAGCTGCAGTTCTGCAATGCATAACCTTATGTATTGAAATTACAAATCAGTTATTGGTCTGTTTGCTTGTGACAGTTGTTCATAGTTACTTATGGATATATAGTTTGGGTGAATAGTAACATTTTATTCGCATATTTCCGTTACTATTTATCATTATGTTATGACTAAGAGTAGTTATTAAATTTTATGAAGATGAAAATTCATCGATTAATTTTTATACTCATATTTTTCTAGTTGTGTATCCACACCGAAATCTGATGAATCCACTAAAATGAAAGTTGCTGCTCAATTAATTCTAGTTGATCCAGTCGGATTACAGATTCCACATTCAACAACATTTACAGAATCATCAGTGACATTTTCATCGTCTCCAGAACGCAACGAAAATCCAAAATCAGGAAATTTTTCTGATCTAATATTTAATTATGTTTATGAACGTTTCAATCAACTTTACTTTGATAGCACCATTATGCTAGATGAGCAGCGTTTAAAACATGTATGTGGAATAATTTTATTTCTTATTCACTAATTAGATTGTAAAAGATTATCTTGTTTTAAAGGAGGATCCTCGTATTCATATATGATAGTTATACTTACAGGTGGCAAGAAACATAGGTTACCCAAAGTATACGTTTTAAACATCACTTATTATCTGAAGGAGATTTTAGTTTAACATTGTTTGCATATTGGCATTCAGCTTGATGCTTCTCTGAATTCTTTTTGTGTAAGTAAAAGTGAAGTTTAGTTAATTAGACGAATAATTACGCGAAAAACATCTTAACATAACAAAAGCTCATCAGAACGAGAAAAAACTATTTCAGTTAGTCAGTAAAACAGTGAGAACAAGTAGGTACAGAGTTAACTATGTGGTCCATTCAGGGGATCTTGTCTGATCTTATAATATACTATTGTTTACGAAATATCTTGTAAGTGTCATAGAAAACACGTAGATGCGGTAAAAACATAGAGTTTGTCATATTGTAGTCCTTTACTGGTAATACATGTAGAGAAGGATGTTTTGAACTTCAGTGTAATCGGACCTTAGATGAATAAGGTTTATCAGCTTATGTAAGCAGTTACTGATGAAAATAACCTCAAGATATAATGTATATAATAAAGTCAATTTACTTCCCTGCCTTAGCAATATTCTAACATTTCTATAGAATTCATTTCGATGCCTAGTCATCGATTACGTCGTCACACAATGTTGGCTGAGGTGGGTCCAGGCTGGAAAAAGGCCCGAGGTGGCCAGACTAAAACATGGCACCAATGTATGAAGTCTCTGACTGTTGGTTTAAGCCATGTAGGACGATGCAGACTAGGTGGTTGGGGTCCACGGGACAAGAGGAACCAGTGGTTGGAGACCCTAGGTGATATGGCCCAGAACCGAAGTCAGTGGCGCAGATATATACACACATTATCCTCATCTTAACAACGCTATACCGAATCTCACTATTTTGTCACTCCTCTTTCCTTTCTTCTCGTACTTTATATTTCTTTTGACTGCATTCACTTATCTTCATCCTTCGCCTCACTACCTTTTTACTTGATGTGCTGATATGAGGTGTGGCAACTCGGAGCGTTACGCAGTAATGCCTGGTCCTATGTTGATAATCATGATGATAATGATGATGATGATGAGTTGTGGAATTCCTAAGGCAAACGTGGAAATGCAACAATAAAATGAAAATTCAACGTAAAACTTCATAAATGGTGATTATCAGTTTGACTTTTTAACAGCTAATGTACTAAACTTACGTACTGATCAGATTTCAGTTATATTTTAGCTAGCCACTTTATTTAGACCATGAAAATGCATCTGTCAAGAATAGACATTTTTCAGTGATGCAAAACCTAATTATACTATTTACTGTTTAATGTAAAAGTTAGAAGTGCTAGTCTCTTAGTACAACTTTAAAAGGATGCTGTGATGCACTGATGATTATGTTAAACATGGCATTTAAACGGTTGCCAACCGTAGCTCAGAGAACAGCTCACTCTTAACATACATACATAAATATTTGCAACAATTTCTGCATTATTTTAGGTTCTGTTTTGTCTTGAGCTTTCTGCAGAGTTTATTTCTTATATTTACTTCTTTTCCCTATCATTTTTGGGAAATAAATTTCTTCATTGTTTGTTTAGTTTTTATACATTATAATTTTTCCAATGATTCCTTTATTTTGTTAGGATGGTTTAACTTCTCCCGTTCCATATGAGAATTTTTGTCGTACAAAGAATATCTTAAATTTCATTGATAATACCTCATGGTCTAAGGTAATACAATTTTCTTAATGTCTATTGCTGTTCATAATATTAATGTTTAATTCCTGCTGTTGACTTCAATTAATTTTGTATAGTTTAGTGTTGTAATTTGTCTTGTTAGCTAAAAGCCAAGTAATACCTTGGATATTTTTTTTATTATATGCCTCTGGAGAACGTATTCACAACTATAGAATATTGAATTGTTTGTGGAGTTTGTGTTTCCGCGTGTTACACAGACGAGTACAACCGCGTATTTTTGAATGAATATGTGTTTCTCGTTGAAATTCATTTTTACTGAAAGTTGTATCATACACGATTGGCTGTGGTATAACTAACTGGGTCTCAGTGGTCGTAACCTGGACTCACTGAGTTGCACCACTATAGTTTGTTTAGGAGAAATATATATATATATATATATATATATATATATATATATATATATATTCTTTTTATGAAAAGAGGTTTAAACATTTTCCTATCCGCATGGTTTTTGTTTCTTAAATACACAGGCTACTTTTGTTTCATCATGATGAGGTTTCATACGTGTATCAAATACTTTGAGGCTTAGCGATTACAACTTATGCTAAGAAGTTTTTGTCATGATGTCGTACAGTTGTATTGTTTGTTGTACATAAAACAATTGACTGCGATTTAGCTCAGTAATGAGTTGATTTGCTACCACACTTTGTAAGGCTGAACAGAAAGGAAATCAATACACATATACACTTGGATAGATGGACAGACTGACTCAAAAATATCAATGTAGAATCAGGGATTCATTAGTAGCATTCAACGTTGTCATAATTCACATTAGCACATCAACACATAAGATAACAGGATGAAAAACAAAGGCATGACAATGGCGTGAAAATATCGGGATTATCGAGGCATTTGCACAGGAGCCCATTTACCAACACTGACCGATCAATTTGGTTCAATCAACGACGGAGATGCAACAAGCTGTAACATCAAAGACAATATGATCAAAGTTCATAATACAAGAAGGGAAAGAGTATGTAAGGCAGATAAGTATGTGTGATACTACGATCACGATAAAGACATGGTATAAGTGCAGCTGTTGCACTGACATCTATTCTAGGCTATATCGCGCAGCGTCTTTAAACTTCACTCTGATTTGCCTAGTGGACCCTACCTAATCAGGATGTTTACATTTCTTGACATGAATCTGATTAACACCAGCTCTCTCATTGATAGGCGTCATATCATGATCCGTTTACCTTCGGCTTGTTTTCTAACCACACTCTTACTTCAGCCAAAACGATAACTTTAGAGTAGACTCTGTATACTGGTCAGATACCCTAGCATGAATAGAAATAAAGGATGTTTAGTCCTAGGAGTGAGCTGTTCTTGTTCTGTTACACCTGAAATTCGTTAAGAAGGCAAAGTTTTAAAATAGTGATGAATAATAATAATCTTAGGTCGAAAAGTATGCTCAAACCGAACATCAATGTACTACTATCAGTTATAATGTACTGACTGTAAACATCTTTTTTTTTACGAAAGTATTTAGAATATGCAATTAATATCCTTAAATAAGTTTTCATCTACACCTACCTTCAATAAAAAAAAAAAGAAAATCTTCATTTCATTTTCCTAACTATTGTATAATTCTACTTAAATTTTGAATGACTTTTTCTGTATTTTTAGTTCCTTTCGTGTTTGTTCTCTTTGTATGTTGTACATAATAATACCATTCGTTTACCTACTATTACTACTTTTTTTAAAAATGGAAGGTAGTGATAAGTATTAATGAGTTCCGCTTTCTTCTACCTATTGACTATACTCGTTCTTCATTGTGTTCATTCTTTTTTGCTTTTTTATCCTCCTTTTTCACTACTACCACCACCACTAGCACGACCTTCTCGTCCTAGTCGTATTCATTACCATGTCCTTCTCTTCTTGTTTGTTTGTTTCTTTTTTGAAACTTTTAATTACTCTCGTGCTCAGTAAAATCTTTTCATTATCTTGATAGCTGTATTCATATAGAGAAGAAATGTTTTTGTTATTGAAGAAACTTGTAGTAATTGATAGAGTCTTCTTCTTCCCTATTCCTACAATATGAACATTAATACATGCACACATGCATGCTCATATATCTTTATATAAAATACAATCATATAATACAGTGCACAGTAATGATGATAGTGATACTTGCACTTGTATCTTTTTCTGCTAACGCTTCCACTTATTTTTATAAGGTCTAACTGCCCTAAGTTGATATTTCTCTAATGTTCTTCTGTTCATTGCTTTTTTTTGTGTATACCATTTGTCTACCACCAGTCAATTCCTTATTTATGAATAAGATTGTTTCTTTTACTGGATCTCACGCATACATACATGGTTTTACCATATGTATATATATGCGGCATATTCTTACACTTTGCCATACCCTAACCTTTTCCACTATATCTCTACTCTTAATCTTTATATTTCAAGGTGATTTTGAGGCGGTGGAAGTTAGGAAGGGGAAGGAGTTTTATTTTATGAAATTATTTATACTTTCACTTATTTTCATCAATTTGTTAGTTGTTGAACTTGGGTGGGTCGATATATATATATATATATATATATATATATATATATATATATATGTATATATATATATATATAGTCTTTTGTGATAGTACTCACTTTATTATAGTTTTTTTTACATGGAATATTAGCTCACTGGTTTCACTTCCAATCAGTTATCTTTTGCTTATAACAAATTTCCGAAATCATAAAGGTTTTTTATTTCATGCTGATGATGTCGTATCTCACTTGACATATGAATATTTTTGAATCACTGAAGTTGCAGTTCAGAATGCGATTAATATTGGATCTTCGAACCTACTTGAAGGACTCGCTGTTGATGACTGTTATAATAAAAATACTGTTTGACTATAAATTCTGTTCTATAGCATCATTAATCAAATACTGATCTCCCATTCTAATACATTCTTTTCGTTATAAAAGTATTAATTAATTATAAATGTCTAATCGGTCGAATTGGTCACTAATTGACTCTCCGCGGGATCTACTAATTGACTGCAGAAATGTTCACCTTGGTATATCAGAGGATTATGCTATGTGCATAACATCAAGTATCTTAGGATTTACATCAGCCTATATTTTCCCATTTGTGTGTTTATTTGGCGTTATCAGTAATATATTGGTAGGAGTGATATTTATCTTCTTGATATCGAATTCTTCACGTCAAATGATATATATGGGTGTATTAGCTATAACAGATTCACTTACACAGTTTATATTTGGCTGGTTGTGGATATTTCCAGCTAAAGGATTACCTTATGCTACCTATGGTCGTGTATATTATTTTACATTTTATGCATCACCAACAATTTGTCGTCTACATAGATTCGCTTATTCATTCACATGTACAATAAGCGGTAATTTACTAATTTTAATGGCTATAGATCGATGTTTATGCGTTTATATGCCTATCAGATATAGTAGAATACCATTACGTTATGCATGGTATTTAATAGCATTAGTTGTTGTTATCAGTGGTGCTATGATGACACCATTTGCAATATTAGTTGACTGGTACAAAAACGATGGTTTTATCACCTGTTGGTTAAATTATGATCAAATTTTTTTAAATATATATCATTCTTTTCTATCTGGTTCCTGTTTTATACAAATTATGGTTGTCAGTTGCTTAAACATCTCATTTCTTATTAAAATACGTAATTTGATTAAAAATCGACGTCAATTAAATAAAAAATCGAATGAATGTAAAGAAGTGGCTGCTTCAATTGTCCTATTAATTCTCTGTGTATCTACGTTAATCGCTTCATTGCCTCAAAGTACAGCATATATTGTATCCTTTATCTTACCATCTCTACTAAAAAGGGAATCATTACGTGGACCACTTCGTTTAGCTTATAATATTGCAGATATTTCATGGCATTTCATATTTATTCAAGCCTCCTGTAATATTTTTCTTTATGCTCATCGGATTAGAAAATTTCGAATTGTTTTATTTCGTATAATAAAATGTCAAAATTTACAAGATATATCCAGTAATCGAACATCAACTGACTTTACTACAAAAGTGATCACCAAAAATACTGGTGCTTAAAATATTCTCATGGGCCCAATTGATCTCTTTTTTCCTCTTTTTTTAAAAGTCATGCTTGAAGACTGAATAGACTATGTTCTATATTTTATGCCTAATTGCTATAGCTTTTTATTAGAAGAATGTATATGTAATCTTGCCTTATATTTATTAGTTATTTTCTGTGATTCTGTTATTGAAATGTACACATGCTTGATAGTGTTGTTTATATGCAAATCTATCTCTTCTTTACGTGTGTATGTGTGTTGCAACAATGATTTGAAAAGTAGATCAATTTACAGGCACATCCTTCGTGTGATGTTTCTTTGTACGTCTGTGAATATCACCAAATTAATTATGATGAACCTTGAATGAGTAAAGTGATTGAATAAATAAAGAATTATGTTTAAAGTTTTCACTTGATTACTTATATCTTTTGTTTACTTAGCTAAGTGGATTAGGTTTGATATATCAATAACTCAGACATACCACTTTCATGTTCTGTGTTGTAGATTTACACGTACTTTGTCCCATGCGGATAGAATGTATCGTTCTCTACTCAGTGACTTGTTATTGTAAGAGTGAAGGAAACGAGAAGACAGAGACGAAGGAAGGAATGTTTATTATTATCATATGATGTAGTAGTCGTTAAATATGATACACTTTGCACTAACACAGTCATTTGCATAATACACTTTGTTTCTCTCTTGATTTGTTCTTAATACACCCGCGTTGTCTCTTGCGTTTTTCTGGGCAGAATCTTTACCTACTGCTAATAGTTCCCTATGATTTCTGCCGCCCTTTCAATATATACTACTTATATCCATTCTTATCAGCAATGTCCACTACAAGAGAACCACTGGTATGCAGAGTAAACTTTGTTTTGCACAAGAGAAAATAAACATACTCAGAATTGTGACTCATCTGATCCTTCTAATTACGATGTATTTTTAAGAAAAGTAACTGTAGCACCTGGAAGTAACTGTTATTGTTGACATTTTGTGTTACGTAACTTAACATTGGAACATTTATCTGTAACTAAAAAAAGTAGAAGTCCTAAGAAGCTCAAAATTGTATTTGACGACTGATTTTTACAAGTTTTGTCTTTTTCTGATATACGATAGTGTGAGTAATACTGAGATAAAAGGAAGTGGATTAATTGATAGTATGGGAAATTTACACATACTAAGATGTTACATGTATGTATTGTTGTTTCCCAATCATCGCCTATGTTGATAACTGATGACACCTGAAATAGAATTGAAATGAAACAACAATATCTGTGATCATTTCAGAGTAAGGTGCGTACTCAATGTCGTTCGTTGCTTGTTTGCGTTGTCTCAGAAAAGGTAACTTAACCTTGTTGAGTTCACTGCCTTTATGAATGGCTATAAATGTGTATCGTTAAAAGGTTTTAAGTAATGCTGACCTTCCTAGCTGGTTATCAGCAGTCACTTGAAGGCCGCGGATAGAGAATTTTGCGCTATCTCTTTCTGTCAGCAAGATGTATCTACACCATTGAGAGGGCTGGTTTCTCATCAAAGATCTAAACTGAAATCAACGGAAAATCGTGGATAAAATTCAGCGGGCTTTTAACATTAGTCAATATGAAACAAGTTACTTTCCAGTGGCTAATCAACTCATATTGATTATCCATTTCACGAACATAAAAATATTTTCAGTTGCTAAATATTATCTAGTTTGCGCACCCGGTTGTTAGCACATGTGGCGGTGAGGCACAATTTTTAGTATGTTATGACTTTGTGTTGCCTTGAAAATATGCACAGATTTATCCTACTGTTGATTATTTCCTTTTATAGAATCCGAATTCGTCCTTAAACAAAGATACTAGTTTTAACAGTACTACTGCCTGTAATGCTATGTTTCCTGGATTGTTTTGGCTTTTGGATTCTGTTTCTCAAGGTAGTGAACTGTCTAAGTTATCAGAAATATTAAGTCAAATGTATCAAATACAAAGGAAACAATATGAAAATCGAGGTTAGTCGGTTTTCTTGTTGTTGAAATTCTTGAACACTAGGTTTATTTAGTTATTACCCTTAGTATTTTCTTCCCACCACCCTCCTCCCCTACCACTATGTGGGTTCAATGGCATATGAGAATACCTGTGTTTGTAAATTTAGTACTACGAAACGTCAATATTCTGTAACCGTTTTTTGAAATTTCTGAGTAATGTTTGTTAACGATATCCACATTCTAATCCTAACATGAATTTACTGTTTAATTATCGAGGTTATTATCACTGATTGTCTCCTGTGGACGGGGTCATATTATGAGACTGGTTTAATTTCTTAACTCACTTCAGCCATGTTTACTTTCACACATGTGCTTCACTGGTTATTCTATGGTTTGGAAATTCATTCAGCTTCTCCTGATTATTGTTACAAACTTTCATTGTTAGGAGGTAACTTAGTGTTAGGTTAGGTACAGCTAACAAGGTATTGAATAGAGTTGATAAAGTATCAATTAGAAAATAACTATTCTGTTTATGAATTATCACTTGATAAGATTCAGTCACTTAATAGGATGAAATTGTTTAATAAAATTAAAATATTTGGGCTAACTGCATCTAAATTTTCCATTTTGAAAATCTACTCATTTTGGTTAAATAAGACTATTATTAAGTTTCCATGTTTGGGACTTGGACTAAAGAGCTTTCAGTCAGTTGATATACTTATCAGCCATTATTTGGATCAAGCAATTACTTTTTTATCGACACAGTCTAGTCAAATACCATCTTCGGGTTAAGAAATGTAGCTACCATTTGGTTTGGGACAATATGCATGGATTCTAGAGTCTTATTGGTTATAACCAGGCTCAATATCTACTTAGTTCCTAGGTTTATAGTTTATTTTATAGATCAAATTCATTCAGATGTTGGTTTATTATAAGATTCATGGTTGTAGAGACCGTTTGCGTTGGCATAGATCTATGCTCCTTGTAGGAACTCATCACATCGGATATCTGCTTCCATGGTAAAAAAGCACAACTTTCTGTGTGTTACAATACGAGAACATATTAGTTAACCTTTTGGAGACAGGAATTACTCTTTGTATAAGCGTTCACTTGAGTAATTTGTTGAAGTGAAGTGGTGAAGATTGATAAGGTTATAACTTAAATAGATTCTGGTATCTTCGCACTTCTGCTTGCATATATAAATACAGTTATGAAATATTTAGTAGAATTCTTATCAGTAATTAAAATGTATTAAACTTCCGTATTTTTAATTATTTTAGATTTACGAATTATTCGTCGGTTTAAACGTTCTGCATCATCATTTATACTAAATCATAATTTGTCTACAACTCCTATTGAATATACACCATCTCGAAATTGGTTCGCACCATATCATCGATCAACTTGGTGTAAAAAAATTATAAGTTTATTAGGACAATCCCAACTGTGAGTATAATTACATAACTAAATGCTTATTTCAGTACTTTTTACTCATTGATATGCTGAATAGGTTCATTGGAAAGATTTTATTATATTTACTGCATAAATTTTTGCACTGTTGGAAAATTTTTTTTAATCGATGTAAGGTGTACTCAAAGTGACTATCACCACCTTATTGTTAACGAAATTGAAAAAAAAAAAATTTAGTATATAATATCGTTTCAATATGTGTTATATCAAATCAACCTATTTCATATGGAATTCTAGGTGTATTGATTATTAGTTGAATGTTGTGAACGATAAGTTATCTTTTTTTCATTCAATCACAGACAAATTCCTATTCTACCTATTTCATCATAGTAAACTAGGTAGTATACTTTATTTAGTTACTTGGCATGGTAAACAAATATTACTTGGCTTTATTCTGGGATGCTTTATCACTGTTTTGAAGTTATTCGTTGTCAAGTTCCTGTAACTCAAAGTGTCTTAAGCCTTGTCTTCAGACTATCTCATTTAAACTTATACATAGTATTTCTAACAACTCAAAATAATACCGGAAGAATCATAAGCAAACCATTAGGTATTTGAAGTTGGTATTCACCATGGACTGATACCAGTTGAAGAAACCTTGGATAGATATTTCTTTTTGTACGAGGTACCTAAGCAGTAAACTTTCATAGCTTCACTAGGGATCAAATCAAGGAACATCAGGTTCCGCGGCTATCACGTTACCTTTGGACCACTGGATTGGAATCTAGTGGTCCATATTTCCTACTACATTGTAAACTGAAAGAAGCAGGAAATAAATAAATACCCACGAACCTCAAAATTAAGTTTCAGTGTACTCTTATTATTTTTATTAGTATTATTAATATTAGTGAAATCAGCCCTGTGAAAATTCACCATTATTCAATTGAAGACAACTTCTTTTTTTATAAGCACCTGTGTTTTCTAGTATTTAAAACGTACATATTTCCTAACCTATTTACTTATTCATTTAAACAAAAGAAATGAAATAGGAGATCAACTATAAAATGATAATTTCTTTTTCTATTATTCGAATTATACTCTCTTAGTATATGCATATACAAATGCACTCAATTCTAATTTTATATTTTCATATTTTAAAACATTCTAACTACTGGATAAATATTATATATATATATATATATATATATATATATTCTGTCTGGAGGTTTGTAGAGATTTATTAGTTGATTTGAGGTTGGAATTCAGCCAAGTTGAACGTGAAGAAAGTTACTCAACGATGATATTAGATGTAAGTCTCATTATATCGTGAACTGAGAGAAGTAGGAAATATGAACCATTGGATTCCGACCCAATAGCTCAATGATAATGTGCTGACTACGGAACCTGAACGTCCTGGGTTCGATCCCGGCGGGGTCATGGATACTCACTGCTCAGGAGTACTATACTAGGACGAAAGAGATATACAGTGCTTTCACGTTTCCAATATTCCTCCAACTGATGTTATTCCATGATGAACTCCGACCTAAAATCAATTAGTTGGTATTGTTGCACATTTACCGGTGGTAATTTTTTGAGTTTATTATCATCATAATCATATTTTGTTTGTAATATGAAGATACATTTGAATCATTCTATTGATCATCAGGATCAATATTATTCATTGCATATATATATATCTATATATATATATATATATATATATATATATATATATATATATATATATATATATATAGGGTTTTTGAAAATTTGCATCATGATACCATGATGAGTAGACACTTTTGTTGTTTGTCTATCTATCCATCATCATATTTGTAAAATATCACTAACTTATGATCCTTTTATAAAGCATAAAAAAATGTCATACTGGTTCTTTGCATTCACAGCAGTTTTCTACACACTGTGGGAGACTGATGTTAGTAATATATACACAGAACTAATAATAATAATAATAATAATAATAATAATAATAATAATATAATTATTTAATGTATTTTTACGAGAAATGAAAATTATTCTTTTGTATAGAAATATATTGCAACGCTTCGCATCATCATAGAACAGAGTAGAATGGCAGTCAACTCTCCACCTTACCTCAATTTCATCGACTTTGAAAAGGCCTTTGACAGCGTCGACCAAGAGGTAACTGCTTCATTACTACGGAATACCGCAAACCTTTATCCGCCTCATTCAACAAATATATGAAGACGCATGCCACATGCCAAGTAATTCACAATGGAAGCTCAGTGATGCTTTTGAAGTGAAGACAGGAGTGAAACAAGGTTGCCTACTATCCCCCATGATACTCCTGATTGTGGTCGACTGGATCATGCAGCAAACAGTGGGGAGCTGTGAGAAGAGGGAGATACGCTGGACTGCGGATTTCACCAGTGATGACTTGTGTCTGATGTCACACAAACTTGAAGATCTACAGGCGAAAACTAACAAGCTATCAGAAGAGGCGAAGTAGGGCAGCGAAGATGGGACTTCAGGTGAATGTAGAGATGACAGAGGTAGAGGTGATAAAGACACCCAACCAACAACACCACTACCAACAACAAGCTCTAATCACCATCAACGGGAGAAACTTAAAGGAAGTAACCTCCTTCACCTATCTAGGCAGCACTGTTTCAACTACAGGTGCCACAGGCACAGACGAGGATGTCAAAGCCAGCCAGGATCGGAAAGACAGCAAGACAGGCGTTCATTAGCCTGAAACCAGGGTGGAGATCTTCTGCACTCAACATGCGGAACAAGACCCGGATTTTCAACACCAACGTCAAGTCAGTGCTTCTGTATGGTTGAGAGACTTGGCGCATTACGAAAAGGATTTCCAATAAACTACAGACATTCATCAACAACTGCTTACGCTGTCTCGTTACTGAAGATCAGATGGCCAGAAAGAATAAGCAACAAGGAGCTGTGGGAACGAACCAACCAAGAACCTATCATACAACAAATATGCACTGGAGGGAAGTGGAGATGGATTGGGCATGCACTGAGAAAGCCGACTGGGGACATCACGGGTCAGGCCAGGCCCTCGAGTGGAATCCCCATGGGAAGCGACGAGTTGGACGTCCGAGGCGAGGGTGACATGGAGGAGATCGTGTGAGGAGGAAATGAGAGGTTGTGGGCTGTCGTGGAACCAGGTTCAAAAGATTTCGGAGAACAGAGTTCACTGGAGACGTGCTACTGAAGCCCTATGTTCCATTAGGAACCCAAGGGACTAATAATAATAATAATAATAGAAATATATTCTCCTCACGCTTTTGATTGGTATATCCAAAAGATAGTAAGTAATATTATCATTCTTTTAGTGAAATAAGTATAGCGAATAAATTTCAACACATTAGTTAATTTTCATAAATTTCATTCCAGACAGATGTTGAAGAGAATTTTAACTTTTGTACTTGGTAACTTGGTAACTTCATTTTATCGTCTGAGATTTAAAGTTTATAGTGGTAATACCAAGTTGTGCAAATGTTAATGTTGTATGTTTGAATGATTGAAAGAAAGTAACAAATCATGGTGGAGTTTATCAATTGTGTTGTATCCAGTCCCACCGTTTTACAACAAAGAATTTTATCTTAAATTTATATTGGTTAGCTAGTGCTTACGAAATTTATCAAAGAAAGGAACATATTGATTACATATCTTGGATTGTATATTTAATAGTTTAGCATGAAATGCTATTGAAATTAGATTTTCAATCTCTCATTGATATCCTGAGAACCAGTATTCATACAGAAGAGGAAATAAACCATATCAGTTGTAATCGATTGATGGTGGTAGATGAAGCCTCAACATGGACAAAATAGGCTTTATTCCTTCTTTCTAACCTACAATGTTTATAGTACTAACGAGACATTTAGTTACGTAATTAAAGTCCTGTTCATTACATAGCAGCTCCTTCTGTCATAACACACACCCATTTTAGTTAGAGAAGATGAGAAGGCTTCAGATTTTCACCTACTTATACCTCAGTTGAATCACCCACATATGTTAAAACCATTGCATGTATAGTCTAAAAGTTAGATGTAGAATCTTAGGTAAGAGAGATAAATTACTTCATATGTCTTTCGTTGGCTGATGTAAGTAGGTAACAGTGTAAATGCTCAGTCACCGTCTAATTCGATTTGCTTTATCAGTGGAAGTAATCAGAATCATGATATGGGTGGTGGGATCAAGAAACATCAGAAATCTACAAAGTTGTTTACTATTACTACAAACACTTTACGGAAATGTTGGCTTTAGTTCACCAGCCAAGTAAATCCTGTAGTTGGAGACTTCAGGTGATTATCATTCTGACAATCTAAGATAGTCATGGTTTGACAGACTAGCATTTATACTGGATGATGGTTGAAGGTGAAATGAGAATAGCGTGCCATGAATTCACATGGTAGTTGGACAAAACCCATGGTGATTGAAGTGAAATAATAAATCTGGTCAACAGTTGGACCTCGTAGCTCAGTTAGTAGAGAATCGGACAGGAAAACCCGGTGGTCACTGGTACGAATCTGGCCGCGGTCCAAATTCCCATTTCACCTTCAATCATTACCTAGTCAAAACAGATTACTGCACGACAGATGCATTTACTTGTTTTCCTCATTTTAGTTGTAGTATCAAACTTTTCGATTCACTTCACCTCCTCCTCTTTTTTTCTGTATCTCATTGACCTTTAACGATCTTTGTTAGCGTTATTATTGTTTCTTTGTCTTTTCCCTTGCTACTTTGTTCGTGATGTTGTTTTATGAAGTGTTACAGCCAAAAATGTTGCAAAGCAATACCGGGTCTGGTCCTGTTGTCGTTTAACTGACTGACCATTATAACAATCCCTTAGCTTTTCGTCATTACGTAGTGCTTGACAAGTATTTTCAAGCTGTTATTATATACTTCTGTTCTAAGCAGATAATGTTTTGTTTTAATCTCGTTTTATGATGATCGTAATAGTAAGCAAATTTTACTGCAACAGAGTTGTGAATGGCTTAATTTTTGTTGTTGTTTTATAGTTTGGTTGTCAGTGAAAGTATTTTTTTTTTCAGAAAAATAACTGTGATCATATGAAAGGAAAGCAACAATTTCTCATTGGAATAGCTTACATTCTCATTGATTCACCTTGTCTAAATACTGGTTTATTGTGCATAGTGTATTAATAGTAGATCAGCTGATATAATATTGTCATCCTTTGTTTACTTGCCTTACCGTGAAATGCATACTATGATCAGTATATACTGAATATAAAATAGACCAATTCATCAAATACACGTACCTATAAAATTGTAAAGGTGTTTACCTTTATGATTTGTTGATATTACTGTTCGTTATATCTCAAGTTGACCTTGACTTAAAGAGATTTTGTTTTATTTTTGAATAGTATATTTTATATAAACTTGTGGTTGTAGGTTTTCCCCAAGTTATTATCTATCACAGATTGACATCAGTTGAAGGAATATTGGAAACCTGGAAGCACTGGACAGCTCTTTCGTCCTAGCATGGGACTCTTCAACCATGCACACCCACGACTCCGCTAGGGACCGAACCCGCAACCTTCACGTTCCGTGGCCACCACATTACCATTGGGCTACCGGGTTAGGATCCAATGGTCCAGTTCACAACATAGTGCGACCATCACCCAATGTCATCGTTAAGTATTTTTCCTCGCGTCCACCAGGTTGTAAATTTCACTAGATGTTCATTTATTGGCTGAGTTGTTGACCTTCTCCATCTATGGATGTCTTGAGTAGTTGGATAGAATCATTTTGTATGTTTTAAAAGTTAGTTTAACTGTCTAAATAACGTTGAATGATTTTGAGCACAAACAAGTCTAATGTTCCGTTAACTAATGATGTATGTTTTGGTATGGTCATCGATAAAAAGAAATTCGTCTATTGAATTGTGGTGAATATCTTTCATCCTACCGTTGTTAACAATTGTATTGTCATGTCCCCCAGTGAGTTATTTTATTGTATGACTTGTTTTCTCTCTTCCTCTATTTTTACCTTTATCCAGTGCCTCTCTACGTAGCCTTATAGGAATGTTAGAATATAAAGAGGATTATTTAAGTTCATTTGTGCCTGTAGGTCCAAATCATATTGGTGTTTGTTCAAATGTGAAGTCAGTGATGGTAAGTTGTACAGTCTTCATTGATGTATTTTAATGGCGTTATTGATAAATGAAGAAACCAACCATTTAACTAAAGAAATATTTTTCTTTTCGACATTAATTATTAAAGTTGCGCAATCGTATTTGTAAGCATTGAGAACAGGTAACAGTGTTTTCATCCAATGGTAAGATGGCGTTGGATTATTATTACAGTGCTGAAAAGTAGGGTAAACAGCTGTTTCTAAACCAGAGAGAGATTACTTACTAATAAGTGAAGTAACTACGCAATCAAAATGTGAGGTATTTGCTAAGGTTAGTAGTGATAATATATATTGACTGAAATGGTTAACTGTGTACTCGAGAGATGAAAGGAAGTTGAAGAAAGAGGTAAGAATCCTAATGAGAGTCATATAACCCCATCAGAATCCTCGTTTACAATCGTATACAAAATTATTTCCCTCACCTGCCACCTCCAAGCAGAAGTCCTGAACACCATAAAGCTGCTGAAATCCAGTGAAGCAGCAGGACCAGAAGGAATCCCCTCAGAAGTGCAGAGAACAGACGCAGAGACAACAGCGGACATGCTCACACCACCATTTCAGAAGGTTTGCATGCAAGGAAGGAAAGGTACCTGACTATTGATTGGAAGAAGGGCTACATTATAAAACTCCCAAAGAAGAAAGACCTAAGTCTTTGCAAGAAGAAGAACTAGCGAGGAATCATGCTCCCACTCTTGTCTACACAAAGCAAAATATTAAGCCGCATCATCCTGGAGAGACTAAAGAATGCTCTGGATTCAATATTACAACCAGAACATGCTGCCTACCTTCAGGAAGTACAAATCATGTGCGGACCAAATTACAACACTATGCTACGCATCATTACAGAACAGAATACAGAATGCCAGTCAGTTCTTTACCTCAACTTCATCGATTTTGAAAAGGCCTTCGACAGCGTCGACTGGGAATTAATTTTGCAGGCAGCTGCTTCAACACTACGGTTTTAGTGCCACAAACCTTTATCAATCTCATTCAACAGTTATATGAAATGTGATACTACATGCTTCACTACGTGCTTCACAATGGGAAGCTCAGTGACGCCTTTGAAGTGAAGTGTAGACAGGAGTAAGACAAGGCTGCCGCCTACTATCACCGATCATCTTCCTGATTGTGGTCGACTGGACTGGGGTCGATCATGCAACAGACAACTGTGAGGAGCGAGATGATGGGCATACCCTGTTTGACTGATGGAAAGACCTTAGAGGAAGATTTGGATTTCGCTGATGATGACTTATATCTAATGTCTTGTCGCACAAACTCGAAGATATACAGATGAAAACCAACAAGTTGACAGAAGTGGCGAGGCAGTGAAGACGAGACTTCCTCCAAGTGAACGTAGAGAAGACAGAGGTGATAAAGATACCCAACCAACAACAGCATCAACAACAAGGACCAATCACCACCAACAGGAGAAACCTAAAGGAAGTAGCCTGTCTCACCTTTCTAGGCAGCATTGTTTTAGCTACAGGCGCTACAGGCACAGATGATGTCAAAGCCAGCATCAGAAAGACAGCTAGACAGGACTTCTACAACCTAAAATCAGTGTCAAGATCCAGTGCACTCAGCACAAAGCATGAACAAGATCTGGATTTTCAACACTAAGTCAGTCAAGTCAGTGCTTGGCGCGTCACGCAAAGCATTTTCAACAAACTGCAGATATACAATAACAGCTGCTGGTTACGCTCATTCGATACTGGAGATCACATGGCCAGAATAATGAGAATAAACATGGAGGAACTCTTGCTGGCAGCGAACCAATCAAGAAACTGTCGCCCAAAAAATATGCAGAAGAGAGTGAAGATAGATCGGACACACCCTGAAGAGACCATTCGGGAACACCACGAGCCAGGCCAGTCTTCCGAGTGGAACCGAAATAAGAAACGAAGAGTTCAGGTTCCGAGGGTGACTTGGAGGATCATGTGAGGAAGAAATGAGAGCTTTTGGGCTGTCGTGGAACCAGGTTCAAAAGACTGCAGAGAACAGAGTGGAATGGAGACGTGTTACTGAAGCCCTATGTTCCACTAGGAACCCAAGGGACAAATAGTAATAATAATACCTGCCACCACCATGTATATCAATTTCACAATATCTTTCTTTTTCTGTTTTACTTTGCTGATTGATTTATGGTTTCCAATTTGTTTTCTAAACTAACAATGCATCTGAGTGTCTGAATGTCGTTTTTTCTTATGATTGTCTATGCTTGCTTTATTTTGATGATATTTCCTCATTGTTATAGAGAACTAAAGCGTAATGGATATAATTAGCATCATATACCTATTTTATTCAATATCATCAAACTGAGATCGTTTTTCCAGCGAACACTACTGATTATTTTCCTGTTACTTACGCTGATCAGTAGTATACGTGTTATTTTATTTCTTTATAATTCTCTTACAAATCGACTTAGTCCCAAAATGTGAATACTGGCAGTGTTCACTAAGATATTGAGGTAGATAGGGCTGAACGTTTTTGCCACTTAACCGTTAAAAAACGTAATTATATTGAAAGAGATCAACAATTAAATTAGTTGTATTATCGGAGGTTGGCATAAGTGTGTTGTCGATTAATTAGTCTATGTGAAATTCTGTTATCGAAATAGTAATTTTGAAGAATTTTGTTAAATCTTGCTATTTATTTTCACTATACTGTGATATAGTAGATACTTGTAGGCAGAATGTGCTGTTTTTGTCTATTTAAAAAAATATTTTTATATAAAAGTTAGCACACTACATATGATTACTAGACAGTTGTAAAGTAGTGACCTATCTTTCAAGTGACACAATTTTAACTGTATTAGAGGAAGGAATTTAAGGTATGCGTTTCATTCTTGTAACAAACTTCACATACTGAGAACTTATCGTCCTCCAAAGTCTGCATCAATTGAAAGGTAATTGAAAAAAAGTATGTCATTCGATATACGCATACCTATATTACGAAAGTGAGACTCTTATTATTGGACACAAAATTTTGATCTGTGATACTCAAAACCTCTGGTCATCATTTGTGGCACAAAGAAAACAATGCTACTTGGCATTTGGAGCGCTTACTCGAAGGCTGTGATTGAAATTAGAATTTAGAGTCATATTACTCACAGATAGTAAGTAGTCATTTACGAGTTAACTAAATAAACTGAATCACTTTCATTTTCTTTTGTACGTTACATGTGTAAGGGAATTAAAAGAATCGAAGGGATGTTCTAAATACGTGCCGATGTTGTCAGTTGAATAATTCCCCAGGCCTAGTGGTTCTGTGAGTGTTCGTCATACTTGTATTAGTTCTGTGAGGTCAAATTGACTACTTTCTCATTGGTACTACTTATTTTTGAAATATAGCATTTTGCGCCTAAATTTCTGTGATTATGGGATGTTTGCGACTTTAATGAGTTGAGGAGAATATTATGGAGTCTAATTAAGGGTATACGGCTTTATCCGCAATAGTGTAATGTATTTGCGAGCATTTGGGCCTTTGGCTTCAATGGGAGTTGTTTACATATCAGCTGATTTAACCATTTGAGTCAGAAACTATGGTCTCACTTCGAGGTGTATTCTACGAAAGATTTCAGTCGCCTTCTTTATGCTGACGCAGGTATCTTAACACGCGAAAGCCCCCTGTGTATCCAGTAACATTCCTGCAGCCATTTTTGATGGAGGTTGGTTTTTTAGCATTGTGTTAAGGGGGAAAATATTGTTGTGCACTTTCTGAACAGTGCTTAAGTTGATACATTTCTTGACCATTTGGTGGGAACTCCACTATGAACATATATACTTCTGATGTATTTTCTCCGCTTGCTTGGTAAATTTCGTTTACATATTTACTCAAACCACTGATATGCTGCAGACTGTAACAGTCGAAAGTTCAGAATACGTATTTTATTGGAACAGTGTTAGTTTAAAAGACAACACTGAAATCATATGCATACTAACTGAACGGAAATTATTTCAAAGTAAAAACAGATAAATAAATACTCATTGACAAAGAAGGAACACGGATATGCATTCAACAGTGTTATTGTTGCTTATTTCCATGTGCTCGTAGCACAAAATCAAGACAAAATGAACTAGTTCTACTCTAACTACATTTTGTTCATGTATTCTTCACTTGGTTACTGACTTCATTTATCATTAGGGAACTGATGTGATCTAGTTCAGCATGCTTGTAATTCACTTCATTACTAAAAAATGAATGTTAGGGGGTAACAATCTAACATTATTTCTGACTCCAGTGTGTAAGATGAAGTGTCCAGAGATAAAGATAGAAGTCAACAAACATCCATCATAAGTAACACCTAACAGTATTTGCGCATCAACACCTACAAATTCACACCAAAGTACGTTCATAAAACAGAGTGTCAAGGTATCAATGTCACGTTTGAACTTGACGTGATCTACGAAATGGGTTGGATAGGACTAGTCAAAACGATATTGGTTACTCTTCCATAACCAATCGATCTATTTAGTCCAGTCCATATATATATGCATCAATGCAACCAGGGCAGCCCTAGTTCCATGTTAGGAGCCTTCTTATGTTCTCCACTTTTAGTAGCCATATAATAGATTAGCGAACCGATGCGTTACGGGTTCAAGCACCGCTATATCTACCGAAGTTCGTGCAGCCATTTAGTGCCATTAATCCTCGCACAATAAGTTTAGCTCATTGTCCAAGGGATTGAGACAAGCGCATTGTCTCTTCTCTCCAAATATTTTGTAGAACGATTTGTTTATTTTCCTATTCACTTCTATTTACTTCTTACACGTAGAAAAACCTACTAGTTGCCATCATTTGCTTTAGGTACATATTTGTTATGTTTTGCTAGCTTGATGTGTAAATGCCAAGCATTATTTTATCTTTCAAATTAAACATATTTTAAGATAACCATTTTGTTCAGACCATGTAAGCACGAACAACAAGTCATACAAGTATCTCAAACCAATTAGGCAATGCTGTGAATGCAAATATTCTGATTCAGATGATTCACATTGATATAAACCAAGCAAGCAATATGGGATGTGACTTCATGAATTGGTGTTCATAATGAAATAAAAGTGTTTCTTGTATTTTTGATGATGTGTAAGAATGGTCTGTGTTAACCGTTTCAAATCTCACTAAATCTTCTTCATTCATCTTTGTTAAGGATTTGTTAACCCGTTCTTTGTATGACTGTGCTGCTCATAATGCATCATATAATCCTAATGATCCTGGATCAGGTTTCAATGATGGTGGTCCACCAAGTGGTATGCATTGGATACATTGTTTCTTGCCGGTATCTACAGCTGGTCTTTGCCAATTAAATGAAGAAATTTCTATCAATCAGTTAATACGAACGAATTATGCTTCTGGTAATCATCATAATGCTACTACCAGAATAAACAGTACTTGTAATAATAAGGATAGTAATGACATATTCAATGAAAGTAATCCCAATCCATCCACTTCATATTTACATGAGTTAGTGAAACGTTATCCGAATAAAAACTTAGTGTTCAGTCCAGCTCGTATATGCGTTAATTTAATACGCTCACAGATTCGTGGCATAGAGTTAATTAATACATTGCAAGCTGTGAAATTAAGTTATCCAGATCGTTTATCCTTGAAAGAATTTCGTAATCGTTTCGCCTGTCTATTACCATTAAGTTCAAAAGTCAAGGAGTTGAATAATGATGAATCATCCAATAGAACTGTAAGTCTTTTTTATGTTTATTTTTTTCAGTTAATAAAAATCATGTCTTTTATTGTAATACCCGGTTGCAGTTTTCACTGAATGACTGACAACTTGAAATAGAGAAAGGAAAAGAGAGACTTCAAACATTTTCCTACACGGTTAATTAGTTAGTTAGTTGCCTTAATTATTTTCTGGATAGTCACTTTGCATCAGATTGTGAGGGGAGGGTATCCTTAAATCTACCATTAGTTTAGCACATACTTTTCATGACGTCTGCTTATAATGAGGTGATACAACGTTTGCAATAGAATAGTAACCGTAATCGATGTTCCTACGATAGATTTTATCCCTAATGTTACTGAAAAGAGCTAGTTTGAGCAGAACAAAAGTTGAACGTGTGAATATAATGCTTATTAGTTCCTTCTGGAGTTAGTAGTAGAAAAAGTGATAAAAGTAGGCAGAATAAATGGCTGTATTGGCGGTAATGAGGTTACAGTTTCGTGAGTTGGTTCTAAAATTTAATCTTTAAATCACAATTTTGAATCCACTCTCTGTTTCCGTCCAAATATCATGACAACCTTGTTTCATTCTGAACATTGTTAAGATCGCTGGAAATGGCTGTTACGTGGGAAAGAACTTTGTAAACTTTCAGTAGAATTATTAGAATATCTCTGATATTATTTTATGCAGGAAACTAGTTACAATCATTTTATCTGATGCCAAGGATCATTTTTATTCACAGCTTTCTCGTTGTCTCTCCTCAAAACACGTGAACAAGCAAGTTCATAGATTTTATGTTACTATGGCTAATTACAAAAACTCAAGCCTATGTTATTTAACAGTCTATCTTATGTAGTGAAAGTTATTTTATAAAAGAACTTTTTCATTAACTTTGCAATAATGAATGAATCACAATTTTATTCTTTTTGTCATCTGTATTTTATTGCTTATGATACCATTACTAGTAATTTTGTATTGTTATTCACAATATGAAAATGTTTTACAAGTAGTAAATTTGTTGTAATGTTACACGCAGAGAATTTCAAACAGTATCATAAATATTTTCTTCAGTAAAGTGATCTTTATCAATAATAATTATCCAAGTTTATAACTGATGGCCTGTAAAAACATTCACAAAATAGTAAAAATATTTATAAGTATTAGAGTATAAGTGAGTTTACTTACATTGAAACTCGAAATACTTCAATAGTAATTGTCGTATACACAAATAAAGAATATATTATTTACTAATACTTTTAATTTTCTGTTGTTACACTGAGTTGAATTGTCCGACCTTTGTTGGGAGATGGGATCCTATGCAGATGCTTCGATACTGCCTGGATATTCATTATATTGTAGTCTATTTGATAGCTAGCAGTGGAATCCAGGGCGTACGTTTCACCCTATTTGGGTACTTTATTTGAATCTCGGTGAAAGCAGCATCGCTCAATGAGGTGCAGGTATATCCAACTGACAAGTTCCGAGAAGGGGGAAACCCGTGCTTTGAATTTCACTGCTAGCCATTAACTAGACTACAAAAGAATATGGTAGTTCATCGGAATTTTCGGTGGGTTTATCTTAAACTTCAGATGTTGCTATTATCATATCCTAAGAATATCATTACTTTCTAAACTGTACTAGCGATTTTCACCAAACCTTTTGGTTGAGAGAGGTGCAATCAATTTTCTGAATTACCTGACTAACATTGTGCACTACTAAAAGTTTCAAAATAGTTCATAACTCCTCATTTGAAGCTTAACTTGAATGCTCATTGGCTTATGCACTTGAGATTCATGTATTAAGATCTAATTTCGAGTCCTGCCCCATCTACTTCGAACTGGTTGGCTACGTAGCACCGTAAACCCTCATACATTAGATTTGAGCACATAACCCTAGTATATACATCTGTACTGGCTTGCCAAGTTGGATTATCTTGCAGAGTAAAGGAACGTCTAACCAGTATTTCCTAGTTTTTCAGCTGGTTGATTTCTCTATCAAAAAGTATTAAGTGGTGTAATGGCAATGTCTTCCAGACTTGATCCTGCTCTTAATTCTTTTCAAAATAAATTATTGTTGTGCAATACAGTAATTTCATTAAGGTTCATGCGCTAGGCTGTGAGCCATATCTGCTGTGTATGTGTTGCTGATACTGGGAATCTCTTTCTGCCTACCTTGTAAGACTCAGCAAATATACTTTAGTAAGAAGTTGTTCTGTTTTTCGAAAAAAAAACTCTTTTGGTTGAATCTTTCTCCCTCTCTTGAACTTAGAATGAATAATTGAAGGATATATGCTATTGTGCAGTACTTTAACCCAAGTGAAATAAGTGACCGCCAAATGTTAACACGAAATTGGTTATGATTGACCGCTTTTTCTGGCTAATATTTAGCACACCTCATCATCGTCATTGATAATTCCTTTCTATTTCTATTTTTATTTTCAAGGTTGCAAATGAAATTTTGAATTCTCTACGTTATTCTCCAGAAACATTTCAACTTGGCAATGCTAATGTAAGTTATGGTTAACTAGTTTTCTTTAAGCCTTTCTGTGTACTTATAATATTCATCGTGCTTGTATCAAACCCGAACTGGTTTACATTTTGTTCACTCAATGATATGCTAAGGTAAATTTCGTCGTATTATTTACTGAACTTCTTACCAATGAGTCACGGATTCGAAATCCAATTTACCTATTTTAATTTCAGGGTGGTATTTATCACACAGTGGACACCATTTAGAAAAGCGTTGAAAACCTGGAAGCACTAAACAGCTGTTTTGTCCTGGTGTTGAACTTCCTAGTGGTACACACCCATAACCTCATCATGGGCAGGACATTGAGGTCTTGTGGTAAGCACTTCATCATGAAGTCATTGGGTCGGAATCCAATAGTCCACATTTTACTCTTTCTGTCAGCTCGCGATTTATCGCGACCTTCATTCAATGGCATCGTTTAGTATTTGTCGTCACATTCGATTTAGTAAACCTGACAGAACTTTGAGAACTACACTTTGAAGAATGTCACTATACAACACTGAACAGTAATTCAGTTTAGAAGGTTGTGGGAATCGGTCGATTTCAAAAAGGTTTTGGGTTCGATCGCTGAAGGTGTCGCGGGTAAGCACTTCTTAGAAGTCCCTTACTAGGATGAAACAAATTTCCAGCGCTCACAGGTTTTCGGGAGTCCTCCAACCCATGTCAGTTTGTGTTGAATACCACCTTTAATTAAACCAGTCTGTATAAACCTTCAAACTGAATCACCTGCTTTGACTTCAACACTTGCACGGTGCCCTAAGTCCTCACAAAGTATTTGTACCCCATAGTGTAATACTTGTATAATCACTATCTGAGTTACATAAAGATGAAGTGTGAAATTTCTTGTTGAAGTTTATAACTTCCAGCCTTAGGGTTTAACAAGCAGTTGAGGTTGAATGTTTTCCGAATTGCTTTATCATGAGAAGGATTGATCAAGGGAAGACGTTTGTAAATTCACTCAAGATAAAAGTGATTTTCATCATCAAATTGTCAAATTGATAATTAAAAATTGTGTAACAATAGTAGTCGTGCTGTAACTCTGTGGAACTGTAAACATCTTAAATAGCGAAGTCAGACAGACAGGCTGATAGATCAACGTAGAACGTCGAATAGAAGAGCAACGGTCCCTGTCACCATTCTTCACGGTAGTATACAAAGAACAGATGTACAGAAAAAGAGTGGTATGAAAGTAGACAAAGTTATGTGAGAGAATAAACAACTTGAAGATAATGGTTAGTGCGACTATTCAAGCTTTAGGAGATACCAAGAAGTTAATACATCTGCTCCATTTTGATTGATTTTCAACCATGTTACCATGATTTCTCAACCTCCGATCCCTTTCGTCTCTCAGACGCCAGCTAGGAAGTCTCCATCTCCCCACACGACACAGACCAACAGCTAGAGACCTAATTATTACATTATTATTTGTCCGTTGGGTTTCTAGTGGAACATAGGGCTTCAGTAGCACGTCTCTATTCCACTCTGTTCTCTGAAATCTTTTGGACCTGGCTCCACCACTGCCCACAAACTCTCATTTCTTCCTCACATGATCTTCTCTATATCACCCTCGCCTCGGATGCCCAACTCGCCGTTTCCCATCTGGGTTCCACTCGAGGGATCGGCCTGGCGAATGATTTCCCCTAGTGATCTTCTCAGTGTATGCCCAATCCATCTCCACTTCCTTCCAGTGCATATTTGTTGAGTGATAGGTTCTTGTTTGGTTTGTTGCCAGCCAGACGGAGTTCCTTGTTGCTTATTCTTATTATTCTGGCCATCTGAGCTTCAGTAACGAGCCAGCTTAGGCAGTTGTTGATGAATATCTGTAGTTTGTTGGAAATGCTTTTTGTAATGCGTCAAGTTTCTGAACCATATAGAAGCAGTGACTTGACTGACTTAGTCTGTTGCATGATCGACCCCAGTCCAGTCGACCACAATCAGGAAGATGATCGGTGATAGTAGGCGGCAGCCTTGTCTTACTCCTGTCTACACTTCACTTCAAAGGCGTCACTGAGCTTCCCATTGTGAAGCACGTAGTGAAGCATGTAGTATCACATTTCATATAACTGTTGAATGAGATTGATAAAGGTTTGTGGCACTAAAACCGTAGTGTTGAAGCAGCTGCCTGCAAAATTAATTCCCAGTCGACGCTGTCGAAGGCCTTTTCAAAATCGATGAAGTTGAGGTAAAGAACTGACTGGCATTCTGTATTCTGTTCTGTAATGATGCGTAGCATAGTGTTGTAATTTGGTCCGCACATGATTTGTACTTCCTGAAGGTAGGCAGCATGTTCTGGTTGTAATATTGAATCCAGAGCATTCTTTAGTCTCTCCAGGATGATGCGGCTTAATATTTTGCTTTGTGTAGACAAGAGTGGGAGCATGATTCCTCGCTAGTTCTTCTTCTTGCAAAGACTTAGGTCTTTCTTCTTTGGGAGTTTTATAATGTAGCCCTTCTTCCAATCAATAGTCAGGTACCTTTCCTTCCTTGCATGCAAACCTTCTGAAATGGTGGTGTGAGCATGTCCGCTGTTGTCTCTGCGTCTGTTCTCTGCACTTCTGAGGGGATTCCTTCTGGTCCTGCTGCTTCACTGGATTTCAGCAGCTTTATGGTGTTCAGGACTTCTGCTTTTATCTGAGGGCTTGTGTTGACTGGTAATTTTACAGCTGGGCTGCTGGTGGTATTTCTGGACGAGTTGCAGGTGGTTGTGGTGGTGGTTGAGTTTTGTGAAGTCGTCAGACCATTTTTTTCCCTTTTTTCTCCTCTTTTGTAAATAAGTTTCCTTCACTGTCTTTCATTGGTTTCATTTGCGTTGATCTCTTCCCTCCCAGATGGTAACCTGGTTATTTTATATAGTGTTGTTTGGTATCTCCTATCTGCAGCCTGTTCTGCTTCACTTGTCACATCACTCGTAGAGGCGTCTTTTATCTTTGCGCGCACTCTTCACTTCTTTGTTCATTGTAGTGTCTTATATGTTGTGTTCAGTTCGTCTTTTCGTTGTTCATCCCTGCACTACAGTGGTTCATCCTCTGCTTTCCCATCCTCCTCACCTCTATCACCTTCCATGTGTCCATCGAGATCCATTCCTTGTCTTCTTTCTTCTTCCTTTCGAGCACGGTTATGCAGGTTTCTTTCCACATCCCTTTCGAAGAGTTCCAGTTTTCTCTCACGGAGGTTTCTTCAGGGATTTTGCTCAGTGTCTCCCATTTTGTCCTGATGACTGACTGACGTGTTCTGGGTGTGGAACTTGAACTTTAGTCTATCACCAGGTTCTTTGAAGTCTTTCAACTTGATTTGAAGGTAGGTTCCTTGCACTTGATATTGAGTGGTGTGAACCTACATCTGCTCCCCTCTCTTGATCTGATCTCGTGTCCAGTAGGCTGAGTCTCCACTTTCTTCACCTCGAGATGAAGTCGATCTGATTTTTAGTGCGTCCATTAGGTGAAATCAATTCCATGTGACTTTGTGAGGATCCTTGTGTTTGTACACAGTGCCTCCAAACACCAAATCGTTAAATGCGCAAAAATCTGCAAACAGTTCTCCATTCTCATTCATTTTACCGAGTGCTTCCCGACCCGTGATGAGTTCTGTTCCTTTGTTGTCCGCTCCCAATTCGGCATTCATGTCACCATCCGATGTGCTGTCTTTTCCAACGCTGATTGGAGTTGTCTGTAGAATTCCTTCTTCTTCTCTTTATCTGCATTATTTGTAGGTGCGTAGCGTAGCACTGAATGATTGTGACTTTCCGTGTTTTTGTGTTGAACCTTGCCGTCATGATTCTGATCGTGGAGGAGATTGGCTCTCATTGCATGAGAGCCTTCGATGTTCTTCAAGGGGACATCATGATAGCCACTTCAAAACTCATTATGTTCATGATTGCCATCTGGGTGACAATATCGGAGTAGATTATTGACTCTCCAGTTGACAGTCAGGATAGTCTACTTCCCCTCCATCTGCTTTCGCAGATTATTGACACTTCTATGCTATACCTTCTCATCTCTTTTGCAATGTGGTTAGCCTTGTTTGGTTCATACATGGTGCGGACATTCCATGTCATCATGTTTACTTTTGGTTTCATCAAGAGAAGAGGTGACACATCGACCAATTGGCTTCCTGAAGGCTTTCACTAACTGGTGTCATTTCGCCTCTCCGATTTCAGCGAGGAAATAGGTTTAGTTGTTTTTAATTTTTTTGGTGCTTTGAAATTTCTTTAGCAGTTAGATTGATTTTCCGGAGTAGGGTTGCTAGCCCTATCCCCAACCTTCCTTGTTTATCCGGGTTTAGTACCGGTTAGTAACTAGTGAACTAGTTACTTAGGCGAGGTTACTGTTATTACTTACGTACAATTATTCATTCACCAGTATTGTAACACTGTTTCACTGATATACCTTTCTTTTCTTACATCTGGTTTTCTTTCCAAAGATATACCTTCGTACATTTATCATACCTCAACTTGTTCATCGGTTAGCCAACTCTTCTGGCTTGTTTACTACTGACCAAGAATTGATTCATGTTCAACCTGCCTGTAAATCATATATAACTGACTATGGTGATGAAGAGATGGTAGTAAGTTTTTATAATGGATTGTAAAAATATTCAATATTATTTTCTCTTACTGTCTATAGATAGGAAGGCAAAAACAATAAAATATTTTCATATATGAATCGTAAACAAAAAATATCATTAGAAAGAAAATCAAGTAAAGAAGTGAAATATATCTGATTAAGAGTATAGTTGAGTGCTCAGCGAATATGCAAGGAGTGCAAGATCGATGGAGAATAATCAGCTATTCGAGCTCAATCATCCAAGACAACTGCTGATGAGATGGTTCCCAGCTGAGGGAAAAGGCTATCTAGTGTTTATGTCCAATCAATATGATTGCTAAACACTATTGATTAATTAGAGTGCACACTAAGAGTAGTTTCTAGCCTCATTCTATCAATCCGTTGTATATACCACACGTTTTTTTGCTACTTCTATTTACACCATTTCCGATATCGAACAGATCACGACTTATCTTCTGAAAATTTCAATTTCCAAAAGAAAACATAAAGAGATCTTATGGTTGGATCACATATATTTATAATACAGTTAACATGAACTGGGAATTTTAAGAACACCTACTTTGATTATAAGCCATTCTTACTTATAGACATGAAAGTAGTTCATCATATTGACATTCATTTTGTTGATGTTTGTAACAAATAATAGTGCATCTTAACGATATATGCTATACGTTTGTGCGTATTAGGATTTGAGTCATATTTGAATTATTTTTTCAGTTCAAATTCAAGTGAACAGGGTTTGAAAGCATAACTCAGTAGTTAATACTTAGAGTTCTAGTTTGTAATTGATTACAATTTTCAATGATAGTTGCAGATGATTGTCAATTTTGTTTCCACGGTATCAGTAATACTAATTTACATAAAGTACAAAGTGTACTGTGTTTACCCTTTTTAGGAGCAGTAACTTCTTATGCAATATGTAACTACCTGATAATGACATTCATTTTTGTACTAGTTTTAAACTAACATTCACTTAAATGAATGTTTTGCTGAGCATGCTTTTCACTTAACTTTTCAACACTATTCAATTATGAGTAATTTTATGGAAGGTTATGCTAGATAGAGGTTAGTGTTGTAATAGTTCCCACTTGATGTTCACCAACTCATTGTTATATTATCATGTAACTTATTACTGGTTACTGGAAATTATGTGCACAGATGTGTATTTTGTTATCCACTGAAACTATTGCGTAGGTCACAGGTTTGAATCCTGCCATGGCGTGTATTTTCATATCACCTTCAAGTATCATGCAGTATCAATAATAGAAGTCTGTCTAATCATGACTTCCTGATATAGTCAAACTGACAATAATTGTATTTATATTAAAGTGTGTATTCAACATTCTTGTTCATCGCTTTATAAGGAGACTTTTCTAATGACTATCTATCCTTGTTTACTATATTACAATAAGGGGATTATCACAATATACAACGTGTGAAAATATAGACCTGTCCCCATTGCAACTTAGTTATGTCAGATGTGTGTTGTTTTTCGTGCTCATGAAAAAGCTTTACGGTGCCAAAGAGATTTCTAAACAATTGATGATTGTTTTTACTATACTTTTGTATGAAAGTGTCTGAAGTAGGCAATACTTGCATACTAAAGCAGACTTATGAAACAGATGATTGAAGCTATGCGATTTTGATTGATTGGGATAGTGTTAGTTCTGGTGTAGTAGTACACCAGTTCAAGGTACGGAATTTCTTACAAGTGAGTCAAACTGAACAAGTAAGCTCAGGATTACAGGATTTTAAAGCAGCATAAGCTATGAACACATCTGTACTAGTGATACTGCTAGTGAAGTATATTTTCTTGGATTTCCACTGTGATTCGATAATGAACTGCAGTGGATCAGGATAACTAATATAAATAAGTATTTATAACATGCTTCAAAGTTCTTACGCTCAAACCGTGAACTTATGAATACACAGTGGGTGACTTAGTCTCCAATGATGCAGGTACCCAGATTAGAATGAATGTCATATTTACTTACGCAACTGTTCATTGCCCTTCTTAGGAAAACTGTATCAATCTACTTGATGAAAGCTGTAATATAAAGTTTTAATGAGTCAATAATTTATTTAAATTACGAATTAGCTAAATGCTGCGTATTTGAAGTGAAACTGATTCATGGTAATTACATGAGTCACATAACTCGGTCGAATTAATGCCTACAACACTACGAAGTCGTTGGTTCTAATTCTGCTACATCCATGGGTTTCCTTTCAACTCTCGTCATTATGCTGATGTAAACAGTATGAGACGTTATGCTTACCACCTGATTTGGATCACACTACATACGGTCAGCACATTTAACGATACAGAGAGAACATAACAACAATTGTAAAATACTTTATTTCACATGTAATTTTAAATTACCAGTAACAAAGTCGTAAAGATTTAACTTTCTTGGTAAACCTTAAGTTTTTAATGATGGGTTCATATTTACTACATGAAATCTTGGTTTTATCTGCTACACTGCTGAGTGTGAATGCTACCGCTATCATTACTGCTTGTATACATTACCATGATAACTCGTTGTTTCATTCTAATTTTATCAGAAAATGATACTTGATTAACTAGGATATGTTAACATTATTGTCACAATTAAATATATGGTCTTGGAAAAGATATATATATATATATATATATATATATATATATATATATATATCGTGTTACGTAAATGTGTATTTGAGGCGAATCCGTTCCATAGTAGTTCATATAACAGTAGATAGATCTTCAGTAGTATGCTTTCTAAAAGATTTCAAAGGTCCTCTGCATAATAGTCTGTAAACGACTTCTCGAAATTCATGCATTCTTTGCCAACAAACAAATATAGCTGAAGCATTCTGTGCAAATATACATTGCCAAGAGAGGTCAGCAATATTATAAGCTAAACGCATTGCTTGTTGTGAACGATAGTCAGTCATTGTCATTGGAAAGAAAAAAGCAGCCAAATAAGCAGCACATTGTGGTAATCCGAACAACAATAAAGTGATTGCTAGTATGAATAAGATAACAGAAGCTGACCATTCTTTACTTTCAATTGATTTTGGATCAGCTAGACGTTCTTTAGTAAATGTTTTGCGCATTTTTATCATAAATATTATATTCAGTGCAAGTACACACAAGGTTTGTATTAGACCAGCATTATTGAATAATATACTAAATATCTGAAGGAATACTTGATTTTCATCTATCCAACATGTAATAAATGTATCAGTTGCATGAAAGTCAATTAAAATAAGAAATGGAATTATGCAAGCCATTGTAATGATTGCGACTCCAGCTATAAAATACCATGCATAATGAAGAGGAATTTGACGATATTTCAATGGATAATAAATGCATAAACATCTGTCTATGCATGTTAATAATAATAGATTACTGGCCATTGTTGATGCAAATGAATAAACTCCACGATGAAATCGACATAAAGTAACTGATTCATATATGATAAAGTAATAAATACGTCCTTCTGTTGCAAATGGTAATCCTTTAGCTGGTATCATCCATATCATGCCAAAAAATAGAATTGTTATAGCATCAGTCCAACAAATAAATGTCATATATATCGCCTGTCGACTTAATTTTTTAAATTCAAATAAGAAAACATAACCAATGAATATATTTGTAATGATACCGAATGTACAAATAAATGGTAAGATGTAAATAGAGATTGCACCAACCATACTTGATGTTATACATAAAGCTAAACTACCATTTGGTGCACCACTATAATAGGTTTCACAGTCCATAAATGTATCATATGGTGTATCAATAAATTTCCATACTGATTTTATGCTTCCAGTTGTATTGTTCATAATTAGTATATCTGTTTAGGTATAAGCATTTAAAGATGAGATTCAAGGAAGTCTTCTTGAAAAGTTTTCACATTTACATTTATTCTTATTTCTTCAAAACATGTATATATGAGATTGAATTTTTATCATCTTTCTGTTAGGAAGATTTGTTTCGTGTGGAATTTGAAACCGATGAATATATCGTCAAAACTATCCAATGGTAGATAAGGGTATATAGTTTCGTGTGATTTTTAATTATATAGGGAATATATGGTTAATCTTCATTCTTCAAGTATGGGCACACACATACACATACACACACACACTTCTAAATGAAGGTAATAATAATCATAATAATAATGACGGTAACGATAGAAAACTTGATACTGATATCAGCTGAAAAAGGCCAGACATTTTAATTTTATTCACATAATTTAAGGAAAGGTATAGAAAATGTGATTTTATTGTCTGAGATGTGATATTGTTTATCAACAAAAAGTTGAATACTTATGTGGAAACAAATAAACAAATAGTAGTTAGCAGGATATTCAATTTCTTGAAGAAGAAAAGGTAGAAAAAGTGAAAAGCCCAAGGGTTTCATAGGATATATTTGATGAAAATTAGTATTTTCACTATTTTTCCCGTAATTTTTTTTTTGAGGCGTTATAATATAAGGAATATTGAGAATTGTTTAAGCTTCTAGTTATTAATCGGACCGTTATGTCTTCTCGCCTACTAAGTTACTTTAAAGTTGTATACCATTGAATAAAAACTGATGTTACGCTTAGTTTGTCAATTATTTATTAAATTCTATCGATTGAAGTATGCAATGTGGTCAATGAGTTCATCTAAGTGACAATTTACTTGACTACATTTATTGTAGTATTATGGTACACTCAGTGATAATTGTTGGAATTCTGTAGACTTATATTTCACGTAGATCTGTACTGTTGAAACAATTCTTACTTTTTTTTAGGAAATAAAAGTGTGTTGCTTAGTGGTCATAAAAATGACTATGATGTACAGATTTTCAAGTATTTATGAAAATTCGTATATCAGAAGGATAATTGGTAGAATTTTGTCTTTACTAAACTAAATGGTTAAGAAGTGAAGCTCGTATTGTCGTCTTGGATAGCACCAGTGTGTGCTTCTTTGATTCACATGTTTATAGTCTCTAATAAATATTTTCAGTTAGCTTGTTTAATATATTGTACGTAAAAATGTGACTGTTCCTGTTTACTACACGCAGAATTTGTAGTATACGTGTCTTTGAAGAAATGGTTTTTTTGTGCTGTGCAGAAAGTTAAAGCAATGCTCATCATCGATAAGTACTTGTTATTGTGATGATTTATGCTTGTTTACCGTGTTATTTACAGGTAGAAGAAAGCATAGCTCCACGTTTAGTGCCGAAAAATGCAAAAAGTAAAAGCATTGAAATACAGGAAGGTCAAACAACCGGTAAGAGATTCGTGTTTTTTTGTTATAAATAGTGTGAGATATTGTACAGCTGACTTCTATCACGTCTGAAATCCATTCTGATTACACAACTCTGTGTATCGCGTTGCTAGACAAACCACCTAATGCAACATACTTTTAGCTAAATTATACTGTGTATGCTAAAATAACTGTTTAAAGACACTTTGGAGAATCTTTAATACATATTTTTGTAGGAAGGTGAACGAATTACCCTCAGAAATGCTATAAGAAATGCTTGTCTGTGTAATGTTTATTTAAGAAGCATCACATTCGTATGAAATTGTCTACGGTGTTGTTACCTAATTCGATGGAATAAACTCTTATTGTCAGTGACCTTCATTTTTGCACTACACTCCTTGTTGCCACCCCTAACATTGATATTGCAAGATACAATAAAGTGTTTTATAACTGTTCGCAAGACGAAAAAATGTGGTCACATTTGTGCCATTGAGATAGATTCGCAGCCACATCACTGGGAGTCTCCAACCACCATTTTTGGTTGTCATACCGAATCAGCTGCAAATTTTGTGTTTCCCTACACAATTTAAATCAACAGTGAAGCTTCATAAACTGATACCACGTTTTGGTTTGAATACTCATAGCCTTCTTTTAGTCTAAACCCACTTCTACTAACACTACGCGTTAGAGTGAATAGTGGATAAGATGTGCAGCACATGTTTTCGCCATCTCAATTGGTAAAAGGTTTTGATTTCACCAACTAACTTTTCCCTTTACTTAAGACTGTGCATCTGAGATCCATATTAATTACGTAGTGGTTCCAAAAAACGTATAGGTGATTCTTCTAAGACAAAAGTCATCTGAAGCCTTCTTATCTACTCCACCTTCAACTCTCTTTTTTTCCCAGTCATATAGTAGATCATACAAAACCGCTGAGGTGGTCATTTGAGCTTCAGTAGGTAATTAGGTATTTCTCCAGCTTCATAATTGGCAAATATCAACCTCCAAGAAGTGTTCAGTTGTCAAACGGAGGATAGATGAACTGATAAAGAAATCTACACAAAAGGTATCAATTTGAGTTGTCACTATTCACAACAGAAAACAAAGAATAATTGAACACAGATAAAATGGTAGTCAGACCAACGATAAGAAAGCGAAAATGTAGATGGTGGTTAGGGAATGTTTTGAACTTTCGAAGTTGGTAAGCGAATATATCTGTTTAGTTATGATCAATCTGGAGTCTGGTAACGAAGGTCCTGTACTTCTTGATTCCTAACCACTTGAGAAATTATGTCAAGAAATCTGTAGTCAGGTTAATAGTTGAGGAGTTACTGAATTAGTGCGACATGCTGGTCTGGTCTCTGATGACTGTTTCAAACTCATCTCTTCGTATCTAACCTTGTACTTTTACGTTGAAGAAGGCTGAACATGTGTAACCGCTTTGTTCTGGTATCACGTGACATTTGATACTTCCAGTTTTCCTTACGAACCTCACTACTTAAAAGATATCACTACTGAACAACTTGAGTAGTTAGGAACCACTCAAGCTTGTCTGTAGATTTCACCAGCCAGATTAAAGTGATCTAAACACCAGATAGCCGTTTCGCTCGTTAGGGGTCGGGCTCATCAGCTGATCTTCATGTACCCCACTAGTTACCGGCATCTGAGATGGCTACTCTGTGTACACTCTAATATGATCATACTAGTTAGCTTAATATGCTTCCTTCTCTCCTGTTTCGCAGTCAAGTCCTACCACTTGATCGGTAGAAATGAAAACCGTTTATAGGCCAAGAAGAATGTTAGGCTTTCAGATGTCTGCAAGTAAATATATGTTCGAAAAACGGAGAGTAAATTAGTTCAAATTAGCTGGTCTTTTAGAAAGTTATTTAGTTCACAAGTCTTTTAATCCGACTGCACATATTCAAAATTCACATATTTCTTTTTCGTAAGTTACGAATGTCATTTAAAAACCTAATCATTATATCCAGTTGTGAAAATACGTCAATCCTCATAAGTAACACTGAAGTGTAGTCAATTTGATAGAATTATAACCTAAGAAGAATAATAAAAACGATGCTCATTGAGAATGATGGAGGTTGTATTGATTTTGTTTGTATTTTGGTTAAATGTACTGTAAAAATCTAACCTTTAATAAGTTTTAAAGTCAGGAACCTCAAAATTCTTTATTACACCTGGATCTGTTCTTATAGAACAGAAAAAAAGTGTTTTAAGCGCATTTGCAACTGAACTGGTTGTTTTAGAGTTAGTTTAAATGTGGAAGGACATTTTTTTTGCATTTCGTTTTGAGTTTAAAGAATAAGACCGTTTTTAAAGTATGATTATCCTTACTATCTGTTGTTTATTTTGAATTTTTTTGGATCTATACTGTTCCAAATGATAAAATTTTCTTTTGATTTCTCGATAGACACATCAGCTGATTATGATGCGTTAGTGCACAAAAAAGGTGTGCTCAATGGACGACCATTTGTTTCCTTGATCGAATCAGAAGATAACCCTATGGAGTATACCAAGTTAGCAGGAAATTTCGGACAACCAGTAAGTTGAACAGTTAAATACTTGCATTTTAGAATCCCTTTTATCCCGATTGACTTCAAATAGAGAATAACAAAATGCTAGGAGGCACCTGTTAGCTGTTTTCACCCCGGCCAGGGACTCTTCAGCTGTCCACAGTCATGAATCCATCCATATAAGATTAAGCCTACGACTGTCAGGCCCCACAGTGAATGTCTTACTTTTCGATTATTAGCTCACAGCTCAACGGTCTCCTTTTTTATTTATCTTGTAGCGACACGATGTATCGTGACCATTATCGATGTTATCACTGAGCATTTGTCTTTTCTGCTTCGGGGATTTTTTTTATAGGTTATAGATTTTAGAGTAATCTAACTGGTTGAGTAATGCTTTGAAGTCGATCAACTATACAAATAGTGTGATTCAAATTGTTTAGTTGCCAAATGTTTTTTTTGCAGATGGGTACTGCTTAGATTATTTCATCTAGTTAAAATATGCAATGATCATTAATCAGCATGAGAAAATTAAAATAAAATAACATTTTTACTTGATGCATTAGTTTACATCTGTAATTTTACACACTATATATCAGTATAGGAAGTAATAATGTTAGCAATAGGCTGCAGGAAAATACCACTCCTTCCTTGAAATTCAAGCGGTAAGGTTCGAGAAATTTCATATTTTTGAATACACCGTTTTAGAAGACTTGAATTTCCATAGAATCCTATATTTGCCTAACGAGATTTTTAAATCTATGACAAATCTTTTAGGTTACTGAAGAAAATTACATATAAATATACAGTGTGTTCATAGCGATAATTAATGCGTTCATTTAGTTCTTACTTTGTCTTCTTACTAACTAGTAACTACGTCGTGATTGTATATCTTTCCGGTTGTATCGTACGGTAATCTTAGTAGATGGGAGCATAGACGGAAAAAATTAATAAAATATGAAATTAAATTTTATTATAGTGCATCTGTTAATTACTGCAAGACAAGGAATAATTACTTTGATTTCTATGAGGTCTGATTTTAAGCATACAATTCAATTATTAATCGGCTTTTTCTGCTGTCTTGTGACATTATATGAAGATACTGGTTAGATGAATTGATTCTATATCTTCCTATTATCGCTTCAATGTTTTTTCTTTTCGTATTTACTACAGTTAACATATTTATACTAGTGTGTTACATGTGATGCGAATTCCATCTACGAGTGTATTCACATCAACTTTCCAGTTAACATCGCCACTGAATTTCCTTAAGTTTTCACACGTAACTGAAACATTGCTCACCTTGTAGTTTCACTCTACTCTCGTGATGTCTTAAAATCATACTTGTTTTACAATCAGCTTACAGAAATTGTATTGTAGTCCTAATGTACAACACAGCAGATCAGTGTATAGCATGCTAGGCTTTTGATAGGCATTTGTATATTTTCCAAGCATCACAGATTTTATACACATCTAAATGTTATTGAATACTAGTTTATCATATCGGATGCTAATTCTCAAGGAAATAGTATGATCATTGCATTATGCCAATTTACTTCCTGATATAGCGTAATATGCTGATGTAAGCTTGTGAACGCTTGAACTATCACATTTTGTTCTTGATGTTCACTCGATAATTCGGGAATAGAAAATGTGATAGGAAAATAAAATTGTATTACAAGGTTAGGATATATGTACAAAATATAAAAACCTTCATAGAAGATACTAGAGAATTTCATCAATATTGAAAGAACATACTAGATGAGCACTCCTTAGTGATTACTTCTTTTTAACCAATCTAATAAATACATGCATGGTCATATACTTTCTCTCAAAACTTTGGGGTATGTTGATTACTTATGAAGGTACTCAGGGATTCAGAGTCTTTTTGAAGTATCTGCACTAAAATATTGCTCTAGAAAACTCCCTAATATTAACTTGGACATAAATGGAAGTCATTTATAAATTATTTTGCTGTTTTATGGTGTAAGGTTTTTATTACCCACCCGTTTATCATATATCTCAATTGTATAAACATTCTGACTCAGATAACCTTGATTGATATAAATGGAACGTGTTGAATATGAAGGTATTTCTTATGCAAACACTTCTTTTTATACTCAACCGCCATCTGTTCATTGGTCTATTTATTGTACAGTCTACTTTAGTTTGTCTTGATTACTTTGTTTTACTGTGACCCAAATAATCTTAAGGTCATAAAGGTTAATAATGGAGAAATTGATTAAACTGATAATATATTAATGTGACTGAAGTAGCAGCGCTTAGAAACAGAAATAGACATTGTACGTGTTGTAGTTGAAATTATTTCAGTATAGAAAAGCTAATTGTCACCACAGGACAGAAAGAGAAATGGTTCAAGTAAGCACAACTTCACTGGTTCCCAGTCCTTATCATTTTTCTGACAGAACCTCTAATCGTTACGAAAATATGTGAATTAAAAGAGTTTAAGTTATACAACAGTCACATAGTACAACTACTATTACGATTAGACAGGTATTGTATAAGTATGTATTATTTTTTTATTTATTATAAATGTAATTATTGCTAATTATTTGATGAATATCTAGGCATCTGTAATTCTTCATTTTGCAGGCTGTTGAATGCACGCAGTTTACCCCAAGTCATGAAGAGAATGATAATAGTGAGTTTTATTCGATTGATTGGTTGGTTAACATTGAGAATAGGTTTGTCACTGGTTTATTTCTTCAATTAAATTGATCATTGATCATTAGAAAAGGAAGTTCACTATACTTAAAGTACAAAAATGTCTTTTTAGCAAGAAATTTGTTAGTAATGGTTGAAGTGAGCTTGCTGTTGATTTTGAAAATATCTTCCTCAGGAACATTCATTTCCTTGGACTCTGTTCAATAGTAGACATCACATGTCATGATTAAACCATCCAGCTTCGACAAAGCGATGCACTTAGGATCTTACAGCTGGACTAGAAATATTCCCCATTATTTCACATTTCAGTCACATTACTGTAGTTTATAGCTCCTTTATGGAAAAAAACTTCAATTTCTTCCAGCGTTGAATTGGAAGCTTTCAGTCGTAGCTAGTAGGACGTTAATATTGAACTGTTTGACAGAAATCAGTCCGTTTTTCAACCAAATGTAACTATATTTTGATACTGTAATATTCCTATTGATTGACACTAAAAATGTCTAACTTGACCATAAAGTTCTACAGTTTAGAGAAGAAATCTCTTTGCAAACATCTTTTTGTCGAGGTACGATTACCAGGAGTTAAGTTGACTTGTTAGCTTTTCTTCTGACTGTATGACTAAAGCTTACTGGTTCACCTAGTTGACATTCAGCCATTGAGTCGGGGCTTCAAAGCCTGTCATAGTTAAAGGGGTTATATCAACCAATTTGTATTAACAGGTAATACATAACATGTATGACTGTGTATTGTCGCTGAGTTGCATTTCCTTGTACAGTTTTTTCTCATGACTGCCTCTCATTTTAATGTTTTTATTATCATTTACTCACCTTTTAGTATTAGATAGAAATACGATAGATAAAGAAATTATATTAAGCAGTCCTGGTAGAGTGTCTGTATCTATTTCAAGGGAGATGGGTGATACACAAGTAGGTACTCACTTTGCGTGTTATTATTATTATTATTATTATTATTATTTACATTTCACTAACATAACTACCACTACTAGTAGCAAGGTTTCAATCAGTAATTTCATATGCTTTTTAAATACATGTGATCTTAGTTTCATCCTTCGATTTACTCCATTACGAATGTGTTGCAAATATTCTTCTGTAAAGATTAGCATAGCTAACATTCTTAGATATAAACGTAAATTTAGATAACCATCAGTAAATATAAAGGATAAATGTAACTAAAGTCCACCGCTATGTCTTACATACTTTCTCATTCAATGAGCTCACACACATTCCTGTTCAGACTAACAACGAAGGAGAATTTATAGATTTATGATCTTAAGTTCATGTTTTATTTCGCTCAACACTTTCATGATAAGGAGATTTGAAGTATACGCAGAAAGTGTAGTAACTCAGCAGTTCATCATATATAATGTGATAGAAGTAATATTTGATAATGAATAGGCTGTATCATAGATTAGTTCACTCGTGGATGTAAATGATACTACCTTCTTTGAATATCTGGTTTCGTCTTGCCAATATATTAATTTTTTTGAACATTTTTATTTCTCATTGCAAAGCAGTGATATTAGTTGTTATAATCCACTTCAAATGAAAGTTTTATTACTTTCTGAGACTGAATTGAAGGGGGATACATATATGTACACAATAATATTTTATAGAATCAAGGTAATTACATGTTATAAAAAGGAATCTATTGTCAAATTCCCAATTTCCCTAATGACTTAATCTCTTAACCTTTCACTTATCTGATTGGATTTCCAGTTCATACTAAACCTCAAATTTAATCTCTTTTTATTTATTTATTATATTTCGTTTTCTGTTGACTATTAACTTATTTTACTTATCGACTAACTCAGTCTCTTATTCTAGATTCTATAGTATTTTTCATGATTGTTAAATGGCATGAATATTAGGTTGAGAATCCAGTATTTTGTTTAAACAGTTTTAGTTAGCCTGGTTATAAATTTGAAACCTTAAACAAAAGATTAACAGTGTCCATTGCCTCAGTCTGTAAGTATACGGAAAGAAGAAGGAGTCATATAGAAATGATTAGGAAAGATGTTAAAGGAGTACAAGTAAGTAGATGCGAATTTTTGAAATATTCCAAGCTAGTCATATGGTAATTGGTAAATAATTTTGCAACACTTTTATCTCTTTGAATATGTGTCAGAAAGTTTCTCCAGTTCTTGTTCATCAACATCTGGTGAACCTCGAACAAATAACCCACACTTCTCTCAGTGTCTGAGATGAACAAACACAAAGTTGATGCACCGGTTTCGTGTACTGATTCGGCCATCATTAGCCATCTTTTAGACTATTTTAATTTCATGTTGTTTGTCCCAGATTCCACTGCTAGCCAGTATCCACTATTACTATTCTTACTTCGGTTTACTTTGTACACTGAGATTGACTGTAGTTTTACACTCATAACCTTGTGCTCCAACTGCCTTAGTCGGTTTAAGATGTTAGAAATATGCTTAACCATTGAGTCTGCAAACATTGTTTTGTTTGTTTTGAGATAGTCACTTTCATGCGCTACAACTGTCATCCTGCTTTCACCTTTTCTCTTCATAACGATATAGAATTGTGACTCTTATAAAGTTAAGTTTTTCACTTTTTTTCCTATATGTATCCTGATTGGACAGTTTGAGTTTTTTTCCATCTTTCTTGTCCTTTGAAATAGCCCTGGGAAAGTGGTCACACAGTACTATATGGATCGTCAGAAACTATAAGGCATAATACAGACAATCCTGAAACTGGTATGTTGTTGTTATAGGCTTTATTTTTCGTCTTATTAGTTGCCGTGATGCTTTTGATCTGTATGGCAATAGGATTCACTGAAATTCTCATGTTCTCTTCCATAAAATTTTCCCCCTAGCAAATAGCCGATTTACTTTACCAATCAAAAAATGAACCATTCATAATGGTTAATGCTTTTTCCACGACAGTCAGTTATAATCTGCTGGATAAAGCTTGAACGTATCAGTCGTTAGACACGGACTTATAGTTTTTTTTTGCAATTACCATTCCAACTGCTGATGCCCCTTACCTGATGAAATAAACAGATTAAAATGAATTTGGTATTAGGGATAAAAACCTGATGCATAACCATCCATTATGGAGAGTGAATGAATCTACGCTATCGTCATGAATTTCAGTGATGTGCAAGATTAAAAACGTTCCATTTTTAGTTTGCAATATCTCATAGAAACGAAAAGAGAAAGTATATGAGTCGTCCATGTATAGATTGTTTCCTGAAGCTTTTGCAACCTAATTTCCACCAGATGCGTTATTGTGCAATAGATTGAGATATGTGGTCGTATGTAACTCAATCCTTTTTGTTTGTCTAGTACATTTCATTTACTTTCGTAATAAATAATACGACTTGGGTACCCGGCACCTGTTTATTTATACTCAGTGGTGACCGAAGGTAAAATGAAAATTTGAACCGCTGCCGGACTCGAACCAGCGACCATCGGGTTTCTGGCTCGATGCTCTACCAACTGAGCACTCAATTCGTTAGCGATTAGGATACGACGCCAATCATTCATACTGAGTCAGAGTTTCAACTTGGGATCTAGTGCCTTAAGAGATAAGTACTGTTTGCCAGCGAGTCACAACCCCACTTTCACCTCGGGCGATGATTTTGTTATGTATTTTCAGTATTCTGTTTATACCGTTATTATTTTCTTTCGTAGTGTTTATGTATAAATTAAACTATTTTTATTTTCTTTACTACACTGTGTACTATAAAATGAAATCAATGAACAGTATTGAAAGTTGGCTCGAATGGAATTAACAAAGAAATCCATACAACTAAACCATCACCTCAGCCTTCATTGAACAACTCTCATATTTTTGAAAGAAAAGTAGGTTTTATTTCTTGTCTGTCATCTGTTTAGTGGTTTTTCCATATAAAGTGTTAAAAATCAGTTCTCTTTAGGGTACCACTCATTTTGATCACTTTTTTTATTTCTTCTTTCCGTTTTTCTAATAGGTGGGTATTCATCCACTGTCAGTTTCATTGAAATCGGTTAGAAATGGTTTTGATCCTCAAGAAAAAAGTACGTTTTCAGTTGTTGATTTTTTACTTGAAAGCTTTGTTTCACAAGGGAATTCATAAGTTTGCGAATAATTTACATCACAAACTGACATTACCTCTTTAGTTTTCAATGTTCTTCCAGATGGTTTCAGTGTATAACAGACGGTAGCAGCCAATTACCTTTTATTGCAAACATATCACATGGTAAAATAGTCTTATTCACAGGATAACGTTTCGGTGGTGCTGATTTAATAAACAAGGATTCGGTTTTTGAAACTGTAGTCTTGTTTGTTTATTGTTTGTCAATAATTGCATGAATGGGTATTACCGACTTTTCCTCTTGATTTTCTATCTTCTTATAGTCTATGAATCTTGATATTATTGAGCCTTTGTGCTTGGTCAACTTGGTTGATTACTTTCACCTCATACATTCGACCTTGCATTCATTGAAAGTAGTTTAGTAAATTATTTCATCCAATTCAAACAGCGGTATTTTTATTCTTCAAAGCTTGTTCCTAAGTGGGTCTTCAAGTTTGAATACTACTCTAATCCCTTAGTTATTCAGGATCTTAAAGCGTATTGTCGGTCGAAGTTTCAGTGTAGTGAAGAACTCATTATGAAGTGTGTCTATTTTTTCTTAGATCCCTATTCAAAGAAGGGAATCTACTCTCTGAATTCAATTTATCTCATACTCGACTTGACATTTAATTGTACAGCGTAATCATGTTTACACTAACAATATACTGTGCTACAAATCAGATGGTTATATCAAGCATGGTTGTTTATATGAAATACTAAATGACTATATTTTATGTTTATCGGTCAATTTACACGCATACAATACAGTTTATATGTTTTTGAATACTTTGAAGACAAATCTCTGCTTCATTTTTTACTCTTCACTTCATCTATTCTATGGGTAACTATAAAATTACTATAAGTTTTGTGGACAGATCGTTCACTTTCATAGGAATAATTTAGTTTGACATATAACAGATTATTTGGAATCATTTACTATCAACGAATAGACTTCTTTTGGCAAATAATGCCTCATACTGCTATTCTGCATTTCTGTATTAGTTAAAGATTGTTTAATTACTATCGATCTTAGAGGGTTGTAGTGTCGGTTGTGTTATTTCCTCATTAGTTAACATTTCTACTACACTTTGATTATCAACGCTTACACGTATTCCCTTCGATGCCTGTTGTATCCCCCTGTCATTTCCAATATGTGTTTACACCAAAAAAAAATACTTCTTTATTTTATCATTACTCACTGTTATTGATTATTGAACTATATTTTTTTCATTATGATAGTAATAACCATACGGTTTTTTGATATTCTTTACTATTTTAATTTTTTACTTACCAGATTTCGATAAGCAAATAAAACTTGAAGAAACTAGATTACATTCATCCTCTCTCACTGATTCTAATGGTGAAACACAAGTAAGACCACTAGATTAGTTTGACTGCCTTTTATGATTTTGACGGTACATTTTCTATTTTGTTGATTTAATACTCTTGTATGTAGAGATTATTGTATGCCGAGTTGAGTAATTAAGTAAAAAATAATCAAAAATTTTCATAAATACAGATTCGTTATTATCAGTTATACTGGTTAAAAACTGAAAGGCAGATAGTTGTTTCAGAGATTTCTTGATCATTATTTATTGTTTCTACTTTTAAAGAGTCAGTTTAAGATATGAAGTTCCTAAATCTCTTAGATCTGTGATCGTTCAACTCGTGTTTAAAGATGAAGAGTGTAAATGGGAACAAAGATATCTAGACTGAATCACTCAACATTCACTGTCACTAAATATTGGTGTTATAATGGTATTGTTTTGTCTACCTCAGTATATTGGTTTAACAGTTACTTGGTATCAATAGCAGCTGTTCAGATAAATTCATTTTTATTCCTTTTTTTAATAATCAATATCGAGATTACCATATCAACGTTAGCACATTTTTTTTTCCGGTTCATTGATATCTTTGTTCTTATCTACTTTAATAAACTTCTCCTTTGATAATATTGATTTTCTGTTTGTATTCAGTTATTTAGTCTAGAAGTTATTTACTACTAAAGTACACCATTCAATTTACCTTTATGAGTCTGATTTCTTTTTAGATTCTTTTTTGTAGATCATTCCTAGGTTAATGATTTTTATACATAGAGATGGCTATCAGTCATGATAGTTGAAGACAATATACACTTTTATTGAAACATGAACTGTACTTTCAAATGAAATGTTTTCAGATACTTGATTTACAATCCATGTGACTTATAAAACCATTTTACTCTCAAAAAATTATTTTTCATATCAATGTGAACACATTATGTCTTTTCACACATCATATTCTTTTCAACATTAAAATTTTAATTCCTTATTATATTCATCAGTGCATTTAGTCACAATAGATCATTCAACTTTTACAACGTAATACATATCTTTGTTCTTGATAAGTCTTCTTCTGATTACTATTATACGCATTACGTAACTTTTTTTCTAATATCTTAATCCTTAATTGAAACTGATTTTCTATGAAACCTTCTTTTTCTGTTACCAAGTAAATATAATATAATATACAGCTCTATAGTTTAAGAGTGATATTATCGAAAAGAGTAACTTTTCATGAAGCGTTTATTGTTTGACTCCCATTATCATTACCAATTTGGTGCTTTTTATTTTTTATTATTAGTCCGTTGGGTTCCTAGTGGAACATAGGGCTTCAGTAGCACGTCTCCATTTCATCCTGTTCTCTGAGATCTTTTGAACCTGGTTCCACGACAGCCCAGAAGCTCTCATTTCCTCCTCGCACGACCTCCTCCATGTCACCCTCACCTCGGACGTCCAACTCGTCGCTTCCCATGGGGATTCCACTCGAGTACCTGGCCTGACGCGTGATGTCCTCAGTCGGCCTTCTCAGTGCATGCCAAATCCAATCCATCTCCACTTCTTCCTGCATATTTGTTGCGTGATAGCTTCTTGGTTGGTTCGCTCCCAGAGCTCCTTGTTGCTTATTCTTTCTGGCCATCTGATCTTCAGTAGCGAGCATAAGCAGCTGTTGATGAATGTCTGTAGTTTATTGGAAATCCCTTTCGTGACGCGCCAAGTCTCTGAACCATACAGAGGCACTAACTTGACTGGGTTGGTGTTGAAAATCCGGATCTTGTTTAACATTCTGAGTGCAGAAGATCTCCACCCTGGTTTCAGGCTAATGAACGCCTGTCTTGCTGTCTTTCCGACTCTGACTTTGACATCCTCGTCTGTGCCTGTGGCGCCTGTAGTTGAAACAGTGCTTCGTAGATAGGTGAAGGAGGTTACTTCCTTTAAGTTTCTCCCGTTGATGGTGACTAGAGTTTGTTGTTGCTGTTGATGGTGGTGGTGCGGTATCTTCATCACCTCTGTCTTCTCTATATTCACTTGAAGTCCCGTCTTCGCTGCCTCTTCTGTCAACTTGTTAGTTTTTGCCTGCAGATCTTCAAGTTTATGTGACATCAGGCACAAGTCATCACTGGCGAAATCCAAGTCTTCTAGGTTCTTTTCCGCCGTCCAGTGTATCCCCCTCTTATCGCTCCCCACTGTTTGCTGCATGATCCAGTCGACCACAATCAGGAATATCATGGGGGATAGTAGGCAACCTTGTTTCACTCCTGTCTTCACTTCAAAAGCATCACAGAGCTTCCCATCGTGAATTACTTGGCATGTGGCATGCGTCTTCATATAGTTGTTGAATGAGGCGGATAAAGGTTTGTAGTATTCCGTAGTAATGAAGCAGTTTCCAAATTACTTCTCGGTCGACGCTGTCAAAGGCCTTTTCAAAGTCGATGAAGTTGAGGTAGAGAGCTGATTGCCATTCTATGCTCTGTTCTATGATGATGCGTAGTGTTGCGTTGCAATTTGGTCTGCACATGATTTGTACTTCCTGAATCCAGCCTGTTCCGGTCATAGTTTTGAATCCAGTGCATCTTTAAGCCTCTCCAAATTTGGTGCTTACGTGATGTTTAATTTCATTTGTTTAGAAATTTTGCTATATATTCTATCAATAATATTGTTGTATTGGTATGTTTTCATGTTTTGCAGATTTTGATACGTAGCAATCCGTTGAGTCATTCACTAGATTGTATGAAAAGTGATAGTAATGTTCATAAGAAAGGTTTGTTTACTTAACATTTCATATTATGTATACAACCATAATTGTTGTTTAACCTTATATACTTAACAAGTAAATCGATTAATGCATTTACTTTTGTTGAGAATGTTATTTTGGCATTCATAATTGTCTTGTCTTTTTTTTATTACTATCTATAGAGTTTATGGTTCACATCTGTAGATCATCACATGATAATGTGAACCGATGCACATGTATTTCTGAATCTATTTTGATTCATCTGTTTTTATAGTCTAGACAATTGTTTCTTCATTGTTATGTTATAAAGGTAAAATGATTTGTCTATTTCAGTCTTTTTTTCTTATTTAGCATATACATGAATAAATACTTTTATCATTCAAAGATTAACCCTTATTAAATGCTTTGAAATCATAGAAGATATCTATACGTCATGACTTCTATGTTCTGACAAGAATATTTAATGAAATATCATTCTTTGACTGAGCAGAAATCTTTAGCATTGTAGTTAGATTTTTAATATGAATGTTTAGTTGACACTTAGTTGAATGAATTTAATTACATTCTAATGGTGATTCATATTGTAACTTGAAGAATACAAGCTTGAATACATAAATACAGTTCTATTACAGTAAAGTTGTAAAAACGTTTTTAACTAGTAACTTCACTGTTAGGGATTATCAGTGAGGTTTTCTCATTTGAATGTAACTTTTTCTAGTAGATACTTTCCAACATTCCTTTTACAATCTATTCACATAGCAAACTAAACTGGTAGTTGAGTCTTGAATTTCAATCGTTAGCTTTGATCAAGCTAACAAACCTAATTTCATCGTGATTTTTGAATCAGTTTGACATACTCAGAAAACGACTATTTCTCTTTTGATTAGCGAAATGTGTGAAATGAAATTAGTATAATTCATAGCTATTTTACTTTTTCTCAATGGTAAACTTAATGTTACTGGAAGTAATCAGTTGATCAATTGTTCTGAGTATATGTTAAACTGATTTTTCACTATTGTGTCAACTTTAATCATCAAATTCTATGTTCGTTTGTTATTTATTTGAAGAGTCACTAATCCCTTCTTTGCACATAGTTTCCTACTTAATTTCATACTGATCCACACTAACTGAGATTCAGTCGGAGAGGTGGAGAAGAGGAGAACAGCTTTACGATGAGTAGTTAAATATACTTCGGTCTTGTATGATGAATACTGACATGATATGGATACGATGGCACGTTAAAAGCTCTTTTGTTAAGAACTATACATTTTTTAAAAATAAAATGAATAAGTCTTCAAAATGTTTTAACACTTACTTTTTTCTGTTCACAATACACAGGAATTGATTTGACAGCTTCATTAAATAATGCTGACCTGTTTCCACGAGAGCTACAACTCACAAAGCATCAGTCTAACTTATTATTGAATGATAGAGCTGATTGTGATGGTATTCAGGTAGGCGATATTTTATCTTGTAAAATGTAGTGTTTAAAGTCTCATTTTCTACTTTTATTTCAATTTAGATGTTTGTACAGAGTTGATTAGCTTCAAAAGGAGGGATCTTCAACCTGAATTGACAAAATTACTGTCTAGTACATCATCATCTTCAATTTTTAACCAGCTAGTATCGACCCCTGATGAATACTCTGAAACTGATTGACTCTTTGTAAACTTGGATAAAAGATAAACGCTCAGTAGTTGCTTGCTTCAAGTTGAGTTCCTCTAAGCTTTAAACAAAAGCTGTGGTCTGTAGGTTCAACCAATTCGAATATAGAGACAAATAATCACTGATGCTATATGATGGTTGCGGTATTTCTTAAGTTGACAGAACTTAATAAAGATGGAAAACTGGATTCCAATCCACTGACTGAGTGGTGATATACTCACTACGAGACCTCACAGTTCTTGGTTAAGTCTCACATTGGTTCGAGGTTGCGCTGTATTGTATAGTCTCAAACATGAATGGAATCGCTTTTCTTTATTTTATTAGTTCTGCTGCTGGTTTCTATCTCTTTTGAAAATAATTTCCTAGTTTTCATTTTCGACGAGCTGTAACATCTTTCAATACTTTTGTATGTCATACAGATATACCACATATGTGAGATTTCTTGGTTTCATTATAGCTATTGGTGGTATAACGAACGGAACTGATCACTGGACTCATTAACGAATCTTTTGAGCCATTATATTTTTCAGATAAACTTCTTCTAACTGCATTATCCAAACTGATAAGACATATCAATTGTTTCAATTGAAAATTTTTTTTTGGTGGTAAGTGCATAGCTAGCTGCTACTTTGATGTAATGATCGAACTTGCATATTACAATGACTGAACAAGCAGTGCTAGTTAAACATCTGTCCTCACGAAGTCCTACCGTACGAAAGCAGTCTGTTGAACACTTGTACGACAAAAAGCATTTACATTTATTGTGTGTATTCCTATACCTCGATGGGACTGTTATGGAGAAGCCGTACTCCTGGTTGGATAGGAGTGTGACAACAGTAGGGTGCTTTCCGGTGATAACCAGCAGCACCATGTTGATGCTGTCTTTCCTATGGGAAGAGAAGGTTTAGAAAAGTTTGACTGAAAATTAACATACTCTCGTTACCCTACAGTCTTCTGTTACCAGTGGTTTGGGTTTATTAACTGGATGGAAACCAATCAAAGATAAAATTCAAACTTCCGCTAAGACCATGTGTGGCCGGCCTCAAGCACGCGTCCCCTGGGTTCCGCAAACAGGCAGCACTGATAAAGCTTTTCTCAGGTGCCTGAAGAAGACTTCCTGCGCTGCAAGCAGCCGAAACGTGTCAACCGCTCTCACAACTCCGTGGACATTCAAGTCTCCTCAGATCATTATCAACCTTCCATATCCTTAACTTCTAATCTTTCCTCACCTCTCTCGGTCAATGTCTTGCTCCACCTTTAATCTGTTTGAACTCTGAAGTGTTTAATAACGATTGAAGTTAACGGAATAGCATCGCTGGTTCCCTGAAGTCATGTGGGAAGATACTTATTGAAGCTTTCAATATCTTCACTCTACGTCAAATTGGATAACAAGGTTTACTGGTGGAAACTAGCATCTTGGGGCATTGAACGTGTTCTGTGAATGTAGAACATGTATGCATGGTCCAAGTGTGAGTACTCACTCACTCTCATCCAACCAATATATTGGATCAGCAGAACTCACTATTCTAGTTTCTAGATATTGGTTACTTCTCCCAAATGTAGGTACAGCATTAAGTTGTAGAGTAGAAAGTGCTACGTTTAACTGGATCCCAGTTTGCAGCAGGCTGTGCTCTGTTCGACTGGACGGTGCAGTGCGGATTGAGAAGAGGATTGCAACTCACTGTTGTCTTTTTCTAATCTCTCTCTCATTACTGCAGTTCGGACTAAGTGGAGAATGAGTCCTACCGAAAACTACTGGTACCCAAACTCCAAGATACAGGTATCGTAGCAAGTGATTTCAATGCAACGTGAGCGAACAAAGGCAGAAATACACTTAGGCAACACTTCCGGAATCTCAACTGAGCAAATAGATAACAGTGGTCACCTGCTTCTGATTGGCATGAATTACAGATATAATGATTGACATTGTCTGACGGAAAGTCTACACGAAGAGTCTACGTAGTGACCGTGAGTATTAGTGGGTAGCGACGGATAAAGAGATGGTAAAGATCGAAACAATACGTAGCAGTAGACAGTTATTTGCGATGTTCAGTGAAACTGGAGCCAATACGTTAACAGTTAGTGAGACTATGGCATAGAAGAACGTGTCTACAGTTCAGTCGTACAGAAATAAACTTGAACGATAGACAGAACACTTTAAGGAATGCTTTAGCTGGTCTTCAACTGTTATTTACTTACCCTCTATCCAGTCGGATCCTGAATATAACATTGAGTTAAGCCACATAATCGTCACAGAAGTTGAAAAGATCGTTAGTTTTCTGAAATGAGGAAGGGCTGCATGTTTAGACAGAATAGTGCTGGAGTTATTCAAGGACGGTGACTAAGGATTATTTGTTAGATGGACTGAAGTGTTAGCTAGTCTATGGGGATCGCACATGCTCTCCTCTGGGTGGTCTTAACCACTGATTAACCAGGTCACTAAGGAGAAGGAGGAATCCTTTTATGATAACCACATGAGAACACAATCGGTCTTGAAATAGCCTATCATATGGTATCACATGAGTTGCGTACATCGAGTAGTGTCCGTCAGGTGTGTTCACTGTCTCCATTCTTACCTAATTTTTAGTAGACGTACTTGTGGGTGTCTCCGTTTCTCCGTCTGATTTTTTAGCCATTTGTCTCGTTACAAGAGACTCCTTGTTAGACCTAGAGTCTGCAGTTGACTTAGTCCTGTTCAGTGATCATGCTAGCAAGATCCCGTTGACTTCTGGACACCTTAAGTGACAATTCGAGAATGTTTGAGATCCATTTCTTACTATCAAAATGCAAATTGCAGTTTCAGCGATGCTGTACGCTAGTACCTTGTCTAACAACAGAAAGTGAAGGAGTTGAGCTTGTTGATCTCTGCACTTACCTGGGAAGTTGTTTCGGTCCTGGTTAGTCAGTCAACAGTGGGACCTCTGCATAGATACAAAAGGCTGACTTGGTTTTGACAAGTTATATCATTTATGATGTCACCACCTTGATATCCGACTGTCTATTTAGTTTCGAGCGTATTACGCTGTAGTTTGTTCTCTTATACTGGGTTAATATGGAACATGTCTCTAGGTGATATGACTCAATATTGTTCTCAAAAACGTAGATGTATTCACACAATTATATTCATCTTAATCACTGTACCAAGTTTCACTAATATCCCATTCCTACTTGCTTTCTTTTCATGACTTTGTACCACTTTTGACTGCTTTCTCCATTTCCTTATCTTTCATCTTATTGTCTTCTTGCTCGATATACTGATTTGATGTGTAGCAACTTGGATCGTTACGCACTAATGCCTGGTCTTATATTTTGATTGACTGACTGTGTGTTAAATTTCGCGTAAAAATTTAAGAGTAGAGTTATTTTACTGGTTATCAAAGAAAGATTTTTCCTCAGGGAATTGAATACATATACATTTTTGCTAAAATATTATAGAATATCTGCTGATTGCTTCTTGTTTTTTCGTTTTAAATTCTTCAGAATTGTATAATTACTACACCAGATTTCTTATCTGCCTCACCACATACAAGTCGGTCTTTAAATATCCAGTTGACTGAAACTGAATGTGAATTGACGAAATTAAAGCGTTTATATTCTGAAGCTGTGAAACGTATTAAAGAGTTGGAAACTTTGTTAAATGAATTAAAATCTAAATTGTCAACAGTTTCGGCTGAAAATATACGTTTTAAACAGGATCGGGATCGTGCTAGAACTGATTTAGAGTTGGCTGAAGAAAATCGTCTACAAGCTGAACAACAAGTTAAGGTGAGGCATATCTAAAAAGTGGCTACTTAGTTTATGTTGATGGCATTGCTGTGGTGATGAATTTTTAAAAAAATTGTATTTCACAAGGTAATGTGTAAAATATCTGCTGAACTCAACCGTTTTAATGTCCTGTTTTACAACATGAATAGAAAAACGTAATCTTTGATTATTTTTAGTTTTTAAAGGTAGAGTAAAATAAACATTTCTTAGAGGATCGTATCCACTTCATCTCTGACCTACTTGAGTGAAGTCTGTATCGATTTAAATCATGTAAAACGAAAGGTGATTACAGTGGAGACAACTTATTTGCATAGTCATACATTCGTAAATACAATGAAAATTTAAAACAGAATGTTCCAGACAAACCTCCCGTAAAAGGTCGGTTAGTCGATCGATATAGAGAGGGGATGAGAAGATATTACGTAATACAAGAAGTGCATTGAACAGCAAGATTTAGTATCTGGTAAAAATAAGTAAGCGGAGGTATAAATTCAATATTAGATTTGTCCATTTGATTGATAACACACAGTGATATAGTATTATTTACTTGATGATGTTTCGAGCATAAATTATCACTGCTCATAATCATATCAATGTAATGACACTACTTTCGACATCTGATCTTTTTTTTGGTTGTATTGTTTTCTCTGAGCTGGGGTGTTTAATCGTGAAGCTTTCATCGCCTCGTCAGACGATATCATCAGCACTAACTTCAGTATGAAAGCTTCACGACTAAACAACCCAGTTCAGAGAACACAATACAACCAAGACCATCCACCTGAGCTACAAATATTCTCCATTATTTCAACCTCTGATCTTTGTAGTCCTGTCACCTCGTATGATATTTTATTAGTAGTAAAATTTTCCATATCTCTCTCTCCAGGAAGAAGAGATCGATTACTGAATCTTTGTTCATGTAGTCAACACCCAACACGTAATAGAAATGGCGCAACACTTATGCTACCAATAAAAACAAATCACATGAGGTCACGTAAAAAATCAGTTGTCGAAAGTGGTGTGATTTCATTGATATGATTATGAGCAATAATTTGTGCTCGAAACATCATCAAGTAAATAATACTATGTCACTATGTTATAAACAAATCTAATATAGAATTGAATTCTACCTTAATGCTCAAGTCTAAGCCCTTATTAATGAAAGTATAAATTAGTGAATAATTGAAATACAAAAATGAAACGTAAACAGAGGTGCAGAGTATTTGTTTAACGCCGAGCTAAAGACAGTGTTTGTACATGTTTCTTTTGAATACACAAGTGAGGTTTGAAGCTGTGGATTGTCAAAGTTTCGGTTGGACATAAGTGTCGAATCCTCACCCTTTCTGAACGGTTTGATCGAACTCTGTAGAGAACTTCAAATGAGGTTTCCTGAGGAACCAGATGTCCAGGATATTTGAAGTGTTCAGCGATAGAACTGGAGACAGTTTTGTGATTAGCCGTCAAAAATCAGACTTAAACTATGAGTTTCATGTCGAGATGCATTCCCAATTACTTTTCTTATTATCCATCAGTTTGCTTATTATATGAATACAATTATACTATGAAACCACCTAGTTAAATCTGTGGGAAGGGCTTCTTTAGTAGAGAAACGTTTAATTGGGCTCGTGAATTATGCTGATCTATAGCAAGCGAAAGCGATAAAGGTGAGCTGGATTGGTATTTTTCAGCCACCTGATCGCATTAAAAAAGCAGGTTAGCAGAAGATAATTATCAGTGTATCTTAGGAAAATGAGTCTGTTATAGATTTCTCAAAAAAGCAGGTTATGTTGAGCTGGATATAAGTTATGCTTCAGTTGCCTACCATTTATGCGCAATATGGATGAGACGTACGCATTAGTTAACATATTATTACTCTATAGGAGAAAACTGCTGTTATTTTGAAATAAGATAAAACAGCTGAACTAGACGGCATTGATGCATGGACTCTTGAGCGTGGTCATTAGAAGTTGTTTGTTAGATTAACTGAGATTCAGTGATCATAAATTATTTCTTGTGACTGCTCTGGATCAGATTTTATTCCAATTTTTTGGAAAGTAAGGAAGATGTTCGAAGCTACAACCACAAAGAAAGCAGCTTGGTTTATATGGTGCCTAAGATTTTGGAGTTCACCATGATTCAACATCTAACTATATCTGCCTAACACCAAACTTGGAGTTATGCAGGTTTAAAGTATCTTGTAGAACATGAACAACTTGAAAGGGACTAGTGGTATTCGATTACAGATTCCTTCAAAATATGATATGTTATTGAGGCCATGCACTACTGGTTGGAGTGGAATAAGGTTCGAAAAAATTTAACAGTTACCAGATTGAAACATGATACCAATCCACGTATTTCTGTGGTGGAATATTAATAATTGGTGGTCAGTGGTTTTATGTGACTTGTTTCGAAACCAGTCACAGCGGTGAGAATATTTTCACCAATTTATTTGTCTTCCTCAACCATTTTATTACTGTTGACTTGTTTGTTTTGTTTGAGCTCTTGTTTGATAAATTCCTTTCTATATGATGTACTGAAATGTGAACCAGCGCATCTTTACTGTAGGTTGTCTTTTCATCTCTTCATCTACAGAATAATTAGACAGCATCTCCGAGTTTCTCTTTGTTGATCATCCGTAACTAGGCATCAGGAGTTTGTTGCATAGATTCATTTCATGATTGATTGGTTGTATGAAATTATTAGAGCTTATTGTAGATGCGGAAATTATAATTTTGTTAATAGTCTGTAGAGATTTTCATTTTTATTCGTTGAATTCAGTATTTTGACTACTTTAGCAAAGTTACTTAATTGATGTCAGGTTGGTTGGTTCACTTTTCATATCATGCCAGTGTATCTAGAGGAAATGGCCTTTAATAGCATAAAATGATCTAAGTAGTGATCTAACTTATTTGAATGTCTCATTCACTTAATTTAGCACTTCCACATATGTAAGATAACTCCGTTAATCATGACTAAATCTTTCCGAGCAAAAATTATGTTCACTGTACAATACAGTTCACTAGAGGTCTTACTAATTTCACCAACACTATAAATTGCTTGATATACTAGTCATTGAACTACCTATATCCTTCACTCATGAATCTATCTATCCGCCTGCAACAGAACATTTTAAAATTGTACTGAAATATAGTGGATGTTGATTTCACTTTTTTATTGTTTAGTACAATTTCATATTTTCATATCGGTTATCTATTCATTGGGCGTAGAATAAATGTGTAAATTATTTATCTTCTGATATATGGAGAAAAATTGTCGTTATTATTACTTTTACCTATATTTTTCAATTAATTTCCAATGGGGTTTAATGTAGACCTCTTTTCTAAAGAAAATTATTTTACCTTTATATTATAATTTCAATGGAATAAGATTATTTTGAAAATTTTTAATTTGCTATTATCATCTAATCAGATGCCTTGGTTTTATTATTCTGGATAAATTGATAACCTTTATTTTATGGAAGTGTGTGTGTTTATGTGTAGGTAGAAGAAGGTATAATATTTAAAGGAAATAAAAGTTCAAATATGTTTAGTATTTCTTTTCCTCTTCTAAATTTAGTTCAATTCGATGTATTGTTATTAAAATTCTCTGTGTCATTTAAGTTGCTCAACCCTTATGTATATGGGCATATTTGCTTGATGTCGATTTGATACTGACTGTATTCGCTTTAATGTGTATAATCAGATTGATTAATGAAAGATAATTGATCCATATCTCTATTTTGTAAAGTAGTTTACAGTCAACTCATGAGCTTGTGATGGATATCAGGGAGTATCATTTCGAAAAAAAATATATATAAATTGACAAATTCGAGTATATATTCCATTTGAAGAGAAGTCCAGTGGCACATTTGGAACTATCTATGGAGAAAGTGTTTACTGAGAGTGATAAAAAGATGAAACCATACAACATGATATCCGTTTGCAAACAATCTCTTGCTATGCATCTCAGTTGGCATTGTTCTTGTCCATTGGTATTTCTCTTCAACACTGCTCGATTCACAATTAATCGGTTGTTATCACTTTGCTATATATATTCACTACTTATATACATCTTTTTAAGTAGCTTTCACTGCACATTGACTCATGATCTGTTTAGTAGCTTTCACTCCACTTTATATTTATCCTGACAAATCATTTTGATGTTTATTTCATTCAGATTAGCAAAATAGTGTATATTCACTAATCAGTTCTTATCTTTTAGGTTTTGTTCCACCTACTTTTTTGGGACTACTTTTCGAAACTACAAGATCACCTTAATTTATTTTCTTTGGCGCTTATTGTATTTTAACTGTTTGGAAGCACTAGATAGCTGTTTCTTCCTAGTATAGGACTCCAGCAGTACACTCATGAACCCGCGAGAGGGATATCCTGAAGTTCTGTTGAGAAGCAGTGACCTCTGGGATCAACCAGTTCAAAGTTAACCGGATGCCAACTGAAGACTTTGGTGAATAGTTGCGCTATATCTCGGACTGACAGAAGTAGGAGACTGTGGACCATTGGACTATATATATATACTTACATTCATGTCAGTCTTGGCATCGTGAGTAGGAATGGTAATAGTGTACTGTAAGGGATAAGAAAGCGTATGTATATTATATTTTCCGAAAGTGTACATATTTTACTTTTTGAATGGTAACTATGCTTAAACTAGGATTTGGCAGACTAGTATCTTCTCATTTCGAAGACTTATGGCTTGTTCGTTTGCTGCACAGGTGAATTTCAGCCAGTGAGTCAGTGATTTGTACCCTACTTTAGAGCTTCACACAGTTAAGTAGTTTCACTATCTTGCATACAGTGGGTGTCCTTCATAAACCAATACATGAATATGCACATGGTTACTGAAAGGTTTCAGTCCAGTAGTTTAGTGTATTCTGTTTGAAAAGTCGGTCACAGTGGTGCAGATGTATTCGCTTCTTGACTTCTTCTACAACCTGAATATTTTTACTTACTTTTATTTTCAAATCCTTCCTTCTCTCATGCATCTTTGTCTACTTTGATATTGCTCTTTTTCCACCTGCCTGTTCTTTATATACTACTGTAAAGTGTGAAAACTTGAACCGATGCACTTTTGTATGAGGTTCTACGTCGATTTTGTGTATCTGTCTGTCTGTCGGTATTTGAAGTTTTCATTCTTTTGTACTATACATTTCGAACGATTGCAATAGTTGTATCATACTTGTAGTTGATAAAAGAAATAATTATAATCTGATGACTTTAAGTGAATTCTGTTATTGTAAATAGAGTTTTTTTTATTTTAAGATTTTCGTATTACCATTTATTCTTGAAGTATTGTTTTAATTGTTGTCATCTATATGTAGGTGATAAGTTTGAAGTTGGAACAAGCAGAAAAAGACATATCTTACTATTGGAATCAATAAACAAGACATGCGTTAAAGATGGGGAGCATGAATCTTCAGAATATACTATTTTATATCCTAATGCTCCAGAAAAATTATTAGAAGAATTACATCAACTTCGTTCTTCTAATCATTCGTTAACCCTACAAATGACTGATTTACAAGCTACACTAAATGATTTAAAAAAAGAATTAGAAATAACTTATGGAAATTATCAAAAATCTGAAAAAACTATTGAAAAATTACGTTCAGATTTAATGCGTATACAAGATGAACATGAAGCAAATTACGAAGAAACTCATAATGCAAATCAAGTTAAACTGAGACAACTAGAAGAAAGACTAGATGCAACACAACAAGAGAATTCTCGTTTAACTAGAGATAAACATCAATTGGAGTTGGAAGTATCAACACTTGATGAAGAATTAAAAAATGCTTTAGCTTCTTTGAATAATGATGAAATTGGTATGTTTTATTTAGCTTAGTGTTAATATGTTTGACTTTTTTTTTTAAGACAAGTCAGATTTATTCCTGTGTATGATCAGTGGCTCAGAACCGAAGTCAGTGGCGCAGATGTATCCCCACACACATTATCCTCATCTTAACAACGCTACACCGAATCTCACTATTTTGTCACTCCTCTTTCCTTTCTTCTCGTACTTTATATTTCTTTTGACTGCATTCACTTATCTTCATCCTTCACCTCACTACCTTTTTACTTGATGTGCTGATATGAGGTGTGGCAACTCGGAGCGTTACGCAGTAATGCCTGGTCCTATGTTGATAATCATGATGATAATGATGATGATGATCAGTGTGAAGTGAGTGAAATAAATAAGTTAAGGTGATCAAGCTTTTTACATTATACAACAGTTTTCGATCAGATTTCAGGCAATAGAAAGTTAGTAGTTCAGCAGTTTTCCTGAAGATATTTTCATCCTAGTTCAGCGTCAAACGGAGAATTATACTAAGCCAAATGAAAATAAGAAGATCCTTTTTCCTTATTCATGGTTCCTAGGCGTATATCTTTTTCACCTGAAACACGATCTGACTCAAGGTTTTCATATCAACCTGATGAAGAATTAGTCTTTGAATTAACCTATTGACTGGGAAATCGCTTGATTGTAATATATATATATATATTTTAGCAAAACTTGAAGTGAACTAATACAGCTGTGATTGTGTTGAGTTTTTATTGGAGGGAAACTGCAAAGGGTACTTACGAATAGCAGTCACATTTTGCAAAACAACATTACATACCTACAAGTTTTCTTAGATGTACTTCTTAACGAAGTGAACATTTCTCCTGGTATATCGCCAACCTTATCCATCAGGTATTCCTTCATTGAACTACTATTTATTCCCAAGTCTTAAAACACTTGAAGAGATAGCAACTTTTATGAGGTGTAGAACTGATTATAGAAGTAGAATTTTTGTTCAGTGATTCATACGCTTCACTAGAAACCACTGGCTCATAGATTTAGACTAACCCTTATTACTCATATATGAATATTCTTGTAGTATCATCACCTTTTACATGTGAAATGTATGTGATGTATCGCTGACAGCTTGTTACACTCAAATCCATCTTGTTGATGTAGATAAGGGCCCATGACTATTTACACGAACCTCTGACTGTGTTTAGGTATTCGACTACCATATATTAGTTGAAGTTCCTAGCCTTACGCACTACAATGTTTGGGATTTTCTGGGTTGTATTTTACCTTATAGGTAAGGAAGTATTTCCATAACAGGTCACTGTAATCTTTTTTGAAGTACTGCAGTGAGTTTCTGAACACCATTGTATCGCAACTGTGTTAACCCATAGTTTGAATATCTGAATTAAGTTATAATTTACATGACTCATTAAATTATTGTTTGAAAACTTGCTGGAGATCTACACATTCTGGGGAATTTGAGTTTCAAGACTCTGTGCAAGTATGTGTGAGACAAGACAGTGGGTATGCTGTGTAAAGACATCTTTTAAGTGTGATGCCAATAGGCTTCCTGTGCTGGCATTTATATATATATATATATATATATATATATATATATATATATATATATATATATATATACATAAAGCCGCAAGTCGTATGAATCGTTGGGTCGCATGCACCATCACACTAGTTCAATAATTGACACATGTTAGACAAGAATACCATGACCATATTACTTACAAAATTAGTCATTCTTATATTCCTTATATAAATAAATATTTATTGAATAAAATTGCTCTAAATCATGTTTATCCCCAGTGAAATTCAAACTTGGTGGTAATAAAATAAGTTTCATTCAGGTCGTTTTTGTAAACCAGCTGATGGTAGATCTAGGGATATTCTTTTTGGTCCTATTCAGGACTCATCAGTTTGTTAGGCATACCCTATAGTGATTAGTTTCAACAGGATGTCACATAGTAGACGAGAGCATAATATTGTGATGTCTGGAAAAATTTTTGTTGTTGTATTCCAGTTTCATTGGGAAGAAAAAGGCTTTGAAGCATGTGTATGCATCTGACGAGTCGAGAACTGGATGAAGCTAACATCGCGTTGTCTAACATTATTCAGGACTATTAAAATGAGTTGCATTCATCTAGTTTATTTGTTTGCATAACCTATTTCCGAAAATGGGCGTAGATTAGGCCCGACGTTATTTTCATACTCATTCTGATCAATGCCTACAATCTTAGCATCATATATGAGCTTGATTTCAGCTGCATTCTAGCTGGGCAGTACTTATTGTGATATGCAGTTTGAGCTTCCGCCAATCACATATTATCTCTTGATCTTATATATTCACTGTGTGAGTGATTTACTCTAACGACATGGTGTGTTCAGTAATCGAAAGTATTTACTGAATTTGTACACTCCTGAAAGAGGAATTTAATGAAGGCTTGTCATAAAAGCGAAATATCTTTCCAGCCATGGAACATACAAAAGATGGCTTCACTTCTCTTCTGAATCCAGTTAGAACAGTGCATGTTCAATCCAAGCATATGTTGTTTGAGATCTGGGAATTTAATTTTGCAAAGATATGAGTTCGGGGTTTCACTTGGGCTTCTTATAAACTTTGGGTCATAGGTTTGAACCCCGCTTCACCTACTGAGGTTTGGGCAGCCAGGTAGTATCACTAGACCCTATACAATACGTTTAACTCATTACGTACTGTACAGATATGCTAAAAGTGTTTGAGTAAGTTTCGTTTGTTTCGTCCTTAAAATTCTGCTAGCAAAACCCTTCGTTTTAGAATATTAGCACTCCTAGTTGTATAGACTTCCTCTATGGCTTTCTTTTTTATTCGTCTATCCTTCTCCTACAAGCCTGAACATTTGAATTAAATAGTTGGATAGGTTAATAAACCCAATGGCTCCGAGTTTATTCTTTAGTTAAAAATGATATAAAGTGGCTACAAACTATGATATTTCATCATTTTTTCTTTCTGTTTTTGCCCTTCTCCTTTTCTTTCTATTATTATTCAGAACGCAAGTTAAGAAAAGAACTGAAAATCATGAAGAGTCTTCTCGCTGAAAAAGATAGCGTAATACTTGAAATATCTTCAAATCCTGAAGATTATCAAGCTCAAATTAAAAAATTGCGTGATCGAGTAAGTATACACTTGGGTAGTGTTTGCTTTTTTTCGAATTCATTCATATAGATGGTTGATGATGATGAATGCATTTTGTTAGGTCATCAATTTCTGGTTTATTTATCATTTTTGATATGTGAGTCAATTAATTCCTTTTTATGTAGTTTATATGTGAGGTGACTAAAGGATGCAGTTTACCTGAAAAAGTGATACAATAATGTAATTTAGTGTTTAAAAATGTTAACTCTAGTAGTATGTGAAGTGAGTGACCGAATAATAGGAAGTACGAGAACGTTACTAATGCAGCGAAACACTTGAACCGGATACAAATAGCAATAGTTCTCCCTCAGGTCTGATACTTCACTGAACCACGAAAATCAGAAGGCAAAAATCGGCACGTGATTGTAAGAAGAACAACTTTATTTGACAAGATATATATAACTGACACACAGTTTTCCTCAGCATATAAAGGTCAGAAGTTGGATAGTTATTTTGATTGGTCAACTGTGGGATAAGACTGTCCAGTAAGGTTTTCTCGCCCACACAGTAACCTGTAACAAGATTGAAATCCAAAACTTTCTTCCTTAGAGGCTGATCACTTGGAATATTGATGTCAATTTAGGTAGCTTCCTATCATTATGTCATGCACTGTTTGAACTCATAAAGCAAGATTTTGCACTGCGTCGGTGATGGATTCCCGTATATATGAGGTATCTGAAAAATTAATGTCAATAATATGCTTTTAGGATAACACTCCAGCTTTTCTTTAACTCATTTGTATGAAATAAACGAAAGGTTAGATGGTATTTAGACAGAAGCTGAGAAAATGATTAGTTTTGGTGTAATAAGCTTGTATACTAATGTATCAACCAATATGTTCGTAAAAGCCTTCAAAAATGAACGGCATAGTGATCCTAAACTTACTCGTAGACATAAGGCACCGGTTAAGAGTGTCATTTTAAGTTCCTTTCTGTCTTCTACAATTTTCAAGATGAAATGTATCAACAAATGTGGCGAATAGCAATAGGGTTATTAGCGTATATATGAGCAATCATAGGGGCGTCGTTTTAAGAGCATTCTACTGAAAAAAGATAGCGGCAGTATTTGAAAGACTAAAAGAAGTCGAAGAAAACAAATTGATACGAGATGTAAAATGTGCAGAACAATAGAATATCAAAATTGCAGGTGACACTGAAATTAAATTGTTTTTATATCGATCGTTTGGAAGACGTTTCCAGGACTTTAGTAATTATTATACAGCATCTTATCTAGGAAAGCATGCGAATGAGGTGGGTGAAGTCAAAATTAACGAGTTTGTAAGATATGGAAAGGAGGGTTTCATGTTATTCAGTTAAAGTATTGTTACCACAACAAAGTCGAAGTTATCGAAGTCTCCATCATATGCAAATACCAGGTTTGAGTTGTTTGACTACAATCCATTCATAGATTATCGTAAAGGTGGTAGATGGATCCTTATTGTTTCCTCAATCGATTAGTTTCTAAGTAAGTGCCTTTTTAAATGACTGAAAACCGTTCTGTCGAAAATTTCTTGGAGTGTGCTGAGATAAGCGGATATATATGTTCACACAACTATTCTATCAGTGTACTTTCTGTGATAAATGCATGTGAGTTTACGGATGGAGTTGGAGATCACTTGAGATGAGTACTTATCTACATGTAAAGTATTATTTCATACAAAGACAGGTTAGGCAGGTGAACAAATTTTAATACAGATAGCTGATGAGTAGGCCAGTTTCATTCTGCTAAGCTGGTTCTTCTATATATAGTCAGAGACTTCATAAAGTAACATGGAGAAGGCAGTTATGGTACATAATCACTATTTAGTGGTGTTGATGATAGGATGATATTGGAAGTAGTTAGTTACCCACCTATTTCGAACATACTACTACTACGAACATGCTACTCTTTTCTATTTTGTGTTACTTTAATTACTTTCTACTTAGATAGTGCCACGTTGATGCACCTGTGTGCGAGGTTCTACGCTGATTTTGTTAGTCAGTCAGTTTCTACTCATCTATCGTAAATAAAGTTGTAATATATATATATATATATATATATATATATATATATATATATATATATATATATATATATATATATATGGATCATGCAGCAAACAGTGGGGAGCTGTGAGAAGAGGGGGATACGCTGGCTGGACTGCGGAAAAGAACCTAGAAGACTTGGATTTTGCCAATGACTTGTGCCTGATGTCACATAAACTTGAAGATCTACAGGCGAAAACTAACAAGTTGACAGAAGAGGCAGCGAAAACGGGACTTCAAGTGAATATAGAGAAGACAGAGGTGATAAAGATACCGTACCAACAACTCCAACAGCAACAACAAACTCCAGTCACCATCAACGGGAGAAACTTAAAGGAAGTAACCTCCTTCACCTATCTAGGCAGCACTGTTTCAACTACAGGTGGTGGCACAGGCACAGACGAGGATGTCAAAGTCAGCCAGGATCGGAAAAGCAAGACAGGCATTCATTAGCCTGAAACCAATGTGGAGATCCTATGCACTGCACTCAGCATGTGGAACAACATCGCGATTTTCAACACCAACGTCAAGTCAGTGCTTCTGTATGGTTGAGAGACTTGGCACGTTACGAAAGGGATTTCCAATAAACTACAGACATTCGTCAACAACTGCTTACGCTGGCTCGCTACTGAAGATCAGATGGCCAGAAAGAATAAGCAACAAGGAACTCTGGGAACGAACCAACCAAGAACTTATCGCTGAACAAATATGCACTGGAGGGAAGTGGAGATGGATTGGGCATACACTGAGAAAGCCGACTGGGGACATCACGCGTCAGGCCAGGTACTCGAGTGGAATCCCCATGGGAAGCGACGAGTTGGACATCCGAGGCGGGGGTGACATGGAGGAGATGGTGCGAGGAGGAAATGAGAGCTTCTGGGCAGTCATGAAACCAGGTTCGAAAGATTTCAGAGAACAGGATGAAATGAAGACGTGCTACTGAAGCCCTTATGTTCCGCTAGGAACCCAAGGGACTAATAATATATATATATATATATATATATATATATATATATATAAACCATCTGGACTTTATCATCACTAAGAATAATTCAGTTATTTTCTTTTGATAATTCGGCATTTGGTAAGTAATATAAATTTTTGTAGGTATATTGCAAAATTTTTTTCCAATATTGCAGTTCCGTAAATTTTATAGAATCTTATTTATGCATTTATTTATTAGGTCGATGAATTAGATGAATTGAATGAAATAGCTAATCGTCAAAAACGTGTTCTACAAACTGATTTAGAAGATGTTCAACAACAGCTATCCAGTGCATTACGTACACAAAAAGAGGTGAGTAAATATATTAAACAGTTAGTTTTTCGTAGTTTTCATGGTTATACATAACTCATGGAGTAATTTTTTCAAGTTGTTATGGTTGGACAACTCTGTTAGCACTTTCAATTTTTATATTATGCCTACTCCAAATACACTTAAAAGAACGTTTCAATGCTTGTTTATTTTGTTATTACTTTATTTCCTTTATTAGTATCATATCAGTGAAAAGATTTTTCTTCTGGAAAATGCTTTGAGAGAAAATCTAAGATTGTTCGGTATACTACTCATCCTTATCAAATATATTGTGTTTTGTTACTGATATGCTTAGACTTCTTGTTTTGAAGTATAATGGAGTCAAGTGATGAACTGCGTTGACTATTTTTCTTAATTGAGGAGTAATATAAGTCTTTTGAAGCTGGTTGAGCTCAGGTACAAAAGGCCTATCTGGAATTCGCTAGCTTATCCCACCTGTGCTGTTAGTGAGATATCCGACTTTTTGTTAAAGCAAGAGTATACTGCTGAACAGTCCACTCTGTTCTATTGTACGTCTGCCAGGTATGACCAACAAAAATGAAGAAGTTGTAGGTTTTTGGCAAAAGGTGTTTTTATAACAGTACATGAATATAGTGAGACACCGTGTGAGCAATATCAATGTTAGGTAGAGAGTAACAGGCAATGGAAACAATTCAGTAGATGAGGTCCTGACCCTTCATCGGCTTAGGTAGCTTAGGCATATGTTGCCCATATGGAGCCAGTGTCTGTTTCGACAAGCGATGTTAACTAAAGTAGTATTTGGTTGAAAGGCAACTAAACATGGGCAGAGCAATGCACATCATCGAGTTCCTGACTGTCTACATTTACCATTTTTGGAGACGAAAGCTGTCTGATGGTGGTCTTCCAGACGATAGGAACCAGTGTTTTAAGGTTCTTTGTCATATGACTCAAAAATGGTCACCGTGGCACAAATGTGTACCGTTTATGTTCGTCGAAATTTTGAAAATCTTAACTAACTTTTGTTTATTCATACTGTTTTTTTTTATGAAACACTATTCTCTACTTCACTATCATTCTTTTTGTGTTCACTTCTTCCTTGTATGCTGTCGTGTATTTAATGTACTTGGTTTGCATTTTCCTTAGTGATTAGACTTCTTATTGGAAAAGATATCAACAGTAATTGTAAATTGTTTTTGTTTTGGCATTCAGTTTCGTAAATTTCTAAAGCAACAACTAATGACATGTAACGTATTATTATTTTTTTTATTATAGAAGTCCTTAACACATACAAAACTACATTTAGGATTTTGTCAGTAGATTTAACCATATCAGCCTATGGTCATCTGTAGATACCATTTATTTTCCTTTTGTAGTCTTTGAACTTGGAGGTTCTAGCATTCCTTTAGGATATTAGAAAATGTGTATCTCTACACAATTTTGAGAAGCAACTGAACCAAGGCTGCAAGCTATTGAATTTGATATTGGTTGGAAACTTTTATCGTCAGTGAATATTGCAAATTAAATTTTGGTTTCCAAATGGAAACCGTGGTAGCTGGTTAGTTTTAGATCAGTTTCAATCAGATGAGCTGAATGAATCTAGGGACAACGCAGATAAGCTCAACTTTAAACGAGTTAAGCGACTGTTTATCGATTTGATCATCTTGATGTAAGTAGTCGGTGTTACTGATTGATGCATATGATTTTTAACCACGCATCTTGATTAAAAGTGTATATTTGTACCGTTCCTATTACCTCACAGAGAAATTCGATTATATCTACAGACATGAAAAGATAGAGAAATTGCTTGTTGACTTTCTTTAAACGAGATCTTTGTCTTATTCAAATTCATTAGGTTGTATAAAATGATATTCTATATCGTATTACTTTATGCATCCATTCTGCGATTGGTAACTCATTAAAGTGAAGTTTTTGATAGGTGATAGAGGGTAAATAGTTGGGTATTTGAATTTAAGAGTGGACGATAGGATGAAGTTCTATCACAATAATAGGTATCTTATTCAGAATAACAGTGAATGATTACTCCAATTATTTCACGCACACACACACACACACACATTGGGGAAAAAAATTCGGGAAGGGATCATGTAACAATTAACTACTTAAGTAAAAGAGTAAATAATTTGACAGTAATTTGCTATTAATATAAGTTTTGACGTATTATATTTGTTGTACTTCATGAACATCCTTTTCATTCTAACTTGTAAACTCACTCGTGGTTTTAAACTCAAAATTGGAGAATTATTTACTGTCACTCATGTAACTGTGAAACGGCGATCTAGAGAGCTTTTGAAAAATACGTCTAACAGAATTTTCTTGTACCGATAAACAATCACTACAGTATTCCTGGTGATAATTCCTTATGCGTGTCAACGGAAAATTTGTCTACCAGCGGTTTATTTAGAAGAGTGATTCTGGTTTTCTCTAGTATTTACTTCTTCAAGTGTTAAGCTTCATCATTAGAAAAATTCATTAACTACTGAGATTCTGTTGAATGTTTTCTAGTTTTAATAAACATAGATTATTAGATGAGATGTTTGAATTTACTGTTTTCTTAGCTTTTTTTTAATTTTGATCTTGATTTGTTTACCTTTTAAAAAATTAACAAAGTTTGCAGAAGAATTATCTCGTTCAAAGCGTGAACTGTTAGAATTACAAAATCAATTCACTGACCAAGAAGAAGCACATAAAGAAACACGCGATAAGCTTCATGGTACAATGGCTAATCTAACTGTTAAAGAGGCTACAATCCAAGCACAAGTGCAGGAAATTGAAGAATTTCTTGTTGAAAGAAAAGAGATGCAATCTCAGATAGATGAATTAAAGTTGAATTTGAATACAAATACTATAGATCAGGTACGTTGGCTTATTTGATTGTACTTTAACGACTTTGTTTCTCTTTATATGCATCTGTTTATTGTCACACCTTCCCCCCCACCTTATTCCAAATCCTAATTGTGCATTAAATATGCACATAAAAGGAATATTAAAACCTCTAAGGTTATTTAGCGCTTGTTAGTTCATCAAACATCTAATGGTAGCAGAGTTTCTTGGAGATCTAGTACCGATGTTACATTCATTTAACGTGTGTGACACCCATCTCCTGCCACCTAATTTGGTTTCTGAAAGTGTCTTTAGAATTGATGCATAACCTCTCTTAGCTGTCGAAAAAATTATATTACTATTGAAACTTTAAAAAGAAAATAGAAGAAAAATCCAACTCAGCAAACATATGTATGTTCGCATATCATACAGTGAGTCATACTCATTTTATGTGACGGCTTATGTTAATACAAGGGTGCTAAAACTTCAATAGGTGAACTGGAGTTCGAACCGGTGGTTGAAAATCGACTGCACAGACCAATGGAATACGGCCTCAAAATAAGAAATTGGAAAGATCGGGGTTATCTAGACCTGATAACAGTCTATCAGAGTTTCACTGCCGGTTGACACTTTTCGACTACCCATATCGTGATAGGTTGTCTTCCTGAGGCAGCTGGGGAAAAAATTAGTATTAGTGGTGCATAGCTGCAGAGCTTGTGGTCAACCACACATGGTCTTAGCGGAAGTTTGAATTTTATCTTTGATTGGTTTCCATCCAGTTAATAAACCCAAACCACCGGTAACAGAAGACTGTAGGGTAACGAGGGTATGTTAATTTCAGTCAAACTTTTCTAAACCTTCTCTTCCCATAGGAAAGACAGCATCAACATGGTGCTGCTGGTTATCACCGGAAAGCATTCTACTGTTGTCGCACTCCTATCCAGCCAGGAGTACGGCTTCGCCATAACAGTCCCATCGAAGTAAAGGAATTCACATAATAACTGTAAATGCTTTTTGTCTTACAAGTGTTCAACAGACTGCTTTCGTACGGTAGGACTTCGTGAAGACAGATGTTCAATTAGCATAGCTTGTTTAGTCGTTGTGATATGCAAGCCCGACCACTACGTCAGAGTGAGAGCTATTGGTCTTGAGCCTAACCCTACTAGCAAATTTGTGCAATCGCTGTGATATACTGTTATATAGAATAAATTAGGCATATGTTATGAGGCGAGACAATATCCCTTAGATCCCTCAAAGATGCGGGGAATTCAAGAATCATTGAAATCAAGAATGCCAACACGCTTCTCTCTGTCAGATAATACTGACTAGTGTGAGGTGTTGGGAATCGTTCATACTGACTTGAAGTGTTCACATGTTAGCTTCGGGTGATTTAACCACGAACGGTTTCCAAGAGTGTAATTCTACTTGTTCTCCTTGACTCATTCAACTTGAAAAACCCATTTATAGTATTCACTTTATTCGAATAACTGACTAGGGCCTTCAGAGTATTAGGAACCAACGCTTGATGATGCTTCAGTGAGTAGTACATAACTGAGATCATTCACTTACAACGGTATCCTCAGTTGTAAGGCTGTTTTCAATTTTATTACGACTGATTTTCCCTACTACCCAAGAATACTTCTAACTTTTAAATTCACTAATCTCGATTATTCTTTATGTGTTTATTTGCTTTTTGATAAATTTAGGTTCCTCGCAGTGATTTGGAGCGTTTAGAAGCTAAAGTTCGCGAGTTGGGACAACGTTTAGATATTGAAGCTAGTAATCGTATACGTATTCAGTATTCACTTGATCGTGCACGGGAATCAATTGAACAACTCACAAATGAACGTGACAAGCTTTTGGCTTCTGAAGCGAATGAACGTGAACAGAATCGTAAACTAGCTAGACAACTTCGTGAAGCACAGCAGGATGAAAAGGAAGCATCTAGACGTGCTACAGCAGCTCAGCGGCGAGCTGAAGAAGCCCAATTAGATGCAAATAAAGCGATACATGAAGCTGCATGTTCACGTGCCGAAATGAATGCTTTACTAAGACGCACACAAGACTTAGAAGCGCTTATTAGGACGAAACAAAGTGAATTAGACTATGAAGATCTATTGTTATATGATTCTTCAGGTGAAGATCTCGCTTTAGGGGGATTGAAAGGATCCCGAGATCATCTATTGCGGTCAGCTTTGAAGTAAGTTGTTACTTCTTAGTTTATTTTTGAATACTAGTCATCAATAAGGCGAAAATTTTACTTTCTAACTGTTTTCATAAGTAACTTAACTTTCTTTATGTATGTTTGCATACTAACTCAACTGCTTGTTCTTTCTTGCATAATTAGTAACAATATGCATTTATGCTAACCATCATAATGATTATCAAACACTCTGTTTATCTTTATGATGTTCAACACTCATAGTTGCTTTTTTGCTGTAGCATTCATAATATACGTCGATGGCTTTGCTCAGCATCTCCTTCCTCTTCCTTTTTTTCAAAAAAAAAAGAACGTCTTACCGTTTATCATACTTTTCAATATATACATATCCTATCTGAATAGTGGTATTTGTGGTGTTCTCATAACCTGAGTATGTAGTGAATTTACAACCAAATTTTTATCTTCACTCTATTTGACTGCATACTGGATAAGTACTGAAACTTTTACAAATTGGATCTAACTCACCGACTACTTTTACACTCGAGAGTACGAAATGGAAATAAGATGGAATGCAAGTTTTTTTTCGACTACCAACACACCTCTCCAAGCAAATTAAATCATACTGATTTACGTTTCTTATTATTATGAAAATATTTAGGTTATACACAGTGCTCAGAAAATGACATAATTATGTGTTATGGTAAATGGTGATACAGTTTTGCATAATTATATTCAAAGAAATGTTGGTTAATTTTTTAAGCATCAAATCCTTCCCAGTGTGTTATTATCAACCATTTTATCCTTATAGTAATGGATTTCTGTGAAACTTTTTGTGCTTACTACAGGATAATGAAATCTTTTTTTTGAGTTATGCATCTTATAAGATACTTATTCTAGTTGTAACAGTTAAAAAATCTGCTGCCTTTTCATTCATTTAATCTTTTAACTACCTGATAGAAATAGAAAACTAGCTTCTTACTGAAAATTTATATTTTGCTGTTGGTTTTATATGATGAAGCGCTTAACTCAGTGAAGATGTGAAAGCGTTTTTAGATGTATTGTTTATCGTTTGCTTGGTTGGAATTCTGCGTTTTCTTACAGTTTTATCTCTAAACTCATCTTCTAACCTAATCATTATTGTGATAATCTTTTCCATTTTTTTAAATTTTAGTCGCTCTTCTTCTAGATCATCTGTGGAATATTCTGTTTGTTCCGATGGTGAAGGTGATGATAACAATATGAATGATCATGATAATAATGATTTCAAAACAATAGCAAATAAATCAAGAACTACTAACAATACTACTAGGAATGATAATGATGTTAGTAGTGATACGTAAACTAACGAAATTTTCCATTCCATTTTAATTAATTGCTTATACTATTGGTGATCTACATTGGAATTTATTATTTATATCCTGACAGTATATATGACAGAATCTTATTGAGGTGGAATTATTATGAAATATGCTTTTTTGTCTATTTACTGCTAACATATTTCCAAATTCATATTAATGCACAACCGCTTTTCTAACATACATATCTGCTTATTGAAACATTGCTAAATATGTTGGATTATACTTGAACATAATACTTAAATACTATTTCTTTTGGTAAGCAACATTATTAGCAATATATTTGTTATCTAATAGGAAATTCTTATAAAATGTCAGAAGTTAATATAATAATGGCAGTGATATATTGCTTCTTTAAATTGAAATTTGTGTTTATATTCACCTTTATTAGTCAGAAGGATGCAGTAGGATATGTTTGTGTTTGATGAACGTTTCATTGTATGTACGAGTAATCATCTTCATTGAAACAGTATCGAAAAAAAAATGTGAAGTTCGGAACATCATCTGCTTTTAAAACTTTAACATATCATATATGCGTTGGTTGTTTGTTATTAATTTAGATACAAACAAGTGAAACCTAGTTAACAAATTCTAATATAGTCAATTAAATTTGAATTATACAAAATGATATAACTGGTGTACACAAGAAACCTAAAAATTTCATTTGTTTGGAGATAATGACCCTTATAATGGGGTATGGTGTCCACATCTAACCGCCTTAGAATCCCTTCTTTTCTTCAAGGTGTTCGATGTTTTGATTAGTTTATATTTGGTCTCACATTTTCAAGTTTTAAACCTACATCTTATTGAGAATAAATAATGATGAAATAAGGCGAAGGTGGGGTTTTAGTGTTTTATATTATTTGTCTATCTGTTTGAGATTTTTAAGCAATAAGCAGTAAAGTTAGTGAGATGCCAGCAGTACTATATAACGGTCGAAGTTATCACACTTTATATCATAAATTCACGATACAACCTTCCAAGGTGAAGATGTAATGAGAATGAATTGGATTACTTTTTGCAGATTGTTATTGGAAGAGACAAATGTTAATTAAGATTAAGACAATATGTAGATGCATCTGTGCTACTGATTACAGATTTTCAGCCATGTCACCGACAGTCTCCAACCAATAACTTTGGTTATCACATGGACTCCAACTAGGAATATGGAACTTCTGTACGTAGCTCAAGTCACTAGTAAGAGACTTCATGGATTGATACCATATTTTTGTGGTCCTCTTTAATCTTTCTGTAACCTAAGCATACTTTGGCTGATACCGCATCTTGGGATAGGGTGGTAACTACCCATATCATAGCCGCTTAAGTTAATAAAAGTTTAAAACTGAATTATCTATTCCCACTAACCTAATTCTAAAGAGAATGGAAACAGCGACAAGAATGTTAAAACTATACTTGAAAACTTTAGGCCCTAAGTTATTGACTAAGAATCAGTTTGTATATCTTATGCATTAATAGTTGCATTCCTGTGTAGCAATCATAGAGGCATAAGTCTGTGAACTTGTAGCAGGTAGTGTAAATTAGCAAATTTCAACTGTTCATTTAAATCCCAAGTTATATTAGGATGCGTTTTATACATGGCTTCTGTTTATACTTTCTTTTATCATTTGTAAGATTCATTTGCGATAACTTGAATGTAGTCACCGGGATGATAGTAATCAATAGTAGGAGCTTCTTGGTGGTATGGCTCTAAATTGTTCACAATGGTTCAGGTGCATAAATTCTCTGTCATCTTCTAAGTTTCACGTATATTCTATCACTAGCAGTTATCTATCTATTATTTCTTATCCTATGTGGTTTTTTCTACTGGAATACTTCTCTGTTTGTGTTCACTCCGTCTTCGCGTGGTGCTATGAAATGTTACAACTTAAACTGATGCACGTTCTTTGTTGTTTTATCTGGATCTCTCTTAAGGGATTCAGTTTTATTTCTTGGTAGTAATTAAATAAGTCCCGCATTACATGAACTTTATCTGAAGAATAATACAATGTTCATTTTTCTGGATGACAGTCGATTAGTTTTGGCTGTTAAAAAAGTAAATAAACGATCAGTAGGCGTATTATGTCTTTAGCTTCTCTAATTTTTTTTTTCTCTTTAGGATTTGTTAACTAATCCATTTACAGGAAAAAAGTATTCATACAGATTTCCGTGTAGAGTAGGTTAGCACTTATTATAATATCACTGAAGAAAGGAAAATATTTTTCTACAGCTGTGGTTTCTCTGTTTAAAATGATTTGTCTTGTTCGAAGAAGGGTTCACTTAGTGTTTTTTTATGTTTATTTTTCAAAGGGGTTAGTAGAATAGTCGTCACTGTATTGCATGCACACATTACACATTTTTTTTAAATATACATGGAATACAATTGTTCCAAAGACCAAAAACAGTGTAAATACACTCCAACAACCTTGTGCAGATTCGTGTAGCAGGCAGTAAGCCGCACTTGTCATGTACAGGTTAATAGTATTACCTGGCTACCCAGGTGAAGTGGTGTTAGAATCCGTGACACATTGGTTGGATGTCAACTCTCTAAACCAATGAGCCTCAGTTCCACAATTGCTTTGAAACTGTTTCAGTATTTCTGATTTGTTTCTCTTGTCATATACATATATATACTTTAGTATCATGAAAAGATTTTTCTGCCATCTACTTTAAAATTTTTTCGACTTCCAGTATTAATACCTTTAAAGTTTCCTATGTTCTTATTGATATAGACCGAATTCAATAAAAACAAAGGTAAATCATAAAACTATTATCAGTCTGTTGTGGGTCAAAATAAGACTGTATGACTTTCGATGTTATTAAGAGCAAGCTTTTTCTCGAAGTTATAGATACATTTTTTTTGAAGGTGACTACTTGAGGAATTGGCCTAGTTTTCAGCTTCTCATTCATATGGAAGTATACAGGATCATACATCCAATTCGAAGATATATCAAGCTAACCTGATTATCATGTCCATCAGTAATTCGAAGGAATATTCGTTACTATTTTTCTGTCAATAGATTTCTTTCAATTATTAGAACCAAAAAATGTTGACAGATATGAGAGTTAGTGTAGAAGCGTAAATTTATGATGTTATGCAACCTTGTAAAACGTAAATATTTAGAATAAATTTAATTTTCATACCTAAAAATTTTTTTAGATCCTACGGTCGTTCTCATCGAGGTGTACATAAATTTTGTTTGCTCAATCGGGCATTTTCTGATGATAATCTTCCATACTTGCCAAATCGTTTATCAGATCACCTGACCACAGCGACTACTACCTATTGTGAATCACTGCCCAATAATTCATTCAATGATAGTAAAACCAACAGCGCAAGACAGCAGCCTATTAAACGTAAGAAACGTCAATCACTATTACAGTCAAGATCTGCTTCTTCATTTGTCTCATTTTCAAATAATTCTAGTTCTGTTGGGAATAATTCTTCACAAACATGTAAAGCACAAACTTCGGACGAAAAAAATCTTCATTCTTCATGTTTAACTTCTATGAACAGTATTGAGACAACAAGCGTTTGTACTCATGATATACAACCAGAAATTAGTGCTATTACTCCTTCTAATAATAGTAATGACAATACTAAAAGTCAACCTAATGAAAATATGTTGTTCTCTTCAAATGTATGTGTTTTAACTTCACCGAAATTTAAACAAACTGTCACCATTAAACATGTTTATCCTGATTCGATGCAAAAATCAAATTTGGAAATATATCTCACAGATGATTCTAACAAAGATCGTAATAACAATGATAAAAATTGCACTAATTGTAACAGCAATCGTAGTAGTGTTAACTCAAGTAATAACAGTAGCAAGTGTACTTGTGGTAATTACATTATTGATGTAACACCACGTAATCAATCACCTTGTGTATCACCTTCACCAACTTCAATATCTCATAGTTTTGACCTATCGAATAAAACCAATTTTGAAATATTTCACTATGGTAAATTGAATACATCAACTACCAGCTCATAGCATTCCGTTGAAGCTGCAATAACAACGAAATATATTTAATTGGCTAACTATTATCTAATATTACATTTCCTTCGTAGACTATTTTGAGAAAAAAAAATCAGTGGGAGGAAGTATGCTAAAAGTTAAAACAATGATCAATTGAATGCATGTTATTTGCCTAACACTTTCTTACTATCTTCTGTTGCATTGTTTATAAATACCCGGTGAGGTAATAACATTACTTTGTAGTTCATATATTTCAGCACTGTTTTATTTCCTTCTTTCTCGTTACTCTATGTCGTTACCGTATTCATTCATTGTCTGAAAGTCATTTTGATTATTTGTGTTAGTATGAATACCTTTTTCACCATATATATCCACATTGCTCATTGAGTTGTTTCCGTGTTTAGTATCATTACTGCACAAAAGGTTTGTTACATTCGCACAGAACCGATGTCAGTGGCTATTATTATTATCAACGTCAATAACATTTACTTTTATTAATTGTTGGAACAATAATCTATTATTTTATTATGTCCTAATGATAACGATACATTACAGATACCATTTTTTTAAGTGTATGCATGTATAAATACAAGTTTTTTTAAACATATATGGCTATTCAACTCCATGTTTCTCGTTGTTTCGTAATGGGTTTTTTTCAATGAAAATTTTTTGTCTGTATTTTAAACTACTATTCAGTAGTAAACTTGTGATATGCTAATAATTTGGAGTAATAAAATAAATGTTTCCTATTTTTCTTTCCATCGGTAGAGTACCTAAACTAAGGACTTGAAGTAAAAAAAAGATTTTTGTGGAATAGTGAACTCATCACCTATATTATAATATTTCAGTGTAACCGTGCAGAATTCAGAAGCGCAATGAAGATTGCTACCGAATATTTCCCTTGAGTGAACGTGAACTCACATTTCTTTCACAAACCAGCAAAACTTTCATAAAATTGTATTCCGATTTGGGAGACGTGAGGGCAGCCTAGTGACCTATTAGTTGAGTGATTTAATCAGTCCTTTTATTGGAAATCCTTAAAGAAATTCGTAACATATGATCTAAATATTTCATGAACTCAAGAACTGAAAAGTGATGATGGTCACTGACAAAACAGTCAAGAAGCATAAGTCGCATTTGTTTTCTCAGGACTGACGGCTTCAACTTTGGTTGGAATGCTTCGAAGAACAGTAATTGACAGCTACAATTCAGTGGTTCAACATCCAGTTGCACTCTGAATAGGAATTAAACATTGTCTTTCAGTTTTGTTGAAGTTGAAATCCCCAAAAACGCAAGACATCATAATCTGTTTGTTCGCCTCTAGAGCTCTCGAATAATAGAATTACCGAGCGTATATGAATAGACTGTTGTTCTATCAGATTGGTTTCTGTCATGAATTACTGCAGTTTATAAGGAAGATGCATTTCCCTGTGATGAATACAGTAGGATCTCTGTCAAACTGCGTTCATAGTCATTTGACAACTTACTGGGTATCAAGAACAATGAATCCAGGAAGTTGATAAGATTAAGAAAAAGATGAAAGTTAACAAACTAATACATATTCTAGCAGTTGCTAATCCGACCTCAGTATATTTATTCACTTCCAATATACCTTCGCATGTATTCATAGCGTATAACACTGAGTCCATTGTTCGTCAAATAGTGTGAAAATCAGGGACTTGAAGTGAGCTTATATGCAGAGTGGACTGAAATTCACAAGTACGCGCTTCAGAATATACTCGAATACACTAAAAAATTCTGAGTGTCAGAATTAAATGACAAAATGTTCAGCACATGGAATACCAGCAGAGGTAGCAATCCATGAAGTCTCTAACAACTGATGTGAGCTATGTAGAGAAGTGTAGGCTGTTTAGCTGGATTGTAAATCAAACAGTCGATGCTCTTGGTGATATGCCACAAAGCGATCACAATGGTATGGATCTGTTCGCTGCTTTTTATGTTCAAAATGCAAAGTATTTCACAAATGCTCATTTTTTCTACATTACGCAAGTCATTGTTTTCCACAGAATGTGGTGGATACCCATTTTTCTTAAAATTTTGTTTCAAAAGTTGAGGTTTTATGTTTATGCTGCTCTCCATAAAATGTCTTCCTGTTTCATGATCAGTGACAACGAAATATACTCGTTTCTATGCCTATTGAAACAACACTATGTAAATGTTTTTCAGCTGGTACGCCACTTAAACGTTTTATAAATCAATGTTTTTGGAGTTCTGTCAACTCCTCTCGTATCTAGTACACTGAGAAATATCACATTATAAATTTTGCGAAGGCTATGCTTTACACCTATAGCCAAAAGATCGAAACCAGTTTTCACCTCAAGAGATAATCCTTGGAACTGCAATTCAAATATATGATGTACATATTTGTGGGACAATATCAGAAGTTACTGTTCTGTGGTAGCCTGAGAAGAGGCTTTAAATAGTCATTTATTTCGTTAGAAATTAGGGACCTGTGTGTCCCATCGGTTTGAAATCATTTATTGTAAACCTCTTTAAGTGCACATGGTTCACAACATCGACTTACAAGTTCTATTTTCGTGGTAACTGCTTAGCTACTTGGAGAAAATATATAACATTTTGTGGAAGTTCTGTAACTCATCGTTTTGACAGAGAAAGTAGTTACTCAGTCAACTCGTCTGCATACTAAACCATTAGGGATATTCTGAAAACAAGATAGACACAGTGCATAATTTTGAAAATTAGGGTATAAATCGTAGGCATTTATAAGTGTCGGAGGTCCTACTGATACGAATGGATATAAGTAGTAAATATTTAAAGGTCCGCAGGAAGCATAGGCAATTACCAGCAATGGGTAAATACTCTGCCCAGAGGAATGCAAGAGACAATCTAAGCGTATTAAGAGCAAGCTGAGATAGAATTAGAAGAAGAAATGGAACACATTGTCCAAATGACTATTTTAATGGAAAGTGTACAGTATTTCATCACTGCTGTTAAAGATGTCGTAATAAACATTCTGTCCTGCGTCTCACTCTTGTTGTACATCACATAAGTACTATGCTGAAGTTTGAGTGCAAAATCTAGTTCAGATTTTAGTTTTAATGGGTTCTCTGAAGATGTACTAATCGCTGTGCGAATTTGTTTGGCACTTATGGTTTCTATTACAGTTCAGTATTATGCCTAATTTGTTTGATTTCTATAACTAAATAATCAGTGATTGCAGTCATCTTAGACTATACTGTTTATAACTGGGATCAACATTCATTTGACTGTTGAGATACAAGAATGCGAATCACTTTCAAACATATTTTAAACCTTTAAATTTGTGGTATAGCGTAACCATAACCACCATTGATCCTACTCCTTACTTAATTACCTCCATAATTCGCTACTTTTCGTTACTATCCTGAGTAATTTATTACCAAAAATGTGATTCATGTTATATGCTTGCTAGTAGTCGATTTTTTGAAGTGCTATTCCCATATAAATCTTTCACTATCTAAAATGCCTTTAAATGAAAATGTCCACCTATTAAATACTTGCTATTTCATTATACTCCTCTTCTAAACTTTTCAAGCTATTTCAACTAGTAATTTAATAATTTTCTCAGCCCAGACAAATACAGCATAGAAGACAAAATGCGTGTGTATGTGTCCTGCCTAACTAACTTGCTAAGAGTTAAGAAAAGCAATAATCATATAGTAATGATGGATATTGGCTAACATTAAAATAATCAGTTTATGTTTGTGTTCAGTTCTAATTGGTCTATTCCAAAATGAATTTACCACCCAAATTGTTCCTAGTTTTAGTATTTTTTTTTGTAAAAATGGGGACCGTGACGTAAATTCTAGTAAGTGTAACTGTCTAAATGTATCTCATGACGAAAATTATGTTGCGTCAGCAAGTTATAAACAGAGTTATGAGTTGATGATAAGAATATTCAAGTTGTCCTTTCTTATCACTTGCCAGAAAATTGTTGTGAGCGATTAAGATGACTCGATTCCCTTTCTGAATTTATAAAGAAAACACTTTTTTTATTCCATTACAATTAATTTTGATGCTTTCCTAGAAGATTGAATGAAGTAGACGAATAAATTTACTTATACTTATAAGGATATAATAGAAAAGTTAGTTAGACCTCAAGTCTTCTTATCTTTATGAACGCATCATAATGAGTTCACTACTGAATAGAGAAAAATGTTTGAGTAGTGTAATTGGAAGGAGAAGTTTACCTGAACAGCATGATGCGTTTGTGCACCATTTAGCTAATTATTTTCTGACTAGTAAAATATTCAAGGTATGAATTGAGATTTGTCACGAATTTTGTCTTTCAGTAAGATTAACTGTTTGCAGGAGAGAAAAATACACATCTAGAGGATTTACAATACTTGTCGCGTAGAAGATAACTCAGTCTATTATCATTTATGAACAAGAAGACCTGTTGGCTTAAACAGATAAGCTGGAGGCAAACAAATACTTACTGCATTACTTTATAGACTTTGGGTTCTACAAAAGCTGTACATGTACCATTGAAGCCGTATGAGTTGAATACACTTCTACTGGAAACTTTGAGTGTCTCTATTCTTAAACTGAACTGCGCTCAATACTGCGGTTCGCCTAAAATGTTCACAAGTTTACATGAACTTCCATAACACAAGTTCATTCACGTCTAATATTCCTTCGACATATGTTAACTGACGGACTTAAAAAGAGGTGACGGCCTTGTTGAAGTCTGGGTTACCTTATTTTACCACGGAATATCCTACAACGAATTTCTCATTTCTGTTTTGCTTTGACCATTCAGTTATCTCCTCGAATCGTGTTATATAGCCTCATGCGTTTTTAAAATCATCAAACTTCGATTCCTTTTAATATCTGTTTGTACAACGGCAAACGACAGAGTATTATCATAAAGTTAAGGCCAAATAGTTTTTTTACACTTGATAACTATGTAATGCGTCCATATATACTATAAGGGTGTCACAAACAGCAAAACGCGTATTTTTCGCAACTGTTCACGTGCATCAGGTATCTGA